TTTCCTTTTGTTTCTTTTGCTTTCTTTAAAGGAGGATGGAGGATCCCAAGGCAGGTTGGAAGAAGCCAAAGGACTGGAGTACCTTGAAGGTATATGCATGCTCTGAGTGTGAAGACACATTCATCAGTAAAAGGAGCCTGGACAACCATCTCGGAACTCACAAGAAGAAGAAGAGCCTCCTATACTTCTGCAAAAGATGCGACAGGAGATACGGGAGGAAGGACAACCTTAGAGTGCACTATCACAATCACCACCCCGCAGGAATGGATGACCTGAAAAGCATATACCCTGAGACGGAAGAGGAAAGAAAAGCAGCAAAGCAGTCTGAAGACTCGGATGAGGTACCGAGTACTTCTTCTGCCCCCTCCGGACGGAAGAGGAAGAGACCCGAGACTGCAACCGTCGACAGACCGGCAAAGGAGGGCCGGAAGAAGGAAGAGAAACGAGCAATGAGGTCAGGTGAACCTGAAGAAGAGACGAGTCTTTTTGCTGCCCCCTCGGGAGGAAAGGGGATGGGAACGGAAGCTAAGAGTGTTGATAAGCCACCGAAGGAACCGCAGAAGAAGGAGGCCGAGGAGGAAGAAACTCAGGTCCCCTTGACACCTGGCAGGGAGTTAGAGATAGATGATGTGGCTGGGATATCCTTGTCACCAGCTTCAGTGTCTCTGCTCGACAGTGTGGAGCCGCGACGCAGGATGGTATATGGAGGGAAACCACAAGGGATGATGTCAATGAGGCAGGATGTCCAGGCAGAAGCTAGCGACGGGGAGGAAACAGACCTCAACGACGACGCCTCTATTTCTGTTAATCTTAGGCGAGCACTTCAGGGAAGCTCTCTACGGTATCAGGAGGGGGATCTTCGGAAACGCACCTTTCCACCTGCCACAGATATTCAGCACGGGCAGGCCAAGACGTCAGCACTGGAGGAACCACCACGAGCCAGAGTATGCAGGGTCAGTAGTGGCAACCCTGGGTGGCGACGGGCGACTCCGATCGATACTGCTGATCTGGAAGTGATGATGGCCGGGAATGTTCGTCAAGTGAAGGAGGTCAGCACCAGGAGCCAGTTTCAGAATGGGTTGAAGGTATCTGAAGAGGTCGTAGAGAAGGACCTACGATGTGGAGTTTACGGCCGGTTTCATCCTCAAGTAGAGTTTAGGTTTTCTTAAGGTTTACATTGTTGTTTTAACTTAAAGCATTACTTGTTTCTAACTTAGTTTTGGAACAGTGTAAAAGTTTTATAAGAGAGTATATTTGTTAAAAAAGAGACCGATCTTGCCTTCATTAGCTACCGCATTCCCTTAAGGAATACTGTATTTATTGATGATCTTTGTGTAAACTCCCTCAAGGAGCAGGGTAATTACTTTTGATTGTATAGACGTCCTTGAGGTATGTTGTGATTGTATTTCATGTGTATAAACTCCCTGAAGGAGAAAGTGGATCCTTGTCTATTTTTGATAAAGCCGTATCAGGTGTGATTTGTTTTGGACACTCCCTTAAGGAGCTCCCTTAAGGAACCTCAGAATCTTACCCTTCTTTAAATTCCCTTAAGGAGACCACAGTAGCCTTAAAGGTAAAGGTGCTTATTTGTGTATAAGTGAACTTTATATTTTCATTGTATAAGATGGCACCTCAGTTAATTTCGTTTTGGTTGTTTTTCAGTTTAACGGACCGGGACGGTCCGCACTTAAGGTTGGGGCTGTATAACGAAATTGGCCTGAGTGCTTGTAGCTTTCGCGCGTCATAGCGCTGAGGCGTGCCATACTTGCTGAGCATGCGCAGTGGGCTGCTTAGGTGACCTTGAGCTGTTTTGCGCGCGCTGTGCTTCGTGTGTGTACGTGGCGGGAGTTGCTGTGGAGCTAGCGGACTGAAGAGACGTGTGACGGCGGAGCTCTAAGAGAGTTGTTGTAGGGCGCTAGGCTTGTGTGCGTCAGCGTTGCTGTTGGTGTGTAGTGGGAGCTGGTAGCAGCGAGGCGGAGCGGTATAGCGACCGACCGCCGGATCCCAGAGCAGCGTGAGAGAGGCTGATCGGAGTGTCCGAGACAGCGGGACTGTCGGAGCCGTGTCAGAGAGTCCGTGGCGGCGGCGGTTTGCCGAATCTAGTTGCAGCAGCTCATAGTGCGGGGTATGTCAAGCTGACGTATTTGATAAAGTTAGTGACGAGCACAGTTCAGGACTGATATTGTTGAACCTCCCCACAAGTTATCACATTCAGTAATAATTTCTATTAAGTGCCTTCAGTAATAAACCTCTCTATCAGTAATTCTAAGGCTCAGTAGGAAACTCAATTATATCCCATAAGGATACAGGAAACCCTTAAGGAACCTCAAGGCTATACCTTAAGGAACAGCAATCCCTTAAGGAATCTGCAACTTAATTGAAGTGATTAAGGCGTCTTAGTTATAATAAAGGGAAAACCCCGCGGCTCTTGAGTGATCTCTCTTTGTCAGATTATTGGGTTCCTGCGCTGCTCTGCCTGGTATTTATCTCCGCTCCATAGGGTCCCCGGGAAAAAGTGTTGCGCGCGGCGATATATGGTTGCCAAACGACCTCCCCCACAGTGCTGTAGGGCTGCTGCTCGCCTGTGCAGTACCGAGTCAAACTTGACCCGGACGGGATTCGCCACACTACTTTATGAGAACATCTTGTTACATTTTTATGAAGTCTCTAGGAGAGAGGTTTACCACTGTTTACGCTGAGGAAAGATTTGTCTTCAGGCCAGGAAGTTTATATTCAAGATTTACCTTTCGATTACCTTTAAGTAAACCCCAGAAGAGCAGCCGGGTTTGTACTTTATTGTTTTGATATAAATCGTTTATTATCTAGTAGTGCCTGAAGTGAGTGTCCTTAAGGAGACCTTAAGGATTGCCTTTGCAGTCAAGGCGCCTTATATTTGTATAAAGTTAAAACATGTGTTTTATATTGTATTAGACGAGCGCCTTCTTCATTTCGTTTTGAAGTTGTATTAGTTTTAAAGACCGGGACGGTCTGAACTTGAGAGGGGGGCTGTGTAACGAAATGTAATCGGCGCTCCATACTTTTTATATGTTTCATTTGCCCGCCATAGCTTGTGCGCTATTTTTAGAATGGGGTATATAAGGCAGCGTTCGAGCGCATTCTGGCCAGACTGTTTTGGCGCGCCGTACAGTGGCAGACTAAGAAAAGCTTCGTGGAGACAGACAGAGCGTTGTGTCGGGGAGTGACCGAAAAGCTTACCGTGAGTGTTGAGCTGCTGTATTGTTCATGTTACACACTCCTTTTCTTTTATAAATAGTGGTGCAATTGTGGAATTGATCTTTTGGTTTACTTGATTAAGTGAAGCTTAATACTCGTTTGCTTGAAGACAGCATATTTGGGTTTATTATTGTCACCTCTGTGCAGGAATTCTCCATTTGCTTTCGTAGACATATTTGGCAGATCTTGTTAGTGGAGCACTTTTATTGTTGGACTATCGATAAGAACATCTCTTTCCCTTAAGGAAATCCTTTCCCTTAAGGAAACCCTTTCCCTTAAGGAACTCATTTTCCCTTAAAGAACTCCCTTTCCCTTAAGGAAACCCCCTTCCTTGAGGAACCCATTTCTAAGGTATCCGGAATGACAACTGCCTCGCGGGAGACGAAGGGTCGAGCTCATCAGGAGGATCGGCATCTGCCTTCGGGAGACCTCGGAGGGTCGTCTGGAGCCTAGGAAACCCCCTTCCTTAAAGAACTCCCTTTCCCTTTAGGAATCCCCTTCCCTTCTTCTTTCGTGTGAGTTAGTAGTACTGTACATCAGGCTATTTCTTGGAGCTGCGTAAGCCAGTTGATTTGTGCGTCTTTTGGGCACGACAGATCAGTCATCCCGTCAGGAGGTTGGAGGTCGGGGCAGTGGTATAATATATGATCTGCCGTCTGCTCATCTGCACCACAGGTGCATGCCGGTGAATCCCGGAGTTTCCAGCGGTGCATGTTGGCATTGAATCTCCCAACCCCAGTTCGCAGCCGGTTCAGTGTAACCCACTTCCTCCGGGGTAGTTCCGAGCCAGCAGGAGCTTTGGTGCCAGGGGGAACAGTGAACTGCCTTGGGCGAACCGTCCCTTCCCAGCCCTTTTCCCACTCTTGTATTAGGCTAAAGTCGGATCTGCTGAGGGCGGCTGCATGTCGGGAGAAAGGTCGACGCGATCGGAGGCGTTGGCCACCTAGGTCCTGGGATTCTGTCGTAATTTTGTGAAGAAGGTGGTCATCATCGGCAAGGGATTTGGTTGTGAGCTTGTCTGTCAGATTCTCGCGGCGTAGCCTTGGTGGTGCGATTCCAGCGAGGACTGGGAGGAGATCTGTGGGTGTAGGACGGAGACATCCAGTGATGAGCCGCATGGTGTCATTTAGTACACAGTCCAGCTTTCTGGTGTGGGTACTCCTGCACCACGCTTGCGCAGCATATTCAGCAGAGCTGTAAACCAGGGCTAGAGCTCCTGTGCGAAGGGTGGATGTTGATGCACCCCATGATGTACCAGCCAGGCGACGCAACAAGTTGTTCCTTGCCGACACTTTTGCTCGTAGGGCTTCGAGGTGCTGTCTGTATGTCAGCTGTCTGTCCAGTATCACTCCAAGCCCCTTCCCTTAAGGAAACCCTTCCCCTTAAGGAAACCCCCATCTTTTTAAGTACTTGCCTTTTGTTGAGGCATTTTTAGTAAAGGAACTGCAGTTGTTGCATGGCTGAATAAAGAGACTTCTTGAAGCTTTAGCTTGTGTGTCTGGGTCCCACTTATTGTCTGGTTGGGTAGATTTGTCGTTCGAACAATATAAGGGAAAATTAGTTACGTGCGGCGACAGACAGTCTCCAAATGGATTATCGCCCTAGGACCATCTGGACTGCCGCTCGTCTGGAGGGTTCTCGAGACCGTCACTTCTCGAGAAAATCGAGATCCGCCACACTATCGAGCTACAGTACTTAGGGTACTTTTGAGGAATCCTTGGTTTCATTACCAGACAGAAATAATATTAAAATAAAAATAAACTCACCAGATGCTATTCAAGATAAAGAAAAGCTGGATGAAGATACAACTGAAGGGAAGCCCCCCGCTGACAACAGCAGCAAGCACAGGGTGTTTGATACAAGGCTGCCTAGGGATCCGGCGTTGGGTCAGATTGGTGGGTACCGGGAACTCAATCGGCTAACAGGGAAAACAAAGGGAAAAATACACGAGAGGTGCTTAACATGTGGTTCTACCGAGAACTGATTACATTGAATTTCAAAATAGTGTACTGACAAATTTAGAACTAAAAAATGAATAAAACAGCTGCAAACTGCTCACTGACTGGATTGACCTGAAATATGCAAATTAGTCCAGAGTAGCCTGATATATTTCGTCCTTAGCAAATTAAGACTTCTTCAGATGTAAAAACCTCTGAAGAAGTCTTTGCTAATATTTGTATTATTAAATTTAGTTAAAAGTCTTTACACGTTTTCTCAGAGCACTTATGCTGGGGTGTACAACAATGCTTATACTCTGCTGGCACAGTGATTTTGGACATGATTTCTAGACCACCCACTTATGAGGATTTCATGGCTTCTGACTAGCACCCTCAACACAACTACTGACAACATGGGGTCCACTATACAAAGGCATTGCTCCAGTCTACTCTTTTTGTTGGACCTAAAATTGATGATAGATGTACATAGTGATACATTTTAACACACGAGTCTGGAAAATAAAGATGCAGCAATGGTAAAACTGTCAATATAACCGCGCTTGCTCAAACGGACAATTTGGACGAGTTACCTTTCTTATAAAGGCAATGAATCCCCCGATGTAAACAAGAGGCAACTGGATGCCAAACCACATGGCAAGTAGCGTTAAGAGAGTGGATGTAGGGATGACGGCTGAACTTTGCCAGGTCCACATCAGCACATTTAAGATTAGAACGATGGCGACGATGATGCTGGGAACCAACAGACCAGTCAGCAAGAGGTTGGTCTTCCACTTCTCACCTCCGAATGCTGTGATGAAAGATTTGTAAATGTAGGCCACTGGCTTTGCAAAGTGCACAGATGACATGTTCTGTTACCATGGTCTGTGTTGTCATGGTCTGTGTTGCCATGGTCTCTGTTGTCACTGTCTCTGTTGCCATGGTCTCTGTTGCCTTGGTTTCTTTTGCCACAGTTTCTGTTGTCGTGTTATCTGTTATCATAGTCTATGAAACTATGACAACAGAAACCACGACAAAAGAAACTTGGGCAACAGGGGCGAAAGCAAAGTCTTTGTTGGCATATAGTCTTTGTTGCCATGTTCTTTGATGTCATAGTCTCTGTTGCTTAGATCTCTTTTGTCAAGTTTTTTTTTGGTCATGGTATCTGTTGTCATAATCTCTGCTGCTTTCGCCCTGTTGCCCAAGTTTCTTTTGTCATGGTTTCTGCTGTCATAGTATCTGATGTAATGGCCTATGTTGCCACGGTCTATGTTGCCATGGTCTCTGTGGTCATGGTTTACTTTACCATGGTCTGTTGTCATTAAGGCAGTCACAGGTTTGAGTCTACGTCTTAGGTCTAAGGCTTTCCTAACATCAGTCCAAATTCACAAAACTTTGAATTGACTCAGAATCAGAGATGTATGACTCATGACCCGGACTCAGACTCCATTCCAACTCGTGTCCCATTTTTGATGACTCAAAGTCACGATGACAAATGAGTCACACTCGACCCAGCAGACTCGGACTGCGTGACTCGGAACTCGACCAAAATTACCACAAATCGCTTATTTTTTCAATTTAGTTTAATTACAAATCTTTTTGAAGATGATCCTTTCTTGAGCAAGCAATACAGTCAGTGCAGTGCAGAAGAAATGCATGTAAGTACTTTACATGCACTGCGCATGCGGCTGGCTTGTTTCCGATATATTGACTTGGGAAATCAATTTATTAGAAACATGTACCCCACCGTCCACACTTGATATTGCGTAACTTGAGTCCCCATTTTCTGTGACTCGGACTCGAGTCGTGATGACAAATTACTCATGACTCAGAATCGGACTTGACCTTTGTGACTCAGACTCGACCTGCATGACTCGAGACTTAGACTCGGCACCTAGACTAGGACTTGGGAGATGTGACTCAGTCTTGTACTCAATGTTTGGCGACTCGAATACAAGTCCGAGCCATCCAACTCTCATAAGCCAATCAGCCTCACCCTTGTACATTCGAGTGGAGATGTAACCAGCCGGCAATCCAAGACAGACAAACAGCATGATGATGCACGTCATGAGAGCCCCTCGTCTGGCTGGTGATAGAAGCCCCACAGATGCCAATACTTACCAGTATAGAAAAGAAAAGCACAAGAAATAGAGTTATCATTATGCCTACATCACACTGGACAGGAGTGGTTCACAGTGCAGTGTACCACAAGGAGGTTAACCACAGACAAGCCAATGTTTATCACGAAAAAAGGGCAAAATTTCACACAAAACCATTTTATTCCTCTTGCACAGGACTCAGCAGAATTGCAGTTTCTTTTGGCGCATGTAATTTGGAATTTGGGGTTAATAATGACTTTTTTTATGCAGCTTCCAAATGCATTTGGAAGGACAGTTGAATAGCTGTAGGGTACATGTAGCATCTCGACTGTGAAGCTAAACATATGTGCAATTCTTGAAGACCAAATGGGCTTGTTGATACACTGTTACATGATCACTCATATTATTGTGCAGTTGAAAGCTGGGATGGGTTTGGGGATCAGAACTGTAACAAAATTACATTTGAATGTTTCATGCCAACACTTTCTTTTCCTTGTGTATGGACTATGTCACTTGCTGACAGGCAAAACAGCCACCCAAGCGTCTTCCTCGTGTTTTTATCCATGTAATGTCATGTCAACATTTGCAAATATAGAAGTGAAGAGCAGAGTAAATTCTGAATGGAGGTCACCGTCACGTGACTACAACATGCAGTTTTGTTAAACAAGTGTGGCATGGTCTATGCTGCTTACCCAAAGTGATGAAAGCCACAAGGACGATTTGCGTTCCGGATCCCAGCAACGCTGACAGGAGCATGCAGCCGCGTGGGGGTCGGAAGATATCGCCATGTAACAGCTTCCAACGAAAATCCTACGAAAAAAAATTCAAACATTTCTATAAGTGAGCAAATAGCACAAATTTCCAATTTCTAATACTGAAGAGTTTAATTATTGAAGTATGTGGCAGGCGTTGTTGGCAAGGCGTTCGAATGTCTCTCCCGGTGGTCTTCCTGGGACCCTCTCTTTATTACCTTTGAGGGGTTACTTGTGCACGGAGCCCATACCGCATGTCTGATCTACAAAATTCCTAAAATGGTGCTGATAAGCTAACACATAATAACAATTGCAAAAACTTCACGCAGGGCACCACCGTGAGTCCTTCCTTCAAAATCGTCCACTGTGTAGAAAACCAGCGTTATCTTTTTTTGTGCATGAACTTTCTAGAGGCATCCAGCCCCATGTAAAGTAATTCACTGAAATAGTCATGATGTTACTCAGAGTTCAGCTCGGTGCAACCATGATTACTGGTTTACACACACTGCAACAGCCCAGTGGTTTCGTTATGGCTGTTGTGAATCCGTTTTATAAATTTCACAATCTGCTACCAGTTGTGACCAACAAGGGGACTTCCCTACATAAGGCATAACCCCATGTCAGGGGTTATGCCTACAATGCCTGTGTGCAAAGTGTTCTCCAGTATGCGAGTGAAACCTTGCCAGTAACTATGTTACGCCCCAACTATGGTATCGGTCCCAACTATAGTTGGGATCGTCCCAACTATAGTTAGGACGGTCCCAACTGTAGTTCCACAGTTGGGCTGGCCCAACTATAGTTGGGAGTCATCAAGGGGGCCATCTATAGTTGGGCCACTCCAATCTTTTTATTTTGCGGTCCCAACTATAGTTTACATTGATGTACAACTATAAAACATTCCCTACAGCTCTGATACACGTCTGACTTTACTTGGGACCATTGAAATTAGCTATATTGATGGGGCTAATCTATAGTTGGGCCACTCCAATCTTTTTATTTTTCGGTCCCAACTATAGTTTACATTGATGTACAACTTTAATACATTCCCTACATCATGTTCCTAGCTCCATGTTGGAACTAATGAAATTAGTATTGGTGGGCCCATCTATAGTTGGACCATGGCAATCTTTTTATTTTGCGGTGTCCCAACTATTACATTGATGTACAACTATAAAACATTCCCCACAGCTCTGATACACGTCTGACTTTACTTGGGACCATTGAAATAGCTATGGGTGGGGCCCATCTATAGTTGGGCCACTCCAATTGTTTTTTATTTTGCGGTGCCAACTATAGTTTACGTTGCTGTACGACTATAAAACATTCCCTACAGCTCTGATACACGTCTGACTTTACTTGGGACCATTGAAATTAGCTATATTGATGGGGCTAATCTATAGTTGGGCCACTCCAATTTTTTTATTTTTCGGTCCCAACTATAGTTTACATTGATGTACAACTTTAATACATTCCCTACAGCATGTTCCTAGCTCCATGTTGGATCTAATGAAATTAGTATTGGTGGCCGGACCCATCTATAGTTGGGCCGTGGCAATCATTTTATTTTGCGGTGTCCCAACTATAGTTTACATTGATGTACAACTATAAAACATTCCCCACAGCTCTGATACACGTCTGACTTTACTTGGGACCATTGAAATAGCTATGGGTGGGGCCCATCTATAGTTGGGCCACTCCAATTGTTTTTTATTTTGCGGTGCCAACTATAGTTTACGTTGCTGTACGACTATAAAACATTCCCTACAGCTCTGATACATGTCTGACTTTACTTGGGACCATTGAAATTAGCTATATTGATGGGGCTAATCTATAGTTGGGCCACTCCAATCTTTTTATTTTTCAGTCCCAACTATAGTTTACATTGATGTACAACTTTAAAGCATTCCCTACAGCATGTTCCTAGCTCCATGTTGGAACTAATGAAATTAGCTAATGGTAGGGCCCATCTATAGTTGGGCCATCGCAATCTTTTTATTTTGCGGTCCCAACTATAGTTTACGCTGCTGTACGACTACCTACAGCTCTGATACACGTCTGACTTTACTTGGGACCAATGAAATTAGCTACGTGGGGCCTATGTATAGTTGGGCCACTCTAATCTTTTTATTTTGCGGTCCCAACTATAGTTTACATTGCTGTACGACTATAAAACATTCCCTTCAGCTCTGATACGTGTCCGACTTTACTTGGGACCATTGACATTAGCTATGGGTGGGGCCCATCTATAGCTGGGCCACGCCAATCTTTGAATTTTGCATAAAAAATGTTGCTGTCCAGACTATAAAAACCCAGCTGGACAACTCATCCAACTAGGCAGTACCGAGTGGCCGGCCCTGCGGCACGCATGCACGTGGTGCCAGCGCCACGGAACATTACTCCAGTCCTAACTATAGTTGGGCCGACCCAACTGCCGCACTATAGTTGGGACAGTCCCAACTATAGTTGGGACCGATGCGATAGTTGGGGCGTAACAAATATAATGACATCTACCGCCTTACCCACAATGATAACGCCATCCTACGATGCGTTGCAGCTGCGACGCGTCCTGTGATCCATTTCACAAAACACGTAGCAGGTGCGATGCATCGCATGTGTATTAATAGCACAATACGGCAACTGTTGCATGTATTTATTGAGCGTACAGTAAATAGTCGTCTGATATTCAACAAAGAGTCGTCGGATCTCCTCTTGAAAAGTTTTTAAAATGTAAAACAAAATGGTGGACGTGTGATGCAATTTTAAAGGAAAACAAGCTCTAGTGGACTGTGTAGCTACTTTGAAATTTTAACTGCAATATTCCAGGCTAATTCATAATTATTTAATGAATTTTCTATTTACAACTTTACACACATTGCCTCGGTATTATGATCTCGTTTACGTAATGTTTATGGCACAACACTGGCAAAGAAATGGACTCTTCTTATTTTGCGACGAACACTAGACACGTCGTATCTTGCGACATGTTTTAAGCCGTTGTCAAGGAACTTACGAAGCGTTCAACACATTGCAACGACGCGTTGCGAGTTGCGACGTGTTACACGTCGTCGCAGCGCTTCGTGAAATCGGGTGCAGGTTTCGTTACCTTCCACAAAATCCTGTAAAATACTACCCAGAAAACCATCTATGGGATCTGGTATGGTTATAGGGTAAACAGGAAAAAACACTGTACTTACACGTGCACGTTCACTTCCAGCTTTCTTTACACTATCTTCACCTGTGTAGACATTGTGATGCAGGATTCGCCCCACGATCAATAACAAGAACCCAACAATGACAAGAGAATTGATGGTGCTGGGTGTGGGAGAGGAAAAGGAACATAAAAATCAAACACAGAAGCACAGATTACCTCTTGGATTAAGTGTCAAATAAAGCAATTATATAGGCAACGATGTTTGAGGAAATTTCCAAGAAGAGGGGGCAGATTTAAATTTTATGAAATATTTTGAGGAATTTCCATATTGAAAAAAAAACGAACTTTGTTCACATCCTGAGGATTCCTATGTTTGCAGTACGTTCAGTGCCTGTTAAGATTGCCAAACTTGACTTAAGGGAAAAACAAACTGAATATAGCTTCAGGCATTATATTGGGGATTTATGATGCCTCATCGGGGGATGAATGATGATTAATATAATAATAATTTGGGAGGCTAATCATCCTTACTCGCAGCTGGTATGCTGAATTGCGAAGGATGCGGCTACAACGTGGTCGGGCCGCTGGCACGTAAAGGCGCCTAAACGCGCTGCCGGCCACATCGACCCATATGACCACGGAGCACAGCCTGAGATCGAAAGTGTTCGATTTTTCCGGAGGGAGGAAAACCGGAGGGCCCGGAGAAAAACCCACGTGGCACAGGAGAGAACCAACGCACAACTCTACTCACATGCGATCCGCGGCCAGGATTCGAACCGTGGTCACCTTGGTGAGAGGCGAGCGCTTTACGCACAAGCCACCCATGCCACCCATTGTTACCCGACAACGATTGTCAATCTAATTGGACAACTAGTGATTGAGTTGCGGTCGACTTGTGATTGACTTGTGATGGAGCTTTCACAACTAAACCTGTAACAGAGCCTCAAACTTCACCCCTAGTGGTGCTCTTGCATGAGTTGGCTGTGGCTGGCGACCAGCGAACAAAGACATTGACAAATTGGGAGGATTAGGAACATAGGTCTGGATAGCTCAGTTGTAAGATATCTGCCGTAATATGAAACCTGCACTCCTAAAGCCCCTCGCTGCACACCTTTCTGATTCTACCGATTCACTGGATCATCGGTCCATCAGACGAACAGAGTGGAGAGGTGTGCTGTAAAAGCTTGGACTGATCTGACCGTATACTGGGTGACGTACAGGATGAAATCAAACATGCTGGATATTTTCACATCGGATTTCACTGGATCCGATGTCACCAGAAAGGTGTGCGGGCAGCACTCCGATTTCACCGGACGCGATATTTATGTTAACCAATCAGATTCACGAAGAATGCAGTTACCTGATGGCAGACTGATGCTAAAACCCCCAAGGGGGCATCAGTCCCCGTGCCAAGTAAAAGATTCCTTAAAATCCTCTACAATCAACTCGAGGATTCGGAAAGATCTGGGAGAGTTGGGGTTAATCTCTCCTTACCTGAACCACTGGATGCTGGAGTGTGGCATGGATTCCAAGATGTAATCCCATCTGGATGCCCATCGTATCTTCGTATTGAGCTGTCCAAAGGATTCCAAATGAAAATAGTTAGCATTTGCATCAAGCTGGCCTTTGAATATTCATGACTTCACAGCCAAACCTGTCCCTCTGCTCCATCCCCCCATCCCTACCACCCCTTAAAACAAAACCCTAGCACTGAAGTCTTAATAGAATTAAGTTATTAGCATTTGCCTTTGTAAGTTTGTAAACGCACTCAGTCACATATATATACAGGGTGTATCAAAAAAAAGTATACACTTAGAGAAATGTATCTAAAAAGGATGTTTTATAATTTTTCAAAAATGTGTCACTAAATATTGATGGACCAAGGTCTCACGCTTTAATTGCCACCATGTTAATCTTCAGCTGTTCCGCATGAGTGAACACTAGCTATTTACTTTCACCAGATTTGAATTGGCTTGCGCACAAAAGTGAAATGGTTAAAACATAATCAAACACCGTGGTAGGGAAGTTTAGGCATGTGATTTGTTGCTCACAAATGTTCAAGAAAATTGGATTAACCCTTAGTCCTCCACAGGCCCACCAAGTTTGGACTCAAGTTGCGCCTTCCTCAAAACATTAACAACAGCATGACCTTACAAGTCAATGATTAGGCCTAATGGTACTCGTCATGAGGGAATGCAACGTTTGCACTTCATGCATGCACGATTCAGTCTTCGAATTGGCCACCATTTCTTTGCACACAGACTTCTGCCCTCCTCAGCATGTCAATGATTTTCGTCATTATCGTCCTGGCAGAAGAAATGGACAATTTAGGCGTGCCTGGTGGGCGCAAGATGGGGCACCACCGCACAAGAGGAGGATCGTGACTGAACGTCTCACTGAATTGTTTGGCGATCGCTTCATCGCATTAAAACCGGCCCGTCGAGTGGCCCCCAAGATCGCCCGATCTTACCCCATGCTGGACTTTTTCTTGTGAGGCCATGTTAAGTCTAAGGTGTACACCACTCCACCAAGAGACCTGGATGACCTGCAAGAACGTGTTACTGCCGAAGTTGCTGTTGTGAGGCAGGATGCCGCAATGATTAGGTGCGCAGTTTATGACATGCTGAGGAGGGCAGAAGTCTGTGTGCAAAGAAATGGTGGCCACGTCGAAGACTGAATCGTGCATGCATGAAGTGCAAACGTTGCATTCCCTCATGACGGTTACCATTAGGCCTAATCATTGACTTGTAAGGTCATGCTGTTGTTAATGTTTTGAGGAAGGCGCAACTTGAGTCCAAACTTGATGGGCCTGTGGAGGACTAAGGGTTAATCCAATTTTCATGAAAGTTTGTGAGCAACAAAGCACATGCCTAAACTTCCCTACCACGGTGTTTGATTATGTTTTAACAATTTCACTTTTGTGCGCAAGCCAATTCAAATCTAGTGAAAGTAAATAGCTAGTGTTCACTCATGCAGAACAGCTGAAGATTGACATGGTGGCAATTAAAGCGTAAGACCTTGGTCCATCAATATTTAGTGACAGATTTTTGAAAAATTATAAAACATCCTTTTTTGATACATTTCTCTAAGTGTATACTTTTTTTTGATACACCCTGTATTTGTCACTCAAGGTTTCTCCCAATCCTGTGCTCTCCAAACGTTTACAGTTTTGGAGGTTCAAATGCCCTGTGCACAGATTCACATGCATATATGGGTAGTCAGGTTGGCGTAGCGGTTCTTTCCTCGCCTTCCACCGCTGTGACCCAGGTTCGAATCCCGCCTGGGCCAACATGTGGATTGGAGTTTTCAGTCCCTACCTGATTCTGTGGGTTCTCCTCAGCATATTCTTCTGGGGTTTTCCTCCCACCCCTAAAAACTGTAATTTCTTCTCATTGTCTTCTCTCTACGGGTTTCTTCAGGCTTGCGAGCTACAGTGCCTAGGGCACTTTTGAGGAATCCTTGGTTTCATTCATTTGTCATTACCAGAAATAATTATTAGTATTAATAACAATAATAATAAATATGGCATGGAGTACACAAAACTAGTTGTCATTTGAGAATACACAAACCTGTAGCATATTTGCAAATGGTGACGATGTCACTCAAGTGTCTAGTCACGTCGCTTTTGACAGGGTACATGTACTAGTGAATGGAGCCCACTGTATAGTATTTGACTCAGACACTGGCCAGAACAACGAAAAACCTCAAAAAGGCAAAGTAATGTAAAGCATAAGAGGAGGGAACAAACGCACCTCATATTCCACTTTATAGGTGTAGCTGATGGAGATGGGTTCCTTGATCTCAGCAGGGATGGCCATGGGAGCAGAGACTGGATTCTCACTCACACTGGTCAGGCATTTACCACCAGTCTTCTTGTGGTTGATACTGCCAAGGAAAACAAGTTAACCTTAAGGTCAAACTCAAACACCAGGATTTGTTAGAATCTGTTGGAGTGAGTACTAGTAACTGCACTAGTAAACTGTTAGTAAACTTTAAGCCCGGTTCATGCTTCACGCGAAAGCAAAAGTTGTGATGTTAACAATACGTTTGAAGTGCATCGACAATTGTTGTTGACATGCTTTGGCGTGAAGTATGAACCGGGCATTACACGGCGTAATGCATACCGCCAATAATCAGAGTCCAACAGTTTCTGTGTACAGTTTACCACATGGTGTTGGAATTTGCAGGAGTGAAGAAGGTTCCTAGTAAATCAGTGTAGGGGGTAGGGTTAAGGCATAGCCCAGGTTGGACGAAGTCTTCATTGCATTACGACTAACGTCCAGGACGAGAATTCTCTACATAAGACCACCCAAAATTTGGACCAGATTTTTGTTACGTTTTACCTCGTTACAGAAGCTTATTTCACGCCTACATTTTCTCTGTGTCCTTCTCTATTGATCCAGGGGTTCAGGAATTCCATATGTGATGCTGACCGACATTAATCAGGAAAATAAACTCTAAAGCAACGTTAAACTTGTACGTGTTTGTAGTCTCTTTTCATCAGTTTTATTCCCAAGTCGTACGTCATGTACGTGCGCACGAAAGCGCGCACGCACGCTAGCGCCCTCATTTGTTATAGTTTTGGTTGGAACAGTGACGTCACTCCAGCCAACCGATGTCACGAAAACGCTCAACCAATGACCAAAGCCGAAACGTGTTTCTGGTAACTGGCTCGAAAACACGCTCGGTCATTGGATTAGCAACCGCGCCTTCAAGTAAGTGCGCGTGCGTATGAGGGTGGTTACTAAGCAAATCGCGCGTGCGCACTGCATATTCATGCTGCATAGTCTGGCCCCCGGACCAGACGTGATATGAGCGTCGAGACTAATTGTCCGGTCTAGGGAACCAGACTACACACTGCACAGACGTACATCATGTACGACTAGAATAGACTCGGCGGTGAGAAACTGATGAAAAGAGTCTACAAACACGTACAAGTTTAACGTTGCTTTCGAGTTTATTTTCCAGATTAAGGTCGGTCAGCATCGCATATGGAATTTCTGAACCCAGCGGCCCAATAGATAAGGCTACATAGAATACTAAGACGTAAAAATTAGCTTCTCCAACAAGGTAAAAATATTGAAAACACTGGTCATAAATTTTTTCGCCCGGTTTTGAGCACTTTATACCCTGGACTCCCTCCGTTACGTAGGGAGGAAAGGGAGTCCACCTGGGCTAGGTTAAGGCAGTATTATTTACAAGAAAAATATCAAACAAAAATACACATTTAGGGTGACATAAGCTGCTAAGACAAAATGTAACAGTGCAATCTATTTAGGACTGTCACATGCAAGGTGTCTAATCTCCACTAATTTGGAATGCACATAAAGTACACAATCTTACTGAGTGATATTGCTTGTGTTCAGATAAATATGGTAAATGCTCGGGATATGTCTGATGTCAGAGTGATATTCATTACAAATACACTGCAACTTCTGATCTGATCAGTAGATTTTACTGAGAGCATTTTCCTTCAGTTTCTTCTTTAAAAATAAAAGAAAACAGACTGGGCAATCTATAGGTAGCCTCTCTTTGGAAGTCTGGGGAAAAAACACACACAAGTGTTTATCATGTACGTTTTAGGGTATACTTTACAAATCCAAATACTGTATTTAGAAGAAAGCACAATAAGCAGTTGTCAGAATGCAAGGTGACACAAGAGAAGCTTTACAAATAAATGATGCCGTTATTTTGGGAGGAGGATGCCTACCTGTGGGGCTCAACTTTGATGGAGACAATGCGAGCGAGGTCTTCGTTCTCTGACATGCGATGGTACATGATAGTAAAGTTGATGTGATTGAACAGGTAGTAGGTATCCTTCTGGTCATAATTTGTCTGCGAAGAGAAGAAAAGTTGACCCCAAAAAACAATTAAGTTTACACCCACTAATAATCAATAATCAATAGAAGCATCTTGGGCTCACCACCAGAAAAATACGGCCATTTCCTCCAGCACATTAAGACCAAGTATTATTAGCCCACCAGAATCCAATTATTCCAAAGTGTGAGTGTCTATAAATCAATCTGGGCATGCAGTCAATTCTATCACGAAGGCCCCCTTCAGTGGCGAAAGCATTGCACTAGCTATTGTTCACATAACAATCCGTCACGGGCAGTTGCCTTGCACAATAGCATGCACAATGGTCTCTCCATTGAAGGGGGCCGTGCACATGCCCGGATTCTTCTATATAATGAATGGTCTTTGTTCAAAAATCCAACAGAGTAACCCACTGCTGATACTGCAGATTTAGTATGTTAGCTGTATAACGTTGTATAATTATAAAACCCAAACACTAATTTATCACTAAGAAAAATGATCCCCCATTTTGTACACTACAGCATACACTCCGTGTCAGGCATTTTTCTGTACATCTTGAGAACTCTTTATAAAATTGATCTTGGGTACTCACATCAATGACGCAGGCATCTTTACGGATGCCCTGTTTGTCGACATAGCAACCAACAGGGAATCCAGGGGAGCAATACTTCTGGTCTCCTTCCACTGTGTAGCACCAGGTCACTGGCATGTTGTCAATAATCCTGCAAACAAACACACAAATAAAAGTCCACACAATAAGAACAAGGAAAGACAAGGGTGCTTTCCATTCATGCAAACGTGTTTACGTCTGTTAGCTTAGGCCATGTGAACATGCCAACCCTATGTGGAATCATAGTTTCATTTTGCCATGCCAATCCCACATGTGTCACTGTTTGGACAGTAACTTATACAATTCTCACAAATTTATTGTGACTAAAAGTGAAGTTTTGCCAGCAATAAATGAACTAGTGGCGTGCATTTACGAGTAGTAAAGGAAACGGGTACCCTATTGAAGTAAAACACGGGTATCCGGGTACCTGTAAAAGAAACTCATCCCTAAATTCAAATTCCGGAAGTTGTCTGACGAGCTTTATTACGGTGTAAAACTGCAACTTTTGTGAGCATCATCTGCCGAGTGTTATTAATGCACATACATGTAAATGTGAAATACGTTTTGATTTTCCAGGTAGCTTGGTATTTATTTTGAAATTCCCGACAAACCTTCTTTTTTTATTGTCTGAGAGGTTACTTAGTACTTTGTAGTAAAATTGGTTATGGGCACCTGATCCCATAATCTAGAACCAATTCCTGATGTCAGCGGTCGTGTACTTGAGTACCCGGTTCCGATGCATACCCCTAAAATGAACTTTCTTTGGATGAAGAAAACAGAAAACTTCAGGCTGATAATCATTATGTTCACTGTGTTTGGCCATTTTGGAATATTAAGTGAACGACTCAGGAAGACCGTTCGCATTTGTTGGCAACGTTCGCCAAATTTTGGTGGCAAACAGTCAGTCCCACTTGCACAAACGTTGCCAACGTTGGCAAACATTACAGTGGCACACACCCCTGGTGTGAGTCGCTAACGTGAAGACACACCGCACATGGGTGATGGCTCATACTTTATCACTGACTGCTTAAAGATCCATAAGATCATTATCACACAGAGAACCAACACTAGCAAATCAAGTGGAGTAGCAGTACAAGGTAAGTTTGGTAGAATGTCTGTACAGCGTTCCGGGGTGTGCTGGTTCAAATCCTGCTTGAGTCAATTTTCTTTGTTACTGAAAAAAAACTGAATGATTTAACCAAGTTTTTGTTTCCTTTGTGGTTTACTTGCAATATAAATTTAGTCAGGATTTTAAAAATCCTATATGTTCAAACTGAACATTTACCAGTGCAATTAAAAAGGAAAACATGAAATAAAATATTATGTCCATTTCTGTGGATTCTACAAATGTACAATGTATGTATGTATAAGACCATGCATGTATCGTGTAAATCATACCTTTTTTCAACCTGGACAAATTGTCTAAATTAAACTTATTACGTGTTTTTTGTGTGTTTAATCACTGTTACTGATATTCTGAGAATACAAATTTAAAAGCAGTGCAAGGGCCACGCGCAAATCAATAACGCTCTATGTACATGTACAATGTACATATAGCCTACATTGTACCATGCTTTCAAAAGAAATTGAGGCCCTTTAATGTTAAAAAGCTACACGTGTACACATTTACAGCACACCAAGCAGAATACATGTATATCAGCCATTGCATGCATTTATAATCACAGGTACACAGATTGTAGTTGTGTGGCAGACTGCTATTTTATTTGGCAAAACTGACTTAAAAACGGCAGAAATAATTATGTTTTTGAACCAAGGCACCACTGCAGGTGGTGACTGGAGATACAATTTCACATTTTCCTGAGAAACAATGGGAAAAATACACCTGAACAAAGTGCAGTTATGAGACTAAAAACAATGAACATGTACAGGTACATTTGCGAATCATGTTATAGGCCAATGTGGAGCTGGTGAATTGCTAAACACATGGTTCAATAAATGTTAAACATCAGAAAACGGCTCAGACTTATGACTTATTCAGGTTATTTGGTGGACATGTGCAAATAAGGTTGACTCTTTGTCTGTGAATAAGAACAGTTATTACATTATTTAATAGGCTTCTGAATGCATTTGTAATGAGTAGTACCACGCTCACAAAGATTAAAGGACGTGTGATTAACTGCAGAACAGTATAAGCAGGAAGCTGACCATGGAAAAGAAACACTGCCTTGCAAAAGTCAAATAATTAGTGGCAAAGCCAATTTAACGGTTACACAGTACTAGAATTCCAGCTACATGTAAATTCATGGTATTGGTCATATATAAGCATAGCAAAAGCACATTTCTCAAAATAACTTTAACGCCAGCATATCTGAAAAACTTTATGCAGATGTACACAATGTACATGAACAAAGGGCTCGAGTACATGTACTGTACACAGGAAGACAGATATCTTTGCATAGCAGGCTTGTCTACATTTGTAAATAACAGCTAAAATCCCTGTGCTCTTTCAAAAACAATTCTACTGACCAGTGCTGCTGGTAGTTGAGCATGATGGCCTTCTGCAGAAAGGTCAACTTCTCCTCTTGCTCTTTGACCTTGGGGTCATAGGTCTTCTCACAGACCTTGACACAGTCCTCATTCTTGCTGAAGGTGAAGTTATAGGGCGAGGCATCGATGCGCTCCCCAAATACCACCTGGCCCAGGTTCTCCACGGGACGGACGTCTTCTGTTTTCGGGACCTGGCAGAAGTCAAACCTAAAATATTGGAAAGACAGAAAAAAAAGCATAAAAAAAATATTGTCCGAGTAGCATTTTACTAGTCGCTAGTGCTAGTTTGTAGTACATTTCACTCACAACAACTGCAAACATTTCACGACATGCAGACTTGTTTTTCTGGCCCCTTTAACTCAAGAAAAAAATGAAATGCACGTAATGAAAGATTTTAAGAGAGCTGCGTTCCGTATATGGGCAGGTTTATTTATGATTTTTTTTCTCTTCAATATTTTGCTTGGCAAACTCTAGGAAAACCACTTCATCATGTACATCAATGACCATTACAACAAGTCAGGTGTGTTTACAAACACAAATGCCCCGCAACGGTGACAGTTCCCATGACATAACACCACTCTTTTAACATCAACTTACATGTACCTTGGTCACATGGAACATTCATTGACAGCATTAGTGTCTTCTGTAGGTTTTATATGAATTAGTCCCTAATCCCTATAATCTCAGAATAAATACATGATTTCTATTGTTTTAGCCACTGTGAACTTGACCCTTTACTTTTTTTCCCCAAATTCAATAGGCTTCTTAGGATTACCAAGAACAATCCACAAACCAAATTTGAAGTTCATATGTTAAGTATTTCTCAAGTTATCGCGCTGACAAGATTTCTATTGTTTTAGCCACTGTGAACTTGACCCTTGACCTTTTGGCCCCAAATGCAATAGGCTTCTTAGGATTGCCAAGAACAATCCACAAACCAAATTTGAAGTTCATATGTAAAGTATTTCTCAAGTTATCGCGCTGACAAGATTTCTATTGTTTTAGCCACTGTGAACTTGACCTTAGGCCTTTTGGCCCCAAATGCAAAAGGCTTCTTAGGATTGCCAAAAACAATCCACAAACCAAATTTGAAGTCCACATGTAAAGTATTTCTCAAGTTATTGCGCTGACAAGATTTCTATTGTTTTAGCCACTGTGAACTTGACCTTTGGCCTTTTGGCCCCAAATGCAAAAGGCTTCTTAGGATTACCAAGAACAATCCACAAACCAAATTTGAAGTTCATATGTTAAGTATTTCTCAAGTTATCGCGCTGACAAGATTTCTATTGTTTTAGCCACTGTGAACTTGACCTTTGGCCTTTTGGCCCCAAATGCAAAAGGCTTCTTAGGATTACCAAGAACAATCCACAAACCAAATTTGAAGTTCATATGTTAAGTATTTCTCAAGTTATCGCGCTGACAAGATTTGTCCGGACACACACACACACCCACACACCCAGACTTGTTTCACATACCTAGTGTGGACTTTCCTTTCTTTTCGTGTAGTTCAGGAACACCAGTGGAAAAACTCATTTTTCTCAAACTGTGAAAACTCTTACAACCCAATTTTTTTTCAATGATTCCCTTTAGTGTTTCTCTTCATTCTGCTACAGATAAACCTAACCCAAAAATGCCTCTAAACCTGTTTTCCAGAAATGGGGAAACACTGTGTGGACGTGGGCAAGTCCACACTTCTTCGCTGCTACCTACATTATGTGGACGTCTTTTGTTCGGAAGTCCACACTGCGTATGTAAGACAAGCTCACCCACACACCCACCCACGGAAGGACAAGGCGGAAACAGTATGCCCCTTCGGCTTCGCCGCGGGGCATAAAAAACTGCCAATATTCAATGACAGTTTCTAGTTTTTGATGTGTGCATACATGTACATGTAAGGACAACTTTAGTCATGGCTGGCTTATCTCTAATCTTATTTTATGAAAGCTGTGTGAAATTCTCTTCTCACATTTTTTTTCTCACAATTGAAGTCCCTAATGCATGGTGTTTCATATTCAGATGTCACCTAGTGGTCAGTAGGGGTGATTTTCTAGAGGGAAACAGCCAAATGCTACATGAATTTCATCCAGCCACATCTTTTCACAATATGTCGATTTGTCCAAAATTTTCACATATCCCCCCGTCAAGAGCCTAAATGGTTTTTCACTCTAGAAGATCTGGAGTCTATGATGACGGACAAACTCAAACGAGTTCTATTCCATGCATCCATGGAGCCCATTCTCCTCTACGGCTCTGAGGCATGGACTCCAACTACAAAGCAAGAGAGTCGGCTAGATGGATGCTATACTGGCATGGTGAGGATGGCTCTAGACATGAGGAAGGAGACAAAAGTCAGGAATGAGGTGCTCTACGGCCACTAGTCTGAAAAATTGGGAATCTCAATACTGTGTATGAGAGTCCCAAAACTTAAGGTATTGAAAAACATGCAAAACAAGAAAACAGACTGGCACCTAAAACAACCAGTCCAACACAGCTTCAGTACTGCATCAATCAACCATGCCAAAAGAATTGAAGAAACATGTGGCATGATGCGGGAACTAGTCTCAATTTACTACACATTTCTCCATAGTCAAGCCACCAGACTATTGACACTGAATGAAGAGGTCAGTCTTTTCAAATAGTTGGACCATGGTTGGACATGTACCAGTCTAGTATTTAGCCCCATTTTGGAATCACTTGACTTCCCTCTCATGTGCAAAATATTGAAAAAAGTCTCCTTTAAAAATTGAATTGAGTCTGCAAACTTGGTTGGTGAAATACTGAGGACCATTTCTTTGCCCCAGTGGAATTTTTGGAGAAATTTGCTGGCTAAAGTGTGAGTAAAGTGGGCCTGATTTAGTTTTGCATGTTTCAGAGCACTCCAGAGCCCTGTCTGTACGGCCACCCACCAAGGATCTCCACAACTATCAGAACTAGGCGTCTGCGATTGGCTGTACACTGCGTACTTCATCCAGAGATAACTGCAAACCAACTCATCCTATGGGAACCCACACATGGAGTAGCCTCTTGAGGTGTGTAGACGTTAACCTATGTGCGTTGGGACACTGGGCTTGCCTCCGCAGCCCAGTTCAGGACGGACACGGGAGAGTGTGAATACTGTGATGTATGGTGTGCCTTTATTGCTGTCCGACGAGGGTCGACTTGATGATGATGGTTTTTTACTAAGCTCAGGTAAATACTACAGTGCAGAGGCCATTTTGTGTAACTCACAGACTTAGAAACACCAGCTTGTAATTAGGGAAAAACACACTTCCTGCTCTAGATGGGACTTCGGATGTCTTGACTTTAAAGTTTTGCAATACAGATTTTCACATTGCCGTCCCGTATCATGACATTCTCGTATCACGATTATCACGTATCATGATGTATTATTATAAAACTCCTACTTTACAATGTACATTGCCACAACTGTGGTAAAGAAACCCACCTGTCATAATCATAGGGGATGATACTCTCTACTGTGTCCAGGCGATTCACATACATCTCAATTTGGCTCTAATGTGGACAAAAAGAAGAAAAAAGAGAGATATTTTTGTTGAAACTGTCATGAAAAGATCCATTTCCCTGCATTTATAATTACATTACCCCCAAAAAATTATATATACTGAATCATTGGTCATCATTTTCTGCTTCCTTCGTTGAATTATTTCTCTTTTCTAGAGTTGGAGAGGTATTCAAATTTTAGTTTCCTGTTTGCTTCATTGGACTTTTACTAGTCCTAAAATTTGGGACTCACTCTCAATACTGTGTATGAGAGTCCCAAAACTTATGGTATTGAAAACATGCAAAATAAGAAAATAGACTGGCACCTAAAACAACCAGTCCAACACAGCTTCAGTACTGCCTCAATCAACCATGCCAAAAGAATTTAAGAAACATGTGGCATGAAGCGGGAACTAGTCTCAATTTACTACACATTTCTCCATAGTCAAGCCACCAGACTACTGACACTGAATGAAGAGGTCAGTCTTTTCAAATAGTTGGACCATGGCTGGACATGTACCAGTCTAGTAATTTTGTATTTAGCTCCATTTTGAAATCACTCGACTTCCCTCTCATGTGCAAAATATTGAAGAAAAATCTGCTTTAAAAATTGAATTGAGTTTGCAAACTTGGTCGGTGAAATACTGAGGACATTTTCTTTGCCCCAGTGGAATTTTTGGAGAAATTTGTTGCCTAAACTGTGAGTAAAGTTGGCCTGATTTAGTTTTGCACGTTTCAGAGCACTCCAGAGCCCTGTCTGGACTTTTACATACTTTGTGCACACGTACTTGGTAACATACATGTACATTGTACATTAGCTTGAGTAACTCCAGCTTAACAAGCTCATCAGGAATACATGTGAATTCCTGATGCGCTTGTTATAAGCTGGAGTTACTCAAGCTACATGTATCTGAAAAAAGAATCGAAACTCATTTCCCACTTTTAGTGTACAGTGTTAATGGCAACTAAATGTTGACCAAACCTTGCCAAAGTAAATACACGTCGCTGACATTCAACCAAGTTCATAAATCAAGGGTTACATTGTCCATGTCATCTTAACAATTATAACAAAAGTACCAATTCAAAACGTGCGGAAAAAACCACAAAACTCAAACATTAATTTGCTAAAAATGAATGAAGAAAACAATAATTTGTCGTCATAATGCATGCAGTAAAATATATCTATTTAAATTTTATGTACTTAATCGTGTATTCTATGCTTGTATTTCTCATTTTGTATGGAAATAAATGTTAGCTTTGAATTTCATTGAATTGAAAAAATTATGTGTGCGTAAACATGGACATGATGGAAGGTAGATGTTATTTGTTAATCAATTTCCCTCCTTTTGTTTGATCAAACCATCACACAGACTAGTCCCACTAACTGGGGCGCTAGAACTCCTTTTTTGACATTTGGGATGTTGGTCTGTCGTACTTGCGTCCCACAACGGAAATATTGTCAAAGTGACAATTACAACGTTCACCACAAAAATCACGCAAAATACTTGACAAAAACACATTTGAAAGCACCTACTGGCATTTCCACATGTCAAAGACGAAGGGGCTTCAATGATACTCACAAATATTTTTTGGGTTGAAAATCCGTGAAATTCAACCACTAGCCTATTGCACAGACATCATACAGCGATCATTATTATTATTATTATTATTATTATTATGCATTTAGGTACGCTATTCATAGTATAACTATATCACAGCGATTACAGTAGTAATGAGCAATATAACAACAAATTATTAAACATTATACAAACAAAACAACAATAATACATCAATTGGGAAAGAGGTATGTTTTGAGGATCTTCTTTAACACATCCACTGATGGAGCAGATTTAATATAGGAGGGAAGTTCATTCCACTCCTTAGCTGCTGTAACAGTGAATGTACGATCTCCTGCCTTACTACGAGTCCTGGGAAAAGTTAGCCGAGATGGATCATTCAAAAACGTTATGGCTTTTATCTACATGTACTAACGAATACAGGTCAACTCGTACGCGAGCCAACTCGTACGCGACCAACTCGTACGCAGGACAACTCGTACGCGGACCAACTCGTACGCGAGTCAACTCGTATGCGAGATAACTCGTACGCGGACGAACTCGTACGCGAGCCAGCTCGTACGCGTGAGTATAGACTAGCAGCTGAAGCACAAGCATGACAAGGGATTTTACTGAAACCGTAGGTTCGGGCGTGTAGGAAATTAGGGTCGGTCAGTTGTCCGGCACATTCTTTTTTTGTTAAGTTAAGGGGATTATTTTGTGTTACGGAGTGGTCCCAATTAGTTCATCTTTAAATCAGCTTGTTTTGCTCTAATAACAAAAAAAGTTATGATTTGTTTTCCCGGACCACTCGCACACTGTCGATGTCCGGTATGTCCGATCCTTGCTCACACCGTACGCTATACACGATAATGCCTTGTAGTGAGAATTTAAATCGTATAATGTCCGCTGCATTTGTAGACTTTCAACAATTCACTGCTATAGTCTGATAGTGGCCCCGCGCTATGTGTAAATCAAATCGTTGTATGTCTTGACAAATTCCCAACACTAGCTGCGTGGCTGGAAGTGCATGCTGCGGCAATGCACTACACATCGGTCGCAAAATGGATCATGTTTTTTTTTAATTTATCATTGAAACTTTTGAACTTGAACATCGTTGCATTTATAGAATTTAAAATTGTTGAAAATACATATGGCTACAATCACAGTCATCACAATCACAGTTGTTGTGTGTTTTGGGGTCAACTTCAAGTTGGCGATCGTCCGCGTACGAGTTGGCTGGCATACGAGTTGGTTCGCGTACGAGTTGGCCCGCGTACGAGTTGTCTTGCATACGAGTTGGCTGGCGTACGAGTTGTCTCTCGTACGAGTTGACCAATCCACGTACGAGTTGTCTCGCGTACGAGTTGTCCTGTTTCGCTACTAACGCATTGTCTATGGTAGTATGGACGTACATAGGGATTCAGGTTGGCGTAGCGGTACTTTCCTCGCCTTCCACCGCTGTGACCCGGGTTCGAATCCCGCCTGGGCCAATATGTGGATTGGGTTTTCAGTCCCTGCCTGATTCCGTGGGTTTTCCCCAGAATATTCTTCTGGGCTTTTCCTCCCACCTCTAAAACTGTAACTTCTTCTCATTGTCTTCTCTCCACAGGTTTCTTCAGGCTTGCGAGCTACAGTGCCTAGGGCGCTTTTGAGGAATCCTTGGTTTCATTACCAGAAATGATTAATAATAATAATAATAATAATCATGTACACATACAAACACGTATGTGAAGCAGGGGCTGGGACACGAACGCGACCAGTGCCGAAAAACAAAATCCGCATTTAGATCGGGGGATGCACCTTGTGGTGAACTTTGAAATTGTAACATTGACTATACTTCCGTAGTGGGATGTACAACAGACCAACATCCCAAATGTCAAAAAATAAAAGTGTTGCTGTTGAAACCCCTCAGCCAGTCAAGTTATCATCCGGAAACCATTAACCCAACATGGTGACCTTGACCTTTGACCCCAGAACCAGTCCCAACATGTTTTATGCAGTGCATGGGTGCTCTTGTTTTTTTTGGGTTTTTTTCAGTGCAATTCTTTGGGTGTGTGTATCTGTGGTTTGTTTGTTTTTACTGAATGGTCCATGATTATTTTTTATGCATGTATATTTTAAGTGTTTTTTTGTATCCATATTTTACTATTTACTTTTTTTAGTGTTTCCTGTAATTGTAGTTTTAAATGAATTGCTCTGTATAATTGCTGGGCACCTCTGGAAAACAGTGTACCACTGAGAGGTTTCCCCAGGGTAAATAAGAAGTAAATAAAATAAAATAACATGTCTGTACCAATGGGAAACCCCCTACTGAAGATAGACCGCAAAATTTCATGTCTAACTCAAGTTATCGTTCGGAACCATTTACATTTGGAACTTTTGACCTTTTGACCCCAAAACCAATCCCAACTTGCCTGTACCCAAGGGCAACCCCCTACCTAAGACAAACACCAAAATCTCATTTCTAACTCCAGTTATCATCCGGAAACCATTCACATTTAACTCACCACGGTGACCTTGACCTTTGACCTTTTGACCCCAAAACAGGGCTCGATTTTCACAAAAAAAGTGGCATGCACTGGTGCAGTGTAGACCAAAAAACCTACATGTACCAAGAAAAACCCACATGCACCATAATTAGATTTTAATCTGACAAGTGACCAGGGTCATTTGCGTGCAAAATTATCGGAGCCCTCCGAGCTACCCGTCTGCTTCATGTGGCGCATATGATAGGCGGCGTCTGATTGGCCAATAACGAGACCACGTGATCAACGCAGCTAATAATTTGGAATCGCACTTATGATCCGGACATAAGGAATGCCCGGAGCGTCAGTGCGATACCAAATTATCTGCAGCATGTATCACGTGGTAAATCACATGCATGATCGGAGCTGTTGCAGGACGTACGTCGAGATGTTACCTCGTACTTTGAATCTGCTGCGACTGGGCGAGGAATAATTTATGGATTTATAAAAGAAATAACACGTTTGTACACTATCTGGTCAAGTATTAAACAAACCTTATTCTTATTCTCACTCACTGGTAAATATATGCATGAAATGAGTATTTTGGTGGCTAAAAAAAGTTACATGCACGTCGTGCATGCTCAGTAAAAAAGCTACGTGCACAAGCAAAAATCTACATGCACTGGTGCATGCGTGCACCCGGGTAAATCGAGCCCTGCCCAAAAACCAATCCCAACTTGCCTACTCCCAAGGGCAACCCCCTACCAAAGTTAGACATCAAAATCTCATTTCTAACTCAAGTTATCATCCGGAAACCATTTACCTTTAACTCACCATGGTGACCTTGACCTTTGACCTTTTGACCCCAAAACCAATCCCAACTCGCCTACTCCCAAGGGCAACCCTCTACCAAAGTAACTTAGACTCCAAAATCTCATTTCTAACTCAAGTTATCATCCGGAAACCATTTACCTTTAACTCACCACGGTGACCTTGACCTTTGACCTTTTGACCTCAAAACCAATCCAAACTTGCCTACTCCTAAGGGCAACCCCCCAAAGAAGTTACAACCCCAAACAACGTTTCTAACTCAAGTTATCATACGGAAACCATTTACCTTTAACTCACCATGGTGACCTTGACGTTTGACCTTTTGACCCCAAAACCAATCCCAACTTGCCTACTCCCAAGGGCAACCCTCCACCAAAGTTAGACATCAAATCTCATTTCTAACTCAAGTTATCATCCGGAAACCATTTAGCTTTAACTCACCACGGTGACCCTGACCTTTGACCTTAAAACCAATCCCAACTTGCCTACTCCTAAGCTAAGGGCAACCCCCTAAAAAAGTAACAACCCCAAACAACATTTCTAACTCAAGTTATCTAGCATGCCTAGTAAGGGGTAAAATTAAAAAGGAGTTCTAGCGCCCCAGTTAGTGGGACTACACACAGACAGTCATGACAATTGACAGTCAAAAAATTCGTTCCACTTCCCCCTTCCATGTGTATTAAGGCAGGCTAAAACATGTACATGTTGACCATGGCATTGACACATACCTTACACTGACTATCCAAAGAGTTTCCCGCGGTTTTATACCTAACTTCGGTATCCTTCGAGCAGAAGCTGACGGGCGCCATGCCTGGCAGATAGAACGCCGAACAGTCCCGCCCAGCAAGCCCCACCAACACCACGGCCATGACGGCCGCAAACAGTCCTCGCAATGCCCGACAACCACCCAGCATCTGCGTCATATTGGACCTAGGCTCTGGACTTTTTACAAAATGAAGAATTGATGAGCTTCTTCGGAGTAATTGCAGAATACCCCGCCACTCGGAAATACACCCCTAAATTCTCTGGCTACGAAGTTGGAATCACTGGAAAAGAAACAATTCAACTCCATGCCAGCTATGCGGATACTGAGTGGGGGTCCATTATTTGAGAACGAAGCAACACAAAAGGAATGAGAGTTGCCAATTCTAAGTCCCAACCAACTACCCCTGTTGGCGGCTACGCGGTTACGAAGTGGGAGTGCAATGGAGCATGACGCAAAGTACATTCAAGTAGCGCTGAGAATGTTTATTGAGGTCAACCACCTCGTAGCCGGCTACGAGGTGGTGGATAGATCGAGTGGCGGGGTATTCTGCAAATAGTGCAATTGTGCCGCTTCTTGGATTATACTGGAAAATAAATGACGGGAAAAGTCACGAAAAATGTCTGCTTTCACAGCTGAGTGACTTTAAAAGCATAAAAGCGTGAAACTTGGCACAGATGTTTATATTCATGCGAGAAAATGTTTTAGATGTGGAGCCATCGCAAATTTACCCTTTTAGGGGCGTGGCACCATTTAAAAAAAAAGGGGCGGGACTTGTCGTGCCCGCAGTAAAAATGGTTTTTCCCACTTGTTACAAAAGCAGAAACTTCACAAAGACATAATTATATAGATTATTAGTGTTTTCCAGATTCGGAGCCACCACAAAAGTACCTTTTTAGGGGCGTGGCAGCCATTTAAAGAAAAGGGGGGTTTAATTATTATGCCCACTTTGGAAAACATTGTGACCATATTTCATGAACGAATAAAACGTCCCACAGACGTTTATATTCATGAGAAAAAAAAATCCAGATGTGGAGCCATCTCGAACACACCCTTTTAGGGGCGCGGCAACCATATAGGAAAAAAAAGGGGGCGGGGTTTTCATTATGCCCACCCTGGAAATATTGTTCCCACACTCAAAGAGATATGGAACTTTCCACAAACATTGACATTCATGAGAAAACAAATTCCAGATGTGGAGCCATCTCGAACACACCCTTTTAGGGGCGTGGCAACCAGATCAGAAAAAGAGGGGGGGCGGGGTTTTCATTATGCCCACCCTGGAAATATTGTTCCCACATTCATAGAGAAATGGAACTTTTAACAGACATTGACATTAATGATAAAAACAATTCCAGATGTAGAGCCATCGCGAACACACCCTTTTAGGGGCGTGGCAGCCATATTGAAAAAAGGGGGCGGGGTTCTCATTATGCCCAACATAGGAAAAATGTGCCCACATCTCAAACGAATGAAGCTAATTTCCACAGACATTAATACTGACGAGATAAAAATCACACGTGGAGCCATCGTAAACACACCCTTTTAGGGGCTTGGCAGCCATAATAAAATGGGGGGGGGGTAGTCATGATGCCCCTATAAAAGAAAGTTCTTATGTCGAGCCACAGCAAACTCATCCTTTTAGAGGTGTGAGGGGCCTAGTCACTGTGCCCACAATTGCATTTTTATATTTTGTTGTTGATTTCTTATAATGTTGATTGGCCCATAACCTATATTATTTGGTAATACAATGACTTACCCCAAAGAGCATGGGTAAGTACCGGTAGGCTAACCCTTGTTATATTGTTCAATGTGTGTACTTGCACCTATATTATCATGCACATCTAAATTCCAGAGTGATTTCATAATTACAAATACACAGCACACAATGGCAGCCCTAAACTCTAACATTTAACATTAAAGGGCCATGGAAATCCTTTTTTTACGGGGGGGGGGGGGAGTGTAAAATCCCCCTACCTCTTACCTGTTGCGCCGCATTGACAGCAGATTGGGTAACAACACGATGTACTCGCCTCACAAAGTGGTGGACACGTCCACTATGACTTCACATTCAATGAATCTGTGTACCCCCACCACACAACACCTCTGTTCTCTTAAAAATGGTATATCAAGCTCTGATGAGTGTTTTTTTTACCCCGACCAAATCCATTTAAAAAAATTATACGTTATACAGGTGCGACACTGCATATGCCTTTTGGTCTGTCAGAAAAAAAGGCAGGGGAAACAATGTATTTGAAGAAGTAACACTAGTCTTTCCAGGACTAACTGAGGTACCCCAGTTTATACCCCTAATTCAGATATTGATGCAGTTGAAAGGTTATCAATAATTCTACAGACGAAAGAACCAGTAACTGGGTTAATATAGATGAGGCAAGAATGCATAGTGTAAGAAAACAAAGGGTTTGTCAACAGTAACTTCCAACTATAAAGGCGGCCCTACTCCAACACATTAAACAGCTATCTGAGGTGGATTTTATTATATGAAACGCGGTCAAAATTTTCCACGTTGTGCATATTGAGTACCCCCCCCCCCCCTTTTAAAAATGGATGCCGCACCTCTAGAAGGGTAGGTTTGTGATGGCCTCACATTAAAAAAAAAAAAAGATTTTTATGAATGTATTGTCCGAGTGGAATTTAATCCATTTATGAAAGGTAGGCACAACTTTCTTTTATAGGGGCATCATGACTACCCCCCCCCCCCATTTTATTATGGCTGCCACGCCCCTAAAAGGGTGTGTTTACGATGGCTCCACGTGTGATTTTTATCTCGTGAGTATTAATGTCTGTGGAAATTAGCTTCATTCGTTTATGAGATGTGGGCACATTTTTCCCATGTTGGGCATAATGAGAACCCCGCCCCCCCCCCCTTTTTTCAATATGGCTGCCACGCCCCTAAAAGGGTGTGTTCGCGATGGCTCTACAACTGGAATTGTTTTTATCATGAATGTCAATGTCTGTGAAAAGTTCCATTTCTCTATGAATGTGGGAACAATATTTCCAGGGTGGGCATAATGAAAACCCCGCCCCCCCTTTTCTGATATGGTTGCCACGCCCCTAAAAAGGTGTGTTCGAGATGGCTCCACATCTGGAATTTGTTTTCTCATGAATGTCAATGTTTGTTGAAAGTTCCATTTCTCTATGTGTGTGGGAACAATATTTCCAGGGTGGGCATAATGAAAACCCCGCCCCCCCTTTTTTTTCCTATATGGTTGCCACGCCCCTAAAAGGGTGTGTTCGCGATGGCTCCACATCTGGAATTTTTTTTCTCATGAATATAAACGTCTGTGGGACGTTTTATTCGTTCATGAAATATGGGCACAATGTTTTCCAAAGTGGGCATAATAATTACCCCCCCCCTTTTCTTTGAATGGCTGCCACGCCCCTAAAAGGGTACTTTTGTGGTGGCTCCGAATCTGGAAAACACTAATAATCTATATAATTATGTCTTTGTGAAGTTTCCTGCTTTTGTAACAAGTGGGAAAAACCATTTTTACTGCGGGCCCGACAAGTCCCGCCCCCTTTTTTTAAATGGTGCCACGCCCCTAAAAGGGTAAAATTGCGATGGCTCCACATCTAAAACATTTTCTCGCATGAATATAAACATCTGTGCCAAGTTTCACGCTTTTATGCAAAAGTGCACAATTCATCGATATTTTGTCACATATCCGCTGGACTATACGTACCGCATAGTACGCAGCCGGCGCGACGGGTGTCGGACGCTTCGCCCCATTTCCACTTCGCCCCATGTCACTTCGCCCCTAACCACTTCGCCCCTAACCACTTCGCCCCATCCCCAACCTCGTCCCCAGGCTGTCGAGCAGTACGCGCCCACCACTACCTGCTCTCTCACCCTGGTTTGCATATGTGCAAGATTTTTGAACACGTATGCAAATGAGGACGGAACAGTCTGGTGCCTGGATATATGCGTTACACATTAGCGTTTGTTTTCTATGAAGCCCTGGAAGGGACAGGGTGGAAATTTTTTTTGACATTTGCTAATTCGTTCGCACGAGATACTAATTCGTTCGCACGAATTAGTAATTCGTTCGCACGAATTAGTAATTCGTTCGAACGAATTACTAGTTTGTGCGAACGAATTAGTAATTCGTGCAAACGAATTAGCAAATGCCAAAAAAAAAATTCCACCCTGTCTCTTCCCGGGCTTCATAGTTTTCGTATGCGGTGTCTGAGGTAAAAACAGAGTCAATTCGTAGCAGCGCGAGCACGGCGTGAGTTACGAAAACACGATTTTTGAAATCAAACTGTTACGATTTTATCGAGACAACATGCAGTATCATATTTCATATTAATATGAGCAAATTGGAAAGGAAATTAGTATTTTCGAGAAGGCATGGACGAATGATCGCGAAAACACGTACTGCACGTTGTGAATAATAGCACCAAGTACACGATAAAAATCCAGAAAGAAAGAAAGATTCCTATCCAGGGTTTACTACTGGAAACGCGGTTGGAAATAAAGTAAGCACTGGGGACGAGGTTGCCCCATCCCCCCTTCGCCCCATTCCCATTTCGCCACATCCCCGTTTCGCCCCATATCCACTTCGCCCCATGTACAAAGGTGAAGGGGTGCAGATCAGTAAATATTAAAACAGCCAAAGACCCCGATAATAAATGCTCCCAATTCTAGAAAATCAGGAAAAATACAAACTCTCTGATGAGGTGTTCAAGACACAGGGACCAAGACACGTACACACATCAACTTTCTGCTCATTTCATCATTGATTTTCTGTTCAATTGTGATGTACATGAACACGATACGGGCCTTTTACAGGGGTGAAATTTCATGTTTATTTCAGTTTCCCTCACTTTTCGTTATAAACTTTTCCCCGGTCTTTGAATTAAAAAAATTCCCGAATAAAATCCAGCTCCGAAAAAGCCTTTCCGGAGAATGATTGACAGCGGCATTGTTCAAATTGATACAATGTCACTCATGTTCGTTACAAAGTATATACATTCGGGTTCAGCTGTAGACCACCTTTGATGAGGACCTGCCGCCAGTAATTTGAACATTCTTAGATGATGAACAGTGATGATAGTATCTCAGCCAATGAAATGAGTCAGTTCCCGGCAAATAAATACGCCATTGGTTGGTTTCATCACGGACTGTCTGCTTTCATGAATATGACGTTAGGCTATAATGTTGGAATTCCGAACTATCTGAGCCACAGGTGCATGCTGCATGGCTGTGTGTCCATTATCACATTCCAACCTGGTTGCCGAGAAATACTGTTGCTAGGAGACTCCCTTGTGATGCCTGGATGGGAGCTGCCGGTTGCGTAGCCAGAAATCTTGTATGTGATTATTTTTCTCGCAGCATGCAGAAAACTAGTTGCTCAAGAATGCTGCCGCTTGAAACAGCCCTGTTGAGGGTGAAAATGATATCTTGATGAAAATGAACTCTCAACATGTTACCTTGCTGGTTTTATTAGATTTAAGTGCCGCATTTGATACTGTTGACCACACTATCTTGTTAAATATAAGACTCCAGTGTAAGTTCGGGATCACAGGTACAGCATTGGACTGGTTTCGCTCATATTTAAGTGGAAGGAGTCAACGTGTATCAATGCAGGGTATTATATCTGATCAATGTAATCTTAATTGTGGGGTCCCGCAGGGATCTTGCTTGGGACCATTGCTTTTTACTTTGTATACATCCAAATCGTTTGATGTAGTTAAACGTCATCTTCCTAATGACCACTGATCTGTGGTGCGATCTGAGGCAATTTCTGACCACTTTAACCACTGGTTTTTTTTTAGGAAAAGATGGTTGTGTACTCATTGCCTGCCTTTATTGCAATGTCACATAAAAAAAAATTGGTTTCGGGTTTTTTTTTTGGGGGGGGGGGGCATGGCCCCCTTTGGCCCCCCCCCCCCCCCCCCTGGATCCGCCCTTGGTTCTACTCTAGAATATATTTTGGAATACATTTTGACATGAAGCATTAAATGCAAGTGCTGTATTAAATGTGCTCCCTAGTCCAGCCGGGAAATAGAAAAGTGTATTACACAAATATGTTCTTGCTTTGAAAGAAATTTTGAGACAATGATTGACAGGCGACCTTAAAAACTTTTACATTGTATATTTTTGTTGATAATTATGTATAATAGTTATGTTCAAAGCGATTGATTTGATGACCGCCCATCCGCCCGCCATAATGACTCCTCAAAAACGAAAAAGATAGCCATGTTCTCAAAGGGATGTATTTAATGCCCGCCCGCCCTAAGACGACTTGTAAAAAAAAAAAAAAAAAAATTGCAAAAAGGGGGGGCACGGGCCGGGTGTGCCCCCATCTGGATCCGCGCGTGGACATACGCCAGAAAACATGTCAGAAATTACCAAAGAGAAGTGTTCCCGATGGTACAACCATTGCCAAACATACATGCCCCGATGTCTTCAACGCAGTGGCGTAGCCACCGGGGGGGCGTGGGGGGGGGCGACCGCCCCCCATAAAACCTTGTCGCCCCCCCCCCCAGTCGCCCCCCCCCCCCGACTGAGATTTTGAGTTTCTAAAAAAATTATCATTGATCTACATGACGCCACGTCAATCCTGGGGGGGGGGGGGGGGCAGGGGACATGTCCCCCCCCCCCCCCCCCACTTTTTGAAGGGTGGGGGACACAATATCAAATGTCCTCCCCCCCCCCCCCCCCCCCGATTTTTGAACTCATGTCTCATTTACAGGGCCCTATTATGTACTACAATGTATCTTTTGCTTAGAAAATATTGGTTAAAGTGGTCAGAAATTGCCTTAGTTAGCACCACAGAGCATTTAGAATCCAACATTTTTCGGGGCCCTTCAGCGGGCCCCGAACCCCACGCCTAAAGCTCAGAATTCTGGTAGCTGATTCAATTACTCCAACCTCGAAAACAATGTTCCAAAAAAATTTCTTATGCCTTTAGCTGAGAAAACCTCGAAAATTATGTTTATATAATTATCTGTTGTGCTAAGATAATTATTGGTTAAAGTGGTAAGAAATTGCCTCGGATCACACCACAGAGCATCGAGAATCCAATTTTTCGGGGCCCTTAAGCGGGCCCGAACCCCACGCCTATAGCTCAGAATACCGATAGCTGATTCAATGACTCCAACCTCGAAAACGATGTTCAAATAATTATCTTTTGCTAAGAAAACATTAGTTAAAGCATGGAGGAAAGTGGTAAGAAATTGCTTCAGATCACACCACAGAACATCTAGAATCTTTTTTTTTTTCGGGGCCCTTAAGCGGGCCTCGAACCCCACGCCGTAAGGGCTTCGCGCTTCGCGCTCGCATCAGTTATGATCAAGGTATGTCCGCCCCCCTGACGCCCCCCCCCCCCTGAAATGCTCCAGCCCCCAGCGCCCCCACAGCAAAATATCCAAAATGCTAGCAACTTTTTGTGCTGAAATAGGCATTTAATCTGCCCGGAATGACATCAAAGTTTTGCTTATAAATATGCTCATAAATATGGAACTTTGCATTAGCATAAAAACGGAGAAGGCACCAAAAATGGAAAAATAAAACTTGAAAATAAGGTTATACATGTAACACAAAGATGTATTTTCAAGGTTTGCATTGAAAAATTACTTTGCGTGGGCCTTTAAATAAGTGTTCGGTCAGACATACGCCAGAAAACATGTCAGAAATTACCAAAGAGAAGTGTTCCCGATGGTACAACCATTGCCAAACATACATGCCCCGATGTCTTGCACGTCAAGAAATCGTCAACGTCAAGATGTGCCCCTTGCTCAAACGTTTAAACACGTAGAACAGATGAACAGTGAAAAAGAAATTGGGTTATCTTAGCCCTTTTCATTTCGTTATTTCGTTACATCTTGTAATTTGTGACACTGTAAATATTTTACAGTCACCAAGATTTTTGGGGGAAAACGAACCTCGGAGGAAAATAGGAAAACATTATCAATTAAAAAGGATTACAGTCAACTCGACCGGGCGTTTGCCAACTCGACTCGAACCAACTCGACCGTTTACCAATCTTATTAATTTGAATGACCAAACGATGAAAGTATGATTGCCCATAAACGAACTTGGAAACGAAAAGCATGGTATACGTTGAGCGCACCAACGTTCGCTAATTTGAATGCGTCAACCGGCAAAAGGTTGCAAAGACTTATTTAAGAATGCTACAAATTAAGTCTTGAATGCACCAAAACGAAATAGAATGCCCCAAAACGAAAACGAACATTCAGAGTAAAATCTTGGCTGCCTAAAGTTGAATGATTGAATGCCCCAAAAATGAAAAAGAAAGTTTGATCACGTGTAAAAATCACGCGAAATGGAATGAATGATAGGCCTCATGAAAATGATTAGGAAATTTGCCGGGAAAACCTATATTAAATTTGAGTGGAAAAAACAGGCCCGGATTATACAATGGGCACAGTAAGCACTGTGCCTAGGGCCTACAAAAAATTCGGGGGCCTATACGAAAATACCGCAGTGTGCCATAAAACACACACACACACGTTTGTTTTACATTCCTTTGTTTTCGTGTAGTTAAGAAAACTCGGTACAAAAAATAACTTTACTTAAACTGTAAAAATTCTTTCAACCCATTTTTTTCTATGGTTCCCTATAGTGTTTCTCTTCATTCTGCCACATCTTTGGGCACATACTCTGCATGCCAGACGATGACCCTGTGAAATAATGTCCTTTATACGCCACCCTATGGGACTGACGTATGTTAAAAGCCTGCTTGGAGATGGTAGAGGCATACTGCGACCGGACCAAATCGCAACACTTGCCCAAGATCGCAGTAAATGGAAGAAGCTTGTAGTCGCCTGCTCTGCAGCCGAAGGATGATGGTGATGATGATGATGAATGTAGTCGACTAATCTGTGGATATTTGAGCCAAGTTCGTGGCTACTCTACATTTTGAGAAAACAAAGGACGCAAATGCACAATTTTTGGGTCTTTATCTTGATTCTGTTACTTATGCATGCAACCTTTACCCAACCCCTAAAAAAAAAAAAAAAAAAAAATCTCTTCTTCAAAATTGATTGATTTGATTTGATTTTTTACAGAACTTCATAAATTTTTATTGTTCCTGCAAAGTATTTAAATATGTGAATAATTTGGAGAAGTGTTTGAAAAGTTAGTCACATAACCTTTGTCATATTTTCTTTCAAATATTATACTACACCCTGTTTCTTTAATTCATATTTCAGTTAATTTTGTTCTGGAAATGTCATATACATAAAAAGTAATAACTTTTTTATATTTTACATGCATGTAATATGGCAAACGAGTATTTGCATCAAGCAATTTGCGTTTTTATGAAACCGAGTACATGCAGTATTTACAGACTGAACACAATTAAACCCAAACTTCGGTGAATTTATCACATCTATAATAATGTTAAAGGCATATAGGATCATTTGCATTTATCCCCAAAAGTAATCTACATAAGTATTATCAAAAACCTTTTATGGAGTAACGACCAGTCGACCATACTGGTACTAAACATCACGTGAGATTATTCCTGAAGTATGTAGGTGACTTCCAACGATCACTCAAACTTCAACAAGCTAGGTTTTGAACATTCTTCTTTGAATTCTGAGTGGTGTTTTATTGGAAACGAACAAAATGCATGGAAGGCAAATGATCCTATGTATGCCTTTAATTGGTCTTGCTGACGACATGTGCCTTCCTTTGTCTTCAGTCATGGCACCCTTGTCTATATTTGTGGGGTGAGTTCACCTTCAGATTTCCCGCCTACAACTGACACATCTTGCTGAACAGTGTCAGCATTGTCCTTGCCTACTTCAATGATTGGGGGAGGGTTTCCCCCATCTTCTTGATTTGATGCAGCCTCATTTGCTATGTCCTCCTCCTTCTCCTCCTCCTTGACCACACCCACGTTCATCGTTTCTTGGGGCATGTCCTTCTCATCCTCAACATCACTGTTCAACTCCAGCTGGCTGGGATCCAGGGAGCTGTAAATCTTCAGGAGGAACCAGAAGCAGGAAAATAATCCAATGGTACCTGAAGACAGAAGAACACAGATAATAAAATCACCATACACTTGATAAAAAAAGATTATACAGTGTACATATATGACTAATTGTTGATGGAGCGTGTGGTTCGAATCCAGCTGCTGGCTGTGTCCTTGGGCAAGCCACTTCACCCTCACTTACCTCTTTCTACCTAGGAGTATAAATGGGTACCTACATTAGCTGGGGAGTAACCTGCTATGGACTGGCATAATATTCTCAGTTGTTTCATGCCATAGTTTCAGGGGCTATCCGCTCCGTGCACAAGTACCCCCTCAACGGTAAGAAAGGGAGAGTTGGGCAAGACCACATGGAGTTACATTGGAACGCATCCCTGAAGAAGCCTGATATTTATGCGAGGACACTATGAGTTTGTGCACATTCAGAACAAAATTACTTGTGCGTACTTTGTGTTATACACACGGAGAACCAGTATGCACACGCAGTGTGTCCCATCCAAGGGGCTCTCCAAAGTGCTAACAAAGCGCCCTCTCTTGTTCACACACGGACCCCATATTGGCTTGTAACAGACTTTCCTTATTATAGGATTGATTTAATGGTGATTGTTTTGTGTGTCTGTGGGGTGAGGGTGTGTATACCAATGCCTGTTGCAAAACGTGACAATGGATTACAGAAATAACACTGTGAACATTTGTACTTAAACAAGCATTCAACAATTGCAGAAAACTGCACCAGTGATTGAATTTCCGATTCTTGCAATTTGAGGCCTTTTTTTAAATCTAATGATAACATTTGCAAGTTCTGAAGGTTAGGTTGTAATACAGGGTGGGTAAAAAAAAAAACTAATCCCAAATGACAAGACTAATTTTTGAATGAAGTTTTGCCTGTAGCACTTACAAATTCTAGGACATGCAGGCATGCAACTGGGAAATCACAAAAAAAGAGGAAATTCAAATTTTTCCCAGACTTTGTACAGTGTTTTTCTATTTTCAATGGCACACATGGGAAGTAAAAAAAGAGGAAATCAGCTGATCCGAGGAAAAGTTGCATGCCTGGACATGAAAGCCCTACCAATGAGCTTTCTTTTAGTACAAGAATCATTCAAATCACTCATGCACTTTTCAAGTTACTGAATTTAGAACACAAACACCATTTTTAAGGTTCTGTAAAGTTCCGTCCACGGATCACAAAAAAAAGATAAGTGTTCTTTCAGCCAAACGAAAACAATTCACATGCATCCCTATGAGAATTGTTTTCGTTTTGCTGAAAGAACACTTACAATTTGGGTTTCGTTTTCTTTTACTCACTGTATAGATGCAAGAAAAATGGGCCAGGTACACTGTGAAGTGGTTCCTAGTAGGGGCTTGTATCAGTTCATATGCCATCAGTGTCTAGATACTCAGGTTGGATCAGGGGCTCAGGTTGGCATAGCGGTACTTTCCTCACTTTCACCGCTGTGACCCCATTTTGGATTGGGTTTCAGTCCCTGCCTTATTCCGTGGGTTCCCCTAGAATATCAATCTGGGGTTTTTCTCACACCACTAAAACTGTAACTTCCTTCCCCATCTGCTACCAAGTCTTATATATCCTGTTCTGGCGCTGTTAGATGTTCCCAAAATAAATAAATAAGTAAGTGCTGAACGCCCATGTCTCTCCTGGGTAGGTAAACAGCGCCCTCTACAGTTCTGCAAAGACAACACAGCTTGGACTCACCCGTGAACAAGAAGAACAGGAGGACCATGATGGAGGTGTAGCCAAAGTACAAGACTGTGCTGGCTGTGCCCTGGATCGTCAACTTGGACACAAAGTAATACACGCAGTAGATAAGGACGTAGACGGCAGTGAAGCCGCTCGACAGGAAAGAGCGCCACCACCAGTGATAGTTCTGCAGAGGTAAAAATGATGAAGCTTTCAACTTTAGATTGAAAAGGAATGAGTCGGTGCCTGAGTTACATCGCATGAAGGAAACTGTTTATTAATTCGGTTGAGTACCAGGACGAATTAGAATAAATCTACTTCAGCGTTGGCATGTAAATGATGCATGGTTCGGTGATTCAGGGCGGGTAATTTGAATAGGGAGTGGAACATGTGTTCGGCTAGAAAGTAGATTACTTCACGCTTGCAAGCAGTAACAAACACACACATTGTTTTAATACCTGTATTTTGGTTAGTATTTTATATCCAAAGATGCCCAGTGTACGGTTATTTCTAAGAGAGTTAACCATAATATTGCTACCGCTAGCCTAAGAGCGTTGACTTGCAAAGTTCAGGTATAAGTTTCAACTTTTCCATAAATGGTTTTTGTGGTATTTTGTGTCTGGCATTCAACACAGCAATGAGTTTGAATGTGATTCTAACAGTATAATTAACATGCAGAAACAAGCCACAACAACTGTAAAATATGAATATTTATTTATGCTTATCAAATTCTGTAACAAACTGCTGACTCAAATAATGGAGGCTCTTATAGGCCCAAAGCTTGCTCATCTTAAGCCTTGAACGTTACAATTGTTGAAGTGTTGTACAAATGCCATTAAATCGGGCCAGCATGCCTGGTTGCTGATACTTGCATATATACCAATGTCAGGCTGGTTTGACTATTTAATTGTGCAGAATGGTGTCAAAATGATCAATGCAAATTAAGAGATGTACTGTGCATGGCATATTACTACAGTGGAATGTCGCTATACCGAACACCGCTATACCGAACATTCGGCTATACCGAACATGGTGCTTGGCTCCTGATTTTTTTTTAAAACGTACTGAACATTGTTGTTGAAAAGTGTAATCAGAAGAGCAACAAGTGGCTATTATTTCCCCAAGGAATAGTAGGGGAAAGTCACCCATTGCTGCAACTAGCAGGCTCTAAACTGCGTAATTACATAATTCAATAGTCAACACATGTTCAAAGTCGTCTTTCAGTAACTATAAGTAAAATAATAATAATAATAATAATAATAAAATAATAAAATCGTTATACCAAGCGATCGATATTACGAACAATTTCTGTGGATCATGCGATGTTCGTTATAGCAGCGTTTCACTGTATAAGGCCTGTAAATTATGTTAATACATTTGGGAATTGTGGGAGACAGCTTCAAGGCATGGTGAAAAACAAAAAACTGTACCTCAGATTGAAGGTGCAAAAAGCAGAACAGTATCGTGATCAAGGAACAGACGACGACCATGACTGCAGCTGTGCACAATGTGAAGCCAAATCCGTAGAAGAACTGATGCATCCTGGAACGTTAACATTGCAGGTGAGGCTGTGACTTTGAACCGTTTCAATGTTTAAGAGAAAACGGCATACAAGTCTTCTGAACATTTACCAAGCTGAAATTATCAACTGAATAAAAACAAGTGATCTGCGGACCGCATGTGTCGCCTTTTTCCGCGGTCAATCTTTGTATGTTTTGTGTTCTGAAAAAAAAAAGAGTATATTTGTGCATTTTAACAACCACCTTGAATGACCCCTAGATAACCTTTGACTTTCAATTTCGGAAGAGTTATGATGAACCCCCACCCAAGGATCACTCTATTCAAGTTGCATTAAAATCCATCAAATTCTGTAGACAAAGAAACATTTGAGGCATATTTAACCATGACCTCTAGTGACCCTACATGACCTTTAACCTCAGTAATCCGATGAAGAATTGTGTCTTCCCACCCACGGGTCACGTACTGCATGTAGGTGTCATCAAAATCCATTAAAGCATGCAGAAGTTATACATTTTTATTTTCAAAAAATGGACCAAAACTTTCATACGGGGCTATGGGTCTATGGTCATACAGAATTTAGAACTGGTAAGTGTCTCCCAAAAGCTCATTTAGGCGACACAAACACATTAAGACAAAGCGATCCTAGTAGAGCTGGCCCTAGAGTGCACAACCTTATTCCTTTGCCTCAGAATGGCTAAGGAGTTCAAAGAACAATTTGAATTGTTAACGTGTTTTGCCGTTCTGACTTATTGCTTACAAATGTATTAGGGAAAGAACATAAAACAAGCAGCACCAGTTTGCATGTGAAACCTCTTCAGTAACATCAAGTGGCATAGCCAGCAGGGTCGTAAGGGGGTATTTACTCTCCCCCTCCCCCCCCCCCCCTCCTCCCCAATATGTTTTAAAAAACTGCCCTTTGTTTTTTTTTTACAAATGCCCTTTTTTTAAAAACAAGTGCCCTTTTTGTTACCAGGGGCCTTTTAAGAGTGCCCTTTTTGGAATTTCGCACGACCATCTGCAATTGTGCCACCCTTAAAAGCGCCACCTATTGTCTGATAGTGTCCATGACAGTCCGGTTTGAACAGCGCCCACATAGAAAAGATGGTACCCCCTTCCCACCTTTTTTTGTTTTACAGAGGCCAAGTAACCAGAGAAAAAAAACGCTACCTACATGTCAGCATGGATGTGCGAGTGCCCTTTTCACAATCTCCCCAGCCCCCCCCCCCCCCAAAATAAAAAATGACCTTGCTATGCCACTGACACCTCTTGATGGCAGGTCAACAGGTAGAAATGACAATCCCTACCCTAGCGGGTTGGCCTAGCGGTACTTTCCTTGCCTTCTACCACTGTGACCTGGGTTCACATCCCGCCTGGGCCAACATGTGGATTGGGTTTTCATCCCCTACCTGATTCCGTGGGTTTTCCTCAGAATATTCCTCTGGGCTTTTCCTCCCACCTCTAAAACTGTAATTTCTTCTCATTTGTCTTCTCTCTACAGGTTTCTTCAGGCTTTCGAGCTACAGTACTTAAGGTACTTTTGAGGAATCCTTGGTTTCATTACCAGACAGAAATAAAATAAAAATAAAAATAAACTCACCAGATGCTACTCAAGATAAAGAAAAGCTGGATGAAGATACAACTGAAGGGAAGCCCCCCGCTGAAAACAGCAGTAAGCACAGGGTGTTTGTTACAAGGCTGCCTAGGGATCCGGCGCTGGGTCAGATTGGTGGGTACCGGGAACTCAATCGGCTAACAGGGAAAACAAAGGGAAAAATACACGAGAGGTGCTTAACATGTGGTTCTACCGAGAACTGATTACATTGAATTTCAAAATAGTGTACTGACAAATTTAGAACTAAAAAATGAATAAAACAGCTGCAAACTGCTCACTGACTGGATTGACCTGAAATATGCAAATTAGTCCAGAGTAGCCTGATATATTTCGTCCTTAGCAAATTAAGACTTCTTCAGATGTAAAAACCTCTGAAGAAGTCTTTGCTAATATTTGTATTATTAAATTTAGTTAAAAGTCTTTACACGTTTTCTCAGAGCACTTAATATGCTGGGGTGTACAACAATGCTTATACTCTGCTGGCACAGTGATTTTGGACATGATTTCTAGACCACCCACTTATGAGGATTTCATGGCTTCTGACTAGCACCCTCAACACAACTACTGACAACATGGGGTCCACTATACAAAGGCATTGCTCCAGTCTAATCTTTTTGTTGGATCTAAAATTGATGATAGATGTACATCCTTACTATAATTCCGGGAATCTCTGTCTGTCTGTCTGTCTGTCTGTCTGTCCGTTCTGACCAGACCACCCTTGTGGGGTGATGTTCCTTTCAGAACACATCACCCCACTTTTTACACAATGGAAAAACATCACCCCAGAAGGGAATCTTTAGAAAAAGGGATAATGGGAACACAATGCTATCACCCCACAAGTCCGTCTGGCTAGAACGTCCGTCTGTCTGTCCGTCGATTATCTCCAGAACCGGGCACCGTATGAAGTTGAAAATCGGCGGGTGTATTGCTCGGGACACCAGAATGTGCAGTGCCAAGTTTGAAGGGGTTTGGACGAGCGGTTCTCGAAAAAGCTGCAAAAAAGTACTATTTTCTGAGCCTCAACGTGGCAGTATTATAGCCTAGAACATAACACCACGCACTGCCGTTCTTTTCAATTGTTTACGTCATGTAAAGCTAAAACGCGCGCTCAATATGACGCAACAATGTAAAAAAGGACGGGCACATCATGGGGTTCTTTTCAATTGTTTACGTCATGTTCGAGCTAAAGCGCGCGTGCTGACGCAAACAGTGCAAAAAGGACGGGCACATTGTAGGACGATAGCACTGCACACCATGTCTTCGTACGTACATATACGTGAGTATACGTGAGTGGCATGCACGGGCACATACATTTTGTAGTCAACTGAGCAACCATCACTGCACTGTATGTATAGGCGGTCGACTGAGCAACTCTAATACAATATGGTATCGCCCTACAACTACGGATACCATATTGTCCAGTAGGGGTAAATATCAGTGCCAGGGGGTGACGACATTTTGTGCGTTTAACTTGCGAGTGTGCGTTCACACCATTGAATAATGTGCGTTGTTTGCACAAGCTGCAGTTCTCAACTGCCCCTTCCAAACACGCACATTTTCGCCTGGCCCAATACTAGTAGTGATAAATTTTAACACACGAGTCTGGAAAACAAAGATGCAGCAATGGTAAAACTGTCAATATAACAGCGTTTGCTCAAACGGACAATTTGGACGAGTTACCTTTCTTATAAAGTCAATGAATCCCCCAATGTAAACAAGAGGCAACTGGATGCCAAACCACAAGGCAAGTAGCGTTAAGAGAGTGGATGTAGGGATAGCGGCTGAACTTTGCCAGGTCCACAGCAGAACATTTAAGATTAGAACGATGGCGACGATGATGCTGGGAACCAACAGACCAGTCAGCAAGAGGTTGGTCTTCCACTTCTCACCTCCGAATGCTGTGATGAAAGATTTGTAAATGTAGGCCACTGGATTCGCAAAGTGCACATACAACATGTTCTGTTACCATGGTCTGTGTTGCCATGGTCTCTGTTGTCACTGTCTCTTTTGCCATGGTCTCTGTTGCCTTGGTTTCTTTTGCCACCGTTTCTGTTGTCGTGTTATCTGTTATCATAGTCTATGATACTATGCCAACAGAAACCATGACAAAAGAAACTTGGGCAACAGGGGCGAAAGCAAAGTCTTTGTTGGCATATAGTCTTTGTTGCCATGTTCTTTGATGTCATAGTCTCTGTTGCTTAGATCTCTGTTGTCAAGGGGTTTTTTGGCCATGGTTTCTGTTGTCATAATCTCTGCTGCTTTCGCCCTGTTGCCCAAGTTTCTTTTGTCATGGTTTCTGCTGTCATAGTATCTGATGTAATGGCCTATGTTGCCACGGTATATGTTGCCATGGTCTCTGTGGTCATGGTTTACTTTACCATGGTCTGTTGTCATTAAGGCAGTCACAGGTTTGAGTCTACGTCTTACGTCTAAGGCTTTCCTAACATCAGTCCAAATTCACCAAACTTTGAATTGACTCAGAATCAGAGATGTATGACTCATGACCCGGACTCAGACTCCATTCCAACTCGAGTCCCATTTTTGATGACTCGAAGTCACGATGACAAATGAGTCACACTCGACCCAGCAGACTCGGACTGCGTGACTCGGAACTCGACCAAAATTACCACAAATCGCTTATTTTTTCAATTTAGTTTAATTACAAATTATTTTGAAGATGATCCTTTCTTGAGCAAGCAATACAGTCAGTGCAGTGCAGAAGAAATGCATGTAAGTACTTTACATGCACTGCACATGCGGCTGGCTTGTTTCCGATATATTGACTTGGGAAATCAATTTATTAGAAACATGTACCCCAGCGTCCACACTTGATATTGCGTAAATTGAGTCCCATTTTCTGTGACTCAGACGACTCGCAAATGACTTGTGACTCGGAATCAGACTTGACCTTTGTTACTCAGACTCAGACTCGACCTGCATGACTCGGGACTTAGACTCGGACTCGGGAGAGGTGACTCGGACTCGGACTTAATGTTTGGTGACTCGAATACAAGTCTGTTCAGATTGAAGAGTGAGTGCAACCATGAGCCATCCAACTCTCACATGCCAATCAGCCTCACCCTTGTACATTCGAGTGGAGATGTAACCAGCCGGCAATCCAAGACAGACAAACAGCATGATGATGCATGTCATGAGAGCCCCTCGTCTGGCCGGTGATAGAAGCCCCACAGATGCCAATACTTACCAGTATAGAAAGGAAAAGCAGAAGAGATTAAGGTTATCATTAAGCCCACATCACACTGGACAGGAATGAGTCATAGTGCAGTGTACCACCAAGAGGTTAACCACACACAAGTTAATGTTTTATGAGAAAAGGCAAAATTTCACACAAAACCGTATTATTCCTCTTGCACAGGACTCAGCAGAATTGCAGTTTCTTTTGACGCACGTAATTTGGAATTTGGGGTTTATAATGAGTTTTTCTATGCAGCTTCCAAATGCATTTGGAAGGACAGTTGAATAGCTGTAGGGTAATACATGTAGCATCTCGACTCTGAAGCTAAACATATGTGCAATTCTTGAAGACCAAATGGGCTTGTTGATACACTGTTACATGATCACTCATATTATCGTGCAGTTGAAAGCTGGGATGGGTTTGTGGATCAGAGCTGTAACAAAATTACATTTGAATGTTTCATGCCAACACTTTCTTTTCCTTGAATATGGACTATGTCACTTGCTGACAGGCAAAACAGCCACCCAAGCGTCTTCCTCGTGTTTTTATCCATGTAATGTCATGTCAACATTTTCAAATATAGAAGTGAAGAGCAGAGTAAATTCTGAATGGAGGTCACCGTCACGTGACTACAACATGCAATTTTGTTAAACAAGTGTGGCATGGTCTATGCTGCTTACCCAAAGTGATGAAAGCCACAAGGACGATTTGCGTTCCGGATCCCAGCAACGCTGACAGGAGCATGCAGCCGCGTGGGGGTCGGAAGATATCGCCATGTAACAGCTTCCAACGAAAATCCTACGAAAAAAAAATTCAAACATTTCTATAAGTGAGCAAATAGCACAAATTTTCAATTTCTAATACTGAAGAGTTTAATTACTGAAGTATGTGGCAGGCGTTGTTGGCAAGGCGTTCGAATGTCTCTCCCGGTGGTCTTCCTGGGACCCTCTCTTTATTACCTTTGAGGGGTTACTTGTGCACGGAGCCCATACCGCATGTCTGATCTACAAAATTCCTAAAATGGTGCTGATAAGCCAACACATAATAACAATTGCAAAAACTTCGCACAGGGCACCACCGTGAGTCCTTCCTTCAAAACAGTCCACTGTGTAGAAAACCAGCGTTATCTTTTTTTGTGCATTAACTTTCTAGAGGCATCCAGCCCCGTGTAAAGTAATTCACTGAAATAGTCATGATGTTACTCAGAGTTCAGCTCGGTGCAACCATGATTACTGGTTTACACACACTGCAACGGCCCAGTGGTTTCGTTATGGCTGTTGTGAATCCGTTTCATAAATTTCACGATCTGCTACCAGTTGTGACCAACAAGGGGATCTCTCTACATGTCAGGGGTAATGCCTACAATGCCTGTGTGCAAAGTGTTCTCCAGTATGCGAGTGAAACCTTGATGATGATACGACACTTTGCGAGTTGCGACGTGTTACACGTCGTAACTCGAGTTGCGACGCATCGCAGCGCTTCATGAAATTGGGTACAGGTTTTAATACCTTCCACAAAATCCTGTAAAATACTACCCAGAAAACCATCTATGGGATCTGGTATGGTTATAGGGTAAACAGGAAAAAACACTGTACTTACACGTGCACGTTCACTTCCAGCTTTCTTTACACTTTCTTCACCTGGGTAGACATTGTGATGCAGGATTCGCCCCACGATCAATAACAAGAACCCAGCAATGACAAGAGAATTGATGGTACTGGGGGCGGGAGTGGAACAGGAACAAATATAAAATCAAACACAGAAGCATACATGTAGATTACCTCTTGGGTTATGTGTCAAATGAAGCAACTAAGTTTCCAATATAAACTATTGGAAAACAATGTACTTTGTTCACATCCTGAGGGTTTCTAGTTTGCAGTGCGTTCAAAGCCTGTTAAGATCGCCACATTTGACTGAAGAGACACAACTACCCAAGTAAGATGGAAAAACAAGCTGCATTCAGCTTCAGGCATTTTGCTGGGGATTTCTGATGCCTCAGGGAATGAATGACGATTGTTACTTGACAATGATTGTGAATCTGAATGGATAACTAGTGATTGAGTTGCGGGATCGGCTTGTGATTGACTTGTGATTGGGCTTTCAGAACTTGACCCGTAATAGAGCCTCAAACTTCACCCCTTGTGGTGCCCTGGCAGGCGTTTGCTGTGGCTGGCGACCAGCGAACAAGGACATTGACAAATTGGGAGAATTAGGAACACAGGGCGGGATAGCTCAGTTGTAGGAGATCTGCCGTAATATGAAACCTGGACTCCTAAAGCCCCTCGCTGCACACCTTTCTGATTCTACCGATTCACTGGATCATCGGTCCATCAGACGTACAGATTGGAGAGGTGTGCTCTAAAAGCTTGGACTGATCTGACCGTATACTGGGTGATGTACAGGATGAAATCAAACATGCTGGATATTTTCACATCCGATTTCACTGGATCCGATGTCACCAGAAAGGTGTGCGGGCAGCACTCCGATTTCACCAGACGCGATATTTATGTTAACCAATCAGATTCACGAAGAAAGTGATATGATTCAAACAATACAAACAATGAGTCTGTATTTCACAGAATCCAAATTTCACACAATACTATATAGTACAGTATTATTGAAGTCGCAGGTTAATATCCCTCTACAGTCAATTTTTTTTGTTCGTGTTTATATTAATGTTTTTCCCCAGGTTTTTTTGTTACTTGACTGCATACCTCAAGTAGAAGATTTTGTTGTGTGGTTTGCCCATGGATCCCAAGACATATTCCCATCGAGACTGCCATCGTAAGTCCTCATTGAGCTGTGGGAAAGAACACCACCAAAAAACATTACTATACATTAGCTCACCAGTTAATGCTGCTACATAACCAAATCTATGTACCAAGCCAAATAGTACAGTAAATATTTAGAAATTGATGGTCGCCACTACCTATGCTTTATAGCATTGGCGACTAGTAGACTAGTCGTACATGCCTACGAATTTGTAGCATGACCCACGTTCTTGTTTCATAGTCTTCCAATAGTGTCTATAGGGCTCGCTCAATGACAGCCATCTCTGTAGAACTGCCACTGTGTATTTTATGCAATCAAGCACGCATTGCGCAGTCTTGAAAATATTCCAAACATGTGCGCTTGCTGCTCGAAATGTGTTCGAAATACGACGCAGCCAATGTGCGCTATGCAAGTTGACACTCAAAACGCTGATCCAGGTGGATGATCTGTAGGAAATGACATTACTTGAACGAGACCTATCGTTTCCTAGTCTTCCAACTCACCACGAATTCCACACTGTACGTGTATCTGATGGACATAGGTTCCTTCAGTTCAGCTGGGATGGCCATTCGGAAACTGTCGGGGTTGTTCTGGCTCGGATTTATCTGGCAGTTACCACCGTTTTTTTGGTGGTTGATGCTGTCCGGATAAAGATACAAAAAGAAAAAAGTCAGCAACACAATGCACAGATATCAGAGGGAACTATGGTTAGCCCTTGCTAGTTGACTATAGTTGGACTAGTCTAGTGGACTATTCAGAACCAGCCTACTGAGCATAAGCAGAACATTGTCACTGATGCAATTATTGTTATTATTTTGTTGGTGTAAGAGCAAAGGGGGGGGGGGGGGAAGGGGCTATCCGACCCCCAAAACCTCCCCTCTTGATTCGCACCTGAAAAATACAAATATGGGTGAAAGAGGTTACCACTTAAAAAATGTACCACTTTAAGTTAATTGAGGCTGGACAGTACTCGGCTTGTAGACGAATCTGGGCACATGATCACTGTATACTCATGAGGATCCCTTGACAGGGGCCTCCATGATAGAAGTGACAGCGAGCGAAGCTATCAGCTGAGCAACTATTTTCTTCCATTAATCCAGAAGGATGCCTTAGGCCAAAAAAAGTCTCCGGTTTCTGGTATGGAGCTTGCCCCAAAAGAGGTGCGGCGACACGTTTTTTTTGTTTTTCTTCCCCTACTTTTTTTTTGGCTTCAAATGTCGGCTGATGTTGCAGATGACTCTTTGATCCCTTTAAACTCTAAAAAATATCCTTCAGAGTGGAGCTTGAGGTGACCTCAGTAAAGGTCATAAGGCTTGAGAATTCTGCATCCACGTACGATCTCGACCGACATGACCATTCCTCGGGAAATTTGGATAGTCAAGACAAAAATCAGAGAAAACGGTGACGTCAGACCATACAGCGACATCGACATCGTGCATCTGCTGCCAGGCTGGTCATTAGTCTGCTCCCTTACATATTGCGCTAATTCAAAAGCGTTTACAGGTGCCAGATTAGCGACCATCGCTCCCTCAGTCTGGCTTCCAGACGCACAATTACAAAATTACAACACCATCTGCAAATGGTGCCTGACTAAATTTAGTGCAAAATATATGGGAACCCAGAGAGGCCACATAAAGCTTACCCTCGATCATAACCCATCTAAAAACACGTTAAAATTGTCCAGCAGCAGGATTCCAGTCAAACCAGTGAGTTTGGCAGTTTTGAGACATCATCTTACATTAAAAAAATATACTTTTTAATTTTGCTGATGCGCATGGCTACAGTGACATGCGCGCAGACCAGAAACCAGAGACTTTTCTTTTTGGCCTTAACTTGTAGATCTCTCTTTTGCATCCTTTTTTGAAAAAAAAATCAAATAAAGTGACTGCTTTTTAAACTGCCTACCTATCAGGCTGCATTTGGATGGAGACTATGCGACCAATACTCGAGTCCTCATAAAGCTGGTTGTAGGTAATGGTGATGTTGATATAGTTGAAGAAATAGTAGGTGTCCTTCTCTGCAGAACTTGCCTGTATTAAAGGAACAAGGGCAAAATTCACAGTTGTGCTAAGTGCACAATGAAAGCACACTATTGTTGCAATAGGTTAACAGCCACAATGTCATGTGATGTGTCTACTTGTGATTGGTTCCCACCTCAAATTTGCTAACCAATGTTACCTTTTCTTCTACATAGCTCTGAGAAACTGGTCCCAGAACATTGAGAAAGGCTCTAGCAATTAACACACTAAGACTGAATATAATAAGGCCTGTTCCAAATACAATGTACACCAAATATTGAACTATTCAATCATCAACTGGATATCCGAATGGCATTTTTCAATTGAAATATTTGAAATGTGGGTGATCTTGAGATGATGAAAAACATCCACTGTGTTGGTTTAAATGTATAAGTTGCGTGGTTTTATTGTTTGCTAAATGCCACGATTTTACTGAAAGCCATTTTCATGCATGATTTTAGATTTTCTTTGCTGCATATATTAGCTCAAATTTGTTTTTGAAAAGTAGGTCAAATATCAGCCGTTTTGTTTGCCTCCTTTTCCACTGCCCCACAATTACCAGTGGTTCTTAAAACCATACGGCACCACTGCTTATTTCTTTGGCATAGCAGGGCTGTTCAGTTTCTGCAGGACCTTGAACTTGATGTTATAGAAGTTACAATTGTTCAGTTGAAGGTAAAAAAAAATTAGGGTAAAGCATGTGTAAAGCATGAAGCACAAGAACGTATTACATTTGCATGTGCAAGCGCTGGTGGTCACGTCTAGGACAGTACAATGTGTACCAGTGAATTACGTGGGCAACGTAACTATGCTCGGGTACCGAATCAACAAGCTGAATTGACTGGTCTTTTGTTCAGGCTTCAATCTCTTTCTTCAGCATGAAAACTTACACTTTACAAACTCTTTTATGTTTGGAATAAAGACTAGCCTTGTACATAATTCAGCTTGCAAATAAAAGTTATATGTGAATGGCGCATTTTCAAGCGGTCTCAACAGATCTCGGGGGTAAAACATGAGACTTTGGCATCGGAGACCAAGACCGAGACCAGAGCTTCGAAACTGAGACCAGCCCTCCCGAGACCGGGACTTTGATAGGACGATCGAGACCGAGACCAAGACCGAAAAAAGGGTCTTGAGACGGTCTTGAGACCGAGACCAGGGGGCCAATTTCATAGAGCTGCTTAAGCACAAAATTTGCTTAAGCACAAAAACGTCTTGCTTAATAAAATCAGGTTACCGGCCAAAACTCCATGCGATTGTTATGCTAAGTAAACAACAGCTAAATACCAGTCACAAGCAATGTACATCACATGGAGTTTTGGCCGGTAACCTAATTTTACTAAGCAATGTTTTTTTCGTGCTAAAGCAAATTGTCTGCTTAAGCAGCTCTATGAAATTGGGCCCAGGTCTCAGACCTACAACACTGGCAACCATAATCATATAAGCACAATCAAAGGCAAAATATAACAATGACTGATCATAAGCACAGCACACCACAAACTACACACATCTGGAAATAAAACAAGTTTAAGGTTGTGACATTCAGGTGCAATGTAGATCTATAAAGTGCAACTCACATAAGAGAAGCAGAAATCTTCGTTGATACCCTGCTTGTCGATATAGCAACCAATAGGGAGCTGTGCAGAACAATACCTTTGATCATCACTTCCTTCTTCATGTACGTTGAAGCACCATGTCACAGGCAGGTTGTCCACAATCCTGATTAGAAAAAGGTTTATATATAGCTTCTGACTAGCGCCCTTGGATAAATATGGTGACAAATTGGGAAAACTGCCAACATATAGGCCAAAACAAGGTCTTCGGTTTCTAGTATGGAGCTTGCCCCAAAAGTGATGCGGCGACGCAGGGTTTTTTTTCCCTACTTTTTTCCGCTTCTTCAAATGTCAGCTGATGTTGCAGATGATGCTTCGATACACTTAAAACTCTCAAAAATATTCTTCAGTGTGGAGTTTGAGGTGACCTCAAGTAAGGCCATAACTTAGGCTTGAGAATTCTGCACCCACTTACAATCTCGACCGACACAAACATTCTTCGGGAAATTTGGACAGTCAAGACAAAAATCTGAGAAAACTATAACCAGGCTGGACATAAGTCTGTTCCCTTGCAAACACGACCATCGCTCACCTCAGTCTGGCTTCCAGACGCACAATTACAAAATAACAACACCATCTGCAAATGGTGCCCGACTAAATTTAGTGCGAAACATATGGGAGCCCAGAGAGGCCACATAAAGCTTATACTCGACCGTAACCCCATCTAAAAACACGTTTAAATTGTGCAGCAGCAGGATTCCAGTCAAACCAGTGAGTTTGGCAGTTTATGAGACATCATCTTACAGTGAAAAAAAAACTTTTTAATATTGCCGACGTGTATGGCTACGGCGATGCGCGCACAGACCAGAAACCAGAGAATCTTTTTTGGCCGAAGGCCAGATAGCTCATTGTAATCTGGAGGTCGAAGGTTCAAATTCCACTCAGGTATCCAGTCATTTCTATAACTTCACAACGATTAAAATTTCAACTCGAAAATTTCCCGGAAATGTTAAATTTTCATTCATACGAAGAAACCAGCCTCTAGCCTTCTCACATGAAACTGTATTCCTATGTGTACAACGCTACTCCTTACATAGTTCAAACTACTTGGCCAGCATTTATACTCATATTCAGAAGTATTCATTTTGATTTACATTCAACTACAACAACTGCAGTTGTCACCAACCAGTGATTCTGGTAGCTGAGCCTGATCGCTTGCTGCAGGAAGTCCAACTCTTGCATGTGATTGTCAACATCAGGATTGTACGTCTTCTCACAGACAGTAACGCACTCCTGCGTTTGGTTGAAGGTGAAGATGTATGGTGAAGTGGTGATACGGTCCCCTAGTAACACCTGGCCAATGTTCTCAACCATAGGATCGGCTTCCAAAGCTTCTCCTTTGCAGAAGTCAAAACTGAAAGAAGAACAATGTCAACATGGTCCATTATTTAGTTCTTAAGCTCTGGAAGGAGCTTTTACATGTCTCTTGGTGGTCGGTCGGTCTGTCTGTCTGTCTGTCCGTCCCCGAAAATTGACCAAAAGTATGGTGTTCCATATGCATCCGTGCCATCAGTGTCGCATTTTTCGGCATCATTTGTTTAAGCTCTGACAGGGATCATTTTGACGGATTTCATTTTTAGCTCTGGCAGGGATCATTTTGATCGATCTAATGCAAAACTGTCATGCAAGGCTTCTTAAACATGGATTGAGCTTATTGTGCACTCTCACTTTTTTCCTGTCATCCTAAGGGGTTTGATGATGCCTATTTTTCATTCTCCTAGGGCGTTCTTCTCAATGGGAGATTTCAGGGGTTTCTCTAACCATTTCCTATTTTTAAGCTCTGGCAGGAGCTTACTCACTTGGTGGTCGGACGATCGGTCGTATGTCGGTTGGATGGTCTGTCTGTCGGTCCAAAAAATTGACCAAAAGTCTTCAGCTTGCTAACAAGAAAGACATCGCAGTCATGTACTTTGATCTTGATTTCACCCAGATCTTGATTTCATCCCACTGCCCGTGGGATGCCAGCCAGGAATGGATAACGAACCTTTTTTACCCCGCCTTTTCTAGGGGCTTCCCAAAGTTGGGGCAGGCAAGGCATATACCGTAATTTCCTGCGGATAAGACGCGTCTTATCTGACTTTCTAGACCACAAAAACATCGCTGCGCCTTATCTACAGGTGCGCCTTATCTGGTGTCGCTTGAGTTCAAATTTTTCTTTGTGTGAAGAATTCTCTCAATGCCGCAATCAATAATGCGGTCAACCAAGGCTCAACTCTCCAGACATTGTGACCGTATTTTCATTCCAACAATGCCGCGATGTGTTGATCCCCCATGATCGTGCTTTCATTCCAACAATGCCGCAATGCGTTGATCCCCCTTAGTGATCGTGCTTTCGTTCCAACAATGCCGTCATACAAACGGTTTTCTTTGTGGCCGTTTTTTCATTCCGAAAATGCTGCAATCAGAATTACTTAAACGTTTAGAAATCGCATTCACTCAAGTTCTATTGTGTGAACGTTGAGGGTGTTTATTGTACAGGATATCTTCGAAGTCTGCTTTAGACTTTAGCCGTGTCCGCACTGGACTTTTTTTTTGGAAGGTTTTACCGAGACGATGGTAATGAGAAATGGTCAAATGTGACCACTGTCCGCACTTGGACTTTCGACACGGGAAAATTTACCCAGGCCGCGTGGGAGAAGTAACCGAGCTGTCACAGTGTCAGTATAATGACTCACCGTACACAGAAAACAAATTGCCGATCACATTTTCAGCCGCCGATACGCACAGTAATATTACACACGCCATTTGCATGCACAACATAATCGTTTACACGATATTATTTCATCTTGACACGCTAAATCTTGACGAAAAGGCCGATAATTCTGACGCATTTGTGATGCACGTCGTCGAAGCCATGCCGCTGTACGATGTTCCGTGCGGCAGCAGTGCCATCAGTATTCGTTGGTTCCCATCGCATGCTTACAGAATCGAAGCTATGATGTGGGCCAGGAACCAGTGACTACGGCCTACGTACGGTACCAGACCGTGATGTTCCGTGCATGACTACAGTAGCGTATCAGGACGAATTTGGATCGTAGAAAATAACATACATCGGTGGAGAAAGAGAATTTCCGCAAATTAATTCTCAGAACGTGATCTCTCTTCTCTGTGTATGTATTTGTCCGTTAAAATATATATTTTAACGAGATTTTACCGCTCAGACTTGATGATACACCGCAGCGTGTTTCTACAAAATGTTCGGCCACTGCACGTGCAGGTTCGTGCGGTCTCTGTATGCATAACAGGGCGCTCGGGCCGGATGTACGCTTTCCTGAGCCGCTTTTACCGACTCGCACTGTCCGCACTGGACTTATCGTCTCGGGAAAAGTGCTTCATGGCTCTACATGTGACCAGCCAATGTAGTTACGGTTTAATTCATCCTCCGAATAGTGTGATCGTTCTAAGGCAACACAATGGCCCCTTTGTGGCGATGTACCGACACCGGGTGACGCCTGGTGTTCTTTGCGGTCAAACATGCGTCTTATGCGGCGGTGCGCCTTATCTGTTGGCGTTTGAATTTTTTTTGGGTGATTTTAGGGACCTGCGCCTTATCCGCCGCGCGCCTTATCCGCAGGAAATTACGGTACATAGGGCCGCCTGGTCGTCATGACCGCGAAGACGCTGCGGCTAATAGCTTTGGCACATTCAGGAAGTGGTACGTACTTATGTGCTCTCAAAAGTGTTAAAAAGATGCCCTCTATTTTTGGAGCGCACGGAGCCTATTAGGGGAAAACTCTTTTGAGGGCTGGACTGGGAGCTTACCTTTCATATGCATAGGGGATCACAGTTTTTACTGTGTTCAGGCGATTCACATACAACTGTACCAAGCTCTGCAGGAAGAAAAACATTAACAGACAAGTATTTATCCATACTTTGATGTTGGACCACTCTATTATATGAACAACACAATTAATTTTTGAGGATTGGGGTTTGAAAAATACATTCACGTATACATGTAAAAAATTGCTGGCCTAGAGAACCTAACATTTATTTTTACGACATGGATGGCAAAGAGACATGTTTTTGATGAATTCTGCCGTGAAAACTATGCCAATTAAGTCCAGGACAACTGTAGTTGTGCCGGCCAAACTGGAACACTATGTTGGCCTAGGTCCCAGCTTAAACAGGCATTCCGGCCTCAAATGTTTATGTTTTGGATTGTTTACTCATCCTATTTCGAAGGTCCGGTTGAAATTTAAAAGGAAACTAACCTAATGTCGCACTGTTCCTGAGAAAAGACGAAAAATCCCAGATGTTTACTTCAGACGCGGCGGACATTTTACATTGTGTGTGGGCGACACATATCATCACACAGCACCAATACACAAATGTTGGTTCTCCCACGTCCGCAGAATGCGATGCGCTGATGGAACATGTGTGGCAGGAATCACGACTACTACCCAACAGCTCGATTTTTAAGAGTCAAAATTTTGACCCTGAAATTCTTTCTGGCATGGTTCTCGCAATAACACAAAAACGCCCAGTTTTTAAAGGATGGTTGTTCGGACGTTTATAAATGCTCTTTCCAATTAACATACTTTTGTTTAAAATGCATTTTATAGCCCAATTGGGCGCACTCCAGGACATAATATCCCTTTAAATTTGGACCGATGGTCAAGTTGGCGCATGACAATACCTGTGACCAGCTACTGAACAAGATTAGAGCATTTAGGCAAAACATTGGTTGACACTGAAAAGATGATTGAATAGCACTCTGCACTAATGTTAAAAATAGAAGCAAGTACATGGATCTCAGACAAGCATGCTGTACGAACTTCTCGTGTGAAGATTACACGCAGGCTTGAAGCACCGCTTCTAAGCGAATGTATATGCGGTCTCAGGTGTGCTGGATGCATGTGCGTGCGTGATTGTTCAAAAGTTTGTCTGACATAAAGGGTATGCGCTCGTACTAGCGTTGAGCAAAATTGACGTCATTAGTGCGGAGTGCTATTATGAGACCCAAGGGTCTACGTCCTATAAATATACCTGGCACTGGTTTGAAGTGAGATGAATCAATGAAGAACTCAGAGGAGATTATTCTCAGGTTCTGTGCCACTGCAGCTTTATTCATCAGACATAATGTAAGAGTGAGCGCGGGCGAACTGTTCACCTAATGTGCTTGCGCGCATACAAAGTAGTGCTCATGAAGTATCACAACATCCCTCCCCTTTTGAAAGTACAATTTCAGGAATAATGATTGGTGTACACATAAAACTGGAATTTACTTAATCAGCAAGCATTTACATGAAATGTGTAGTGATGGCTTTTCAATTGACAGGCATATGAAACATTGGTGGTCATATCTTACTGACAACTACAACTTTTGTTTCTCTGCAATAGTTTCTCTGCAATATGTGGCACACAGTCTTAGTACCTTCTTTTCGAACGGTAACAAATTTAACTTTAACAGTAACAAAGTTAACTTGAACAGTAACAAAGTGAACTTTAGTACTTTCTTTCTTTTGAAATTTGACTTTGGTACTTTCTTGCTTTCTTCCTTTTTGAACTGTTAACAAATTTAACTTTAAACAACAATAAATGTACTGAAACGGGTTTAATAAACATATGAAACTTTGAGTTCTGTTTCAAATCGTGTGGGTTATTTTTTTGTTTCCATATGAAATTAAATGTGAAATATCGTTTCTGAACCAATTGTTTGAAGTATCTGCTATGTATAATCTGGGTGTGCGATATTATTCAGTGTATCTGGCTGGTTTTCGGATTGTGCGTCCAGATTTTGTTTTGCGAGTGACAGTCGGAGACTTGTTTCGATCTGTGTTGTTTCGGTCTGTTTTGTTTTGGTCTGTTTGTTTCACAGCTTCTGTGTCTAGCTTCTTGTTGGACAGTGGAAGTGATTCATCAGCGAATCGAACTCGTTTGGGCGTAGCCAGGGATTTCATCTGGCTGGGCATCTCACGTAGGTGCGAACGGTTGCGACGTAGTCTGTGTCCATTGGGTGTGGTGACTTCATATGATCTAGGTTCCTTACAGACTGTTGTGACTTCACCAGGCAACCAAGTGTGGTTCTGCTGGTCCAGGATTCGCACTCGTTGGCCAACATAGAGTTGTGGGAGTTCTTTTACTGCTTGTTTGGCATCATGGTCGGTCTTCATCTTTTGTCGTCTTGCCTCTAGCTGGTCTCTGATATCCTCAGCTTTCTGGGGGTTTGCTTGCAGGTGGTTGTTTGGCAAGGTAGTTTGTATCGGTCTGCCGAAGAGAATTTCAGCTGGTGACGGTAGTTTGGAGTCCACAGGGGTTGCACGGAGGTTCAAGAGTGCTATGTCGACATTTTGTCCAGACTTCTGGCATTTCTTGATCACTGACTTGACGGTTCTGACTGAACGTTCCACGAAACCGTTTGAACGTGGATAACGTGGAGACGAAGTTGTGTGCTTGATGCCCCATGTGTTACACATGTCTTCGTAGTGTTTGCCTACGAATTGGGGGCCGTTGTCTGACATAACCTCAGCTGGTGCTCCAAGGAGGCTGAATGTGTGTGAAGTGATGCCAGCAACTGCTGCACTGGTAGTGCTGTTCAACTTGTGAACGACAGGGTACTTCGAATGATAGTCAACTATCAGTAGATAGTTGTCTCCGTGGATTTCAAACAGATCAGTGCCAAGTTTGGTCCAGGGGGTCGAAGGTACTTGATGTGGCTCCAATGGTTCCTTTTGCTGTTTGGGTTGGGATTCCTGGCAGTAGGAACACGCTTTGACAAGTTCATCAATATGGCGATTGATGTTGGGCCAGTAGACCGACTCTCTGGCTAGACGTCTTGTCTTCTCTATACCCATATGGCCTGTATGGAGCTGTTGTAAGATATCCGTCTGAAGTGAGTCTGGAATGATGACCTGTCTTCCTTTGAAGATTATTCCCCAGGAGATACCAAGCTCATCCCTGTATGGCCAGTAGACCCGTAGGTCTCGAGGTAGTTCCTTGACGGAGTCTGGCCAGCCACTGTATATTATCTGACACAGTGCACTTAGTACAGGGTCTCTTGCTGTTTCTCTCTGCAGTTGCTCTTGCTTAGACTGCCCAAAATGCACAAGGTCCATGCACATGGCGTCTTGGCCTTCATAGACATCAAAACTGCCGACCAGTCTGTCTAGGGGTATGTCATCACTCTTTGTCGGGTTTGGCAATCTGCTCAGGGCATCTGATAGCGTCATTGTTTTCCCTGGTCTGTACTGTACGTCAAAGTTGTATCCTTGCACCTTAATTAGCAAGCGTTGCAGACGAGGTGGTGCACTCGAGAGGGGTTTCTTCCAGATCATCTCAAGTGGCTTGTGATCAGTGTGGAGTGTAAACTCTTTCCCGAAGAGATAGCTATGGAACCTGGTGATGCCGAACACTAGGGCTAGTGTTTCTCTCTCTATGTTAGAGTAGTTGGCTTGTGCCGGGGAAAGACTCTTCGACGCAAATGCTATCGGCCTGTTGTTTTGAAGGAGGCAGGCTCCCAGACCCTTCTGTGATGCGTCGACTTCCAGCACAGTGTGTATCTCTGGGTTGTAGTACTGGAGACACGCTTCAGTGGTGATGGAATATTTCAAGGCTTCGAATGCTGCTTGATGGTCATCCTGCCACAGATATGGCACATTCTTCTTCAGAAGATCCCTGAGGGTCGCCGCTTTGTCTGCTAGGTTAGGGATATATGCAGAGACGTATGTGATCAGGCCTAGGAATTTTTGCAGGTCTTCCTTGTCCTGAGGTGTTGGAATGCTGTGGATGTCCTCAATTCTGCCTGGGTCCGGCCGGATGCCGGTGTCGGAGTACAGTGACCCAAAGAAGTTGATTTGGTTGGTCTTGATGTGGCATTTGTTGCTGTTGAAAACTAAGCCTTCACGGCTGGCTGTTTGAAGTAGATTCAGGAGGTTGGCATCGTGTTCTTCCTCAGTACGGCCGTATACAGCAACATCGTCAGCAATGCCGACGCATCCTGGGACCTGTTCTATGATGTCGTCCATGCACTGCTGGAAGATGTCTTGGCTGATGGAGAGACCAAATGGAAGGCGCTGGAAACAGTACCGGCCAAATGGCGTTCGAAAGGTGGTCAGCTCTTGGGATTCTTCCTCGAGCTTGACGGCCCAATACCCAGCTTTAGCATCAAGCTTCGAGAAGAATTTGGCTTGAGAAAATGCTGGGTTGAGTTCCTCCAGTGTGGGTATTTTGTGCGGACATCTCTTGAGGCTCTGGTTCAGCCGCTTAGGATCCAGACAGACCCTAAGTGTCCCATCTTGTTTCAAGCTCGTGGTTATCGAACTACACCAGTCGGTGTGATGGGTGACCTTTCTAATTACACCTTGCTGTTCCATCTTGTCGATCTCTATTTTGAGCTTCGGCTTCAGGTGTATGCTACACTTCCTGGGTGCGTCAATGCTCGGTTTAGCATCCTCCTTTAGATGAAGAGTTGCTCTGGCTTTGAAGTTTCCAATTGTGTCAAATTGGTTGGGGTACAACCTCACGAGGTCGTGGACCGACTTGATGGTGTCATGTGACAGATTTTGGGGTTCACCCACTCCTGGTTCTTTGGGTGATGCAGGGGGTTGAGGTGACGATTCAGTGGAGTGGATGGTGACCACTTCAAGCTCGCTGCACATGGGCAGGCCGGCTATGGCTGGTCCGGGTACATCTACGACGTAGAATCTGTTCTTTGTCCACTTCGGTGTCTTGTAGCGGCATAAAAGCTCAATGCACCCTAGGCATACAATCTCTGTACCGTTGTATGCCGTCAGCTTGGTCTTCACAGGCTGGACGAAAGACTTCCATCGACTTCCATACATCTGTTTGATCGTACGGAGTGGCAACGTGTTTCCTCCGGCTCCAGTGTCAACTTTTGTGATTAGTCGGTGTTTGCCGATGAGGTCGGGGCAGATAACGTCAAGCGTTGTGTATGCCTCCCTGTTGTTGTCTATCGAGCTCATGCAGAGGTTCGAGACAGTAACTGTGTGGAATACTGTTTCATATTCCTCTGAAGCTTCTGCTGAATGGATGGGTTGTTCATCTCTGTTGGTGTCATTTGGCTTCTGCTTGCCGGCATTGGATCGACTTTTGGATCTTGGTCTGCGAGTTGTATTTCCTCGCGATGGGCTGCGGCCACGTCTGGACGGAGATTTGCCCTTGCGTTTACCCTGGCTTCGGGTCTTTCTGCAGAATTTGGCCCAATGGCCCTTGGAACCACATGATTTACATGTGTCCCGGTAGGCAGGACACCGTCTTGGTGGGTGGGATAGACCACAGTTGCCACAGGTTCTGCCAGTGGGTCGGAAAGCATGGACAGCTGTATGTGACGCCTCCAACGTCTCAAGGCACTTTTTGCCAGCAAGGATGGCTTCGTACTTCCGTCCCTCTTGTAGCATGTCATCGATGCTAAAACCAATGGGTTTGTCTAGAAGATCTTTCTGGAAAGATTCAGATGTGGTAGACGCAATAACTAATTCGATGATGCGTTCCGTCATTTCCTCTGGTCCGAAGTTACATTCGTGTGCCTTTGCTCGGCATCTGTTGACGAAGTTGTCCAGGGATTCATCTGGTTTCTGGCGATACCGCATAAGCTCCAGGCGATGTATGCGGAAGTTCACTTTGATGTGTAGCTGCTTCTCGAACAACTCCCATAACTGGTTGGGGATCAGTTGTTCTTCTGCTGACAGGCTTGAAGAATTTATCATTTTGAGGCCTCCAGTTCCGACTGCTATTTGTATCTTAACAGCACGCTTGGCAGGATCGGTGATTTCCTGGTCCCTGAAGCTCAGGTCCATCCGTTGTTTAAAAAGCTTAAACTCTTCTGCGATGTCTGTGGCACCCCAGTTCATTTCTGGGAACTTGGCCATGATGCAGGGCTGTGGGATAGAAATCTCTGGGATACAATTCAATATGCTACAGCAAACGAAATTGTAAACAGTAGCAACTGCAATGTAGCTTAAAGGTAAGTGCTACGATTAGTGATCACAATAAATCACAACAATATAATTATTTCAATAATAATTTTGACTATTCAACAATATATTTGTCAAAACACATATTATTGTTCATATATGAAATGTCCAGTGTTCTTTTGGTGAGCAGTCCTTTCTCCAAGAATGTCCAAACACAGTTTGTCCTGCTTTTCCACAGAAATGAGCGATGTACTGTCAGTTTTCCAACTTGACTTGATGTCCCGTACAGGCCTCCGTAGATATGATTGATGCACAGTTCCGGCACTGGCGGATGAATACGGCGAATGTTCACTGGGATGAGTGGGAAGCGCACAGTTCCGGCGATGATGCGGAGTGATAGGGTCAAAGGTCACACTTGACGTAAAGATGCGTGAAGCGGTTCACAGGGCTTGTGATGTTCACGGAACTATTTGTTCATACGCACAGCTACAAGAATGTGTGCACGATAGCGAAACAATGTTTAACAATATGAAGGTGATTCAAAGGTGTACATTGTTACGTGAACTGGCTGGGGGGGGGGGGGGGGCTGATGATCACTCCCGTAGATCAAACTTTTGACAAAGTTATTGTAGTGACTTGCCTTGGTCACGCGATGGTGCGACGGGCTGGTCCCTGACCGGTCAACCGTGTGTACGGGTCGAGTAAGCTCGGTCGAGTCCCGGTGCGGTCGCGTCAAATCGGAGCTCGATCAGCTTTCACTCAGCTCCACGAAAAAGACGAAAAAAGTCCTCTGTCGCTATGATGCCGATGGTCGACTCGGGGCGAGGGGTTTTCTCTTGTCCGTGCTGTCCACAGCACGGTGTAGCGGTCCGCCTCAGCGCTGGCTCGGTGATGGCTTAGGCTTGGCCTCAGTCCGGCGATGACTCCGGGCTAGGCTACGCACGCAGCTGAGTTTCAGTTACGTTGCGTGCGGTGTGCAGTGGGCTTGGCGACGGTGGGTGTGCGGCATACAGTGTGTGATGTGGTGCGCTGAATCTACGCACGCGGCGAGTACACATATGGATATGTACAGTTCACACTGGCGATCACAGCGGAAACGTTGTTGTCGCGGAGACAATTTCTGCTGCTTTCCGGTAGTTTTCAGTTACTCTGCTTAGTTGAGAGTGATGGGTGTTCTCTGGCCTTTTTCACTACCGCTGCCACCATGAAGTGAGATGAATCAATGAAGAACTCAGAGGAGATTATTCTCAGGTTCTGTGCCACTGCAGCTTTATTCATCAGACATAATGTAAGAGTGAGCGCGGGCGAACTGTTCACCTAATGTGCTTGCGCGCATACAAAGTAGTGCTCATGAAGTATCACAACATGGTTCTCTATGGCGCTTTCTGATGCATTAGACTCGTACTTGGCTCGTGTCTCTACTGAGCAGAAGTTCACCGGCGCTTCGCCAAGTAGGGAAAAAGCTGTGCAGTCATGCCACGCAAGGCCTACTAACACCACGACAGTCAACAGTCTACGTAATGCCTGACAACCACCCAGAATACCTGCCATACTCAGCTCACAGCTTCTCTTCCTGTGAACAAGCGAAGAAATTGTTTTACGTTTCAAACCTCCAAACAAATCATTGCACGCTTATCACCCACTAAAAACCATCAGACTTTACACCCAAAACGGACTCCAAAATACCAAATACACCACCTAGGGATCCGCTAGAGATCGATAATTAAGATGGTGGTACATATGTTGGCTTACGGTTGGCAAGAAAAGATAAAGGGAAAGAATGTTGTGTACAAAGTCTATGGAGAGTCGATAACATTTTCAAGTTACATGTATATTTCCTGCACGTTTTTTTCAACATTTTTGCAATGACTGACCTTCATTGAGAAATTATGATGAAAAAAAAAGTGTTATCGGGATGCAACATTCCTTCCAGATACATAAAGGTCACAGAGAGAAAAGCACAATAGTCATTAACAATTTATTTTTTGAAAAGAAAAACACACCCTGATGAGCTACCGTCCCTAAAAGAAATGTGTAGGAAATTGTGCAAGTTGACTGGGGTACGAGTTGACCCAGGTACGAATTGACCCAAATTTGTTACGTTACTCGGACTAGATACAACCCTGTAACAACCTTGGGCACTAAAGCCACTAGGTTTCCTTTTTACGAATTTTGACTTTGGTCAGTTTGTACTTACAACCCGACCAAATTCAAAATTTGAAAAAAGGACTTCAAGCGCCCCAGTTTTGTAACAATTTACCAGTTACTAGTTCATGTAGTTAGGAACACCAAATAGTGCAATTCAACATTTCAGAAGAATTCCATACATGGACATCACAGATTTTTTCCTGCAGTGACCTCATCACTCAGCCATCAGAAACACAAAAGCATGAAAAGCGATAACATGTCCTAAAAAGTCAAATTTTGCAGGGAAAATATTGAAAAATTTACTGAGAAAACTGTAACATCCAAGAGTTTTTCAAACCAGTCTGCCAGTCTCATACTTGTTTGTGCACAGGCGGTGTCAAGTGATGCCCAGGTAATGGAACTCTTTCCCAAGATGTTAATCATGGAGGAGGGCACAGGGCGGAGGGGGGCATGTGTGCCCCCCCCCCCCCCATGCCCTCCCCGGCATGCCCTTAGGCGTAGTTACACCACTGAGCTGTGTTTTATACTTTTTATAGCTCTGTTGTGCCCATTCTTGAAAATCACGCATTCTCGAGAATGGGCATGCACATTCTTGAGAATGTGCAACTGGATCCTTGCTCAATCTTGGCAAAAAATAACTCTTCCAGATTGAGCGCACATTCTTGAGAATGCGCGACAAGATAACGGTCTTGTCGATGCCGAGCACCGGCTGCGCTTGGCAAGTCTAGCTGAATCCTCGTTCATGGCAAAATTCATAAATTGTGCACGTGATATTCCCACCCAATCTTAAGAATGAGCGCTCATTCTTAAGAACGCGTGCTCGTTCTTAAGAATGGGCGCTCATTCTTAAGAATGCGCGCCCATTCTCGAGAATGTGCATGCCCATTCTCGAGAATGCGTGATTTTCAAGAATGGGCACAACAGCTCCATGCTAGCGCTGACTAGAAGAAAAGGGAAGATCTGTTTGGAAAGATTCCCATCTGGCTATCACTATTTGCGGGCCTATCAAGTATCAGCCATCAGCATGATCAGAAAGATAATAATATGTCTTAAAAACTCAAAGTTAGCCCGGAAAATATTGAAGTATTTACTGAGAAAACTCCTAGAAATTTTCAGACTTGTCTGTTGTCTCATACTCGGTTTGCAGGTTTGTGCACAGGGTGACAAGTAATGGCAAACGTTAGCTAGTATGGGTAGCTTGAGTAACTCCAGCTCGCTGGAGTTACTCTCGCTGGAGTTACTCAAGCTAAGATATGGGAAATTTTCCATCTGTTTTTCCGGGTTTTCCAGGAAGGCCAGTCATCGGGTCATGTCATGCTGATCCTGCATCCTGATTTAATAATATGGCTCTGATAATGATGAGACGCAAGGAGAAAAGATGAGACCAAAAATTGGAACCTTTGAAAACGTTCAACTATGGCTCCACCTATCTGCTACTATGCTGAGCTGTCCGCAAACATATAGGCCTACATGGCGTATTTATTATCATACATCGTATATTAAGAGATTATTTTATAGATGAAATCAAAGATCCTGTAGGCTGTAGCGCTAGCGCGGCGCCGCTAAATGAATTACACGTACAGTGTGACGTATCACAGAAAAATTGTGGAGGTCGAGGCCACGTGCATGATATGGCGCCCTCTTCCGTCAATATTCGAATTTCCGTTTCGAACTTTCGTTAAGTCTCCGGCTTGGCCTTTATACTTGTAACCGGGTCGAGAAAAAAATTCAGACATCAAACCTCTTGTAAAAAGAAAAAAATATCCAAACTTCTGCGTCATATGATTAAGGTAATTTGTGTTTTGTGGCAGAAGATGGATCTACAATAAGGTTTCGGTTCAGGAGCCTGAAATAATAAAGCCGAGCCCGAAGCCATAACTGCGACGAAGCCGAGGTTTAAAAAATCCTTGAGGAATCGCTTTTCGTCTCCATAAAGGCGGTACTCAGAAGGATGCGTTCAGCATCGTTAATAAATAAACCTAAAATATTTTAACTGCAAAGGAAAACAAATAAAACAAATAATTCTAAATTACTGAAATTTTCTGGTTGTGAAAGTGTTTGTTTATTTTGTTCGTTTACTATCAGTCACTTGCTTAAAAAGACAGCTCCAAACCTCACTCTGGATACCGTCATTTTGCAACTTATACGAACGGGGATTTTTACATGTCCGGCCGTACCGCGTACTATACTAGATGTACCTTCTGGATATATGTGTGCGGTACGTAAATGCATCACCGTGATATGATCACATGCGTTGCCAGCGTGGCCGATTTTGCTGCATTGTAATATAGTCACTCAGCTGTGAAAGCAGACATTTTTCGTGACTTTTCCCGTCATTTATTTTCCAGTATAATCCAAGAAGCTCATCAATTCTTCATTTTGTAAAAAGTCCAGAGCCTAGGTCCAATATGACGCAGATGCTGGGTGGTTGTCGGGCATTGCGAGGACTATTCGCGGCCGTGGTGTTGGTGGGGCTTGCTGGGCGGGACTGTTCGGCGTTCTATCTGCCAGGCATGGCGCCCGTCAGCTTCTGCTCGAAGGATACCGAAGTTAGGTATAAAACCGCGGAAAACTCTTTGGATAGTCAGTGTAAGGTATGTGTCAATGCCATGGTCAACATGTATATGTTTTAGCCTGCCTAAAACACATGGAACTAAGTGGAATGAATTTTTTTACTGTCAATTGTCATGACTGTCTGTCATGTCTGTACGACAGACCAACATCCCAAATGTCAAAAAAGGAGTTCTAGCGCCCCAGTTAGTGGGACTAGTCTGTGTGATGGTTTGATCAAACAAAAGGAGGGAAATTGATTAACAAATAACATCTACCTTCCATCATGTCCATGTTTACGCACACATAATTTTTTCAATTCAATTAAATTCAAAGCTCACATTTCTTTCCATACAAAATGAGAAATACAAGCATAGAATACACGATTAAGTACATAGAATTTGAATAGATATATTTTACTGCATGCATTATGATGACAAATTATTGTTTTCTTCATTCATTTTTAGCAAATTAATGTTTGAGTTTTGTGGTTTTTTCTGCACGTTTTGAATTGGTACTTTTGTTATAATTGTTAAGATGACATGGACAATGAAACCCTTGATTTGTGAACTTGGTTGAATGTCAGCGACGTGTATTTACTTTGGCAAGGTTTGGTCAACATTTAGTTGCCATTAACACTGTACACTAAAAGTGGGAAATGAGTTTCTATTCTTTTTTCAGATACATGTAGCTTGAGTAACTCCAGCTTAACAAGCGCATCAGGAATTCACATGTATTCCTGATGAGCTTGTTAAGCTGGAGTTACTCAAGCTAATGTACAATGTACATGTATGTTACCAAGTACGTGTGCACAAAGTATGTAAAAGTCCAGACAGGGCTCTGGAGTGCTCTGAAACGTGCAAAACTAAATCAGGCCAACTTTACTCACAGTTTAGGCAACAAATTTCTCCAAAAATTCCACTGGGGCAAAGAAAATGTCCTCAGTATTTCACCGACCAAGTTTGCAGACTAAATTCAATTTTTAAAGGAGATTTTTCTTCAATATTTTGCACATGAGAGGCAAGTCAAGTGATTTCAAAGTGGGGCTAAATACTAGACTGGTACATGTCCAACCATGGTCTAACGATTTGAAAAGACTGACCTCTTCATTCAGTGTCAGTAGTCTGGTGGCTTGACTATGGAGAAATGTGTAGTAAATTGAGACTAGTTCCCGCTTCATGCCACATGTTTCTTAAATTCTTTTGGCATGGTTGATTGATGCAGTACTGAAGCTGTGTTGGACTGGTTGTTTTAGGTGCCAGTCTATTTTTTATTTTGCATGTTTTCAATACCATAAGTTTTTGGACTCTCATACACAGTATTGAGAGTCCCAAATTTTAGGACTAGTAAAAGTCCAATGAATAAGCAAACAGGAAACTAAAATTTGAATACCTCTCCAACTCTAGAAAAGAGAAATAATTCAACGAAAGAAGCAGAAAATGATGACCAATGATTCAGTATATAGAATTTTTGGGGGGTAATGTAATTATAAATGCAGGGAAATGGATCTTTTCATGACAGTTTCAACAAAACTATCTCTCTTTTTTTCTTCTTTTTGTCCACATTAGAGCCAAATTGAGATGTATGTGAATCGCCTGGACACAGTAGAGAGTATCATCCCCTATGATTATGACAGGTGGGTTTCTTTACCACAGTTGTGGCAATGTACATTGTAAAGTAGGAGTTTTATAATAATACATCATGATACGTGATAATCGTGATACGAGAATGTCATGATACGGGACGGCAATGTGAAAATCTGTATTGCAAAACTTGCTTCTGAATGAAATTAGACTAAAGTCAAGACATCCGAAGTCCCATCTAGAGCAGGAAGTGTGTGTTTCCCTAATTACAAGCTGGTGTTTCTAAGTCTGTGAGTTACACAAAATGGCCTCTGCACTGTAGCATTTACCTGAGCTGAGTAAAAAACCATCATCATCAAGTCGACCCTCGTCGGACAGCAACAAAGGCACACCATACATCACAGTATTCACACTCTCCCGTGTCCGTCCTGAACTGGGCTGCGGAGGCAAGCCCAGTGTCCCAACGCACGTAGGTTAACGTCTACACACCTCAAGAGGCTACTCCATGTGTGGGTTCCCATAGGATGAGTTGGCTTGCAGCTATCTCTGGATGAAGTACGCAGTGTACAGCCAATCGCAGACGCCTAGTTCTGATAGTTGAGGAGATCCTTGGTGGGTGGCCGTACAGACATGGCTCTGGAGTGCTCTGAAACATGCAAAACTAAATCAGGCCCACTTTACTCACACTTTAGCCAGCAAATTTCTCCAAAAATTCCACTGGGGCAAAGAAAAGGTCCTCAGTATTTCACCAACCAAGTTTGCAGACTAAATTCAATTTTTAAAGGAGACTTTTTTCAATATTTTGCACATGAGAGGGAAGTCAAGTGATTCCAAAATGGGGCTGAAGACTAGACTGGTACATGTCCAACCATGGTCCAACTATTTGAAAAGACTGACCTCTTCATTCAGTGTCAATAGTCTGGTGGATTGACTATGGAGAAATGTGTTGTAAATTGAGACTAGTTCCCGCATCATGCCACATGTTTCTTAAATTCTTTTGGCATGGTTGATTGATGCAGTACTGAAGCTGTGTTGGACTGGTTGTTTTAGGTGCCAGTCTATTTTCTTGTTTTGGGATGGATATGTGGAAATTTTGGACAAATCGACATATTGTGAAAAGATGTGGCTGGATGAAATTCATGTAGCATTTGGCTGTTTTTCTCTAGAAAATCACCCCTACTGACCACTAGGTGACATCTGAATATGAAACACCATGCATTAGGGACTTCAGCTGTGAGAAAAAAATGTGAGAAGAGAATTTCACACAGCTTTCATAAAATAAGATTAGAGATAAGCCAGCCATGACTAAAGTTGTCCTTACATGTATGCACACATCAAAAACTAGAAACTGTCATTGAATATTGGCGGTTTTTTTTTTAATGGTCATTGATGTACATGATGAAGTGGTTTACCTAGAGTTTGCCAAGCAAAATATTGAAGAGAAAAAAGATCATAAATAAACCTGCCCAAATACGGAACACAGCTCTCTTTAAAATCTTTCATTACGTGCATTTCATTTTTTCGTGAGTTAAAGGGGCCAGAAAATCAAGTCTGCATGTCGTGAAATGTTTGCAGTTGTTGTGAGTGAAATGTACTACAAACTAGCACTAGTAAAATGCTACTCGGACAATATTTTTTTTTATGCTTTTTTTTCTGTCTTTCCAATATTTTAGGTTTGACTTCTGCCAGGTCCCGAAAACGGAAGACGTCCGTCCCGTGGAGAACCTGGGCCAGGTGGTATTTGGGGAGCGCATCGATGCCTCGCCCTATAACTTCTCCTTCAGCAAGAATGAGGACTGTGTCAAGGTCTGTGAGAAGACCTATGACCCCAAGGTCAAAGAGCAAGAGGAGAAGTTGACCTTTCTGCGAAAGGCCATCATGCTCAACTACCAGCAGCACTGGTCAGTAGAATTGCTTTTGAAAGAGCACAGAGTTTTTAGCTGTTATTTACAAATGTAGACAAGCCTGCTATGCAAAGATATCTGTTTTCCTGTGTACAGTACATGTACTCGAGCCCTTTGTTCATGTACATCGTGTACATCTGCATAGAGTTTTTCAGATATGCTGGCGTTAAAGTTATTTTGAGAAATGTGCTTTTGCTATGCTTATGACCAATACCATGAATTTACATGTAGCTGGAATTCTAGTACTGTGTAACCGTTAAATTGACTTTGCCACTAATTATTTGACTTTTGCAAGGCAGTGTTTCATTTCCATGGTCAGCTTCCTGCTTATACTGTTCTGCAGTTAAAGGGAATATACAACATTTGCAAACATCGAAGAATAAAACTACCACGTTTTTACGAAATACCTTACTAGGATGTTGGTAAATGATAGTCTCAAGCATTTTGTAAAATTATGGCACCTGATGTGAAGTCATTTTCAAGAAAGTGGTATTTTTGTATACATTTCCAACGGTGGTCGGCCGACCAGCGTTGGAAAAACCTAACTATTTTTCAACTACTGCTCCAAATTAACCATTTTTTCAGTCCAAATTTTGTTTGCTATTGGTTACATGTTTCATGAACGGGTGCAGACCAGCTAGACTGGTTCCCGTGCCTTACAATTTTCCATCATCTATAAATTGATCCATTTGATCTTTTGTGGAGTCAGGGAACCAGACTACTTAAACATTTTAGTTTTTCTTGGTTTTTCCAACCTTTTCGAACAAAAAACTTCAAAAACGTCAGTGTAACAATATTTGATCTATATATACTAACCCCTCAAATAGTTCATTTCTGAAAATTACATCAAAAACCAATGATGTACATTCCCTTTAATCACACGTCCTTTATTCTTCGTGAGCGTGGTACTACTCATTACAAATGCATTCAGAAGCCTATTAAATAATGTAATAACTGTTCTTATTCACAGACAAAGAGTCAATCTTATTTGCACATGTCCACCAAATAACCTGAATAAGTCATAAGTCTGAGCCGTTTTCTGATGTTTAACATTTATTGATTGTTTAGCAATTCACCAGCTCCACATTGGCCTATAACATGATTCGCAAATGTACCTGTACATGTTCATTGTTTTTAGTCTCATAACTGCACTTTGTTCAGGTGTATTTTTCCCATTGTTTCTCAGGAAAATGTGAAATTGAATCTCCAGTCACCACCTGCAGTGGTGCCTTGGTTCAAAAACATAATTATTTCTGTCGTTTTTAAGTCAGTTTTGCCAAATAAAATAGCAGTCTGCCACACAACTACATGTTGTACACACACATCTGTGTACCTGTGATTATAAATGCATGCATTGGCTGATATACATGTATTCTGCTTGGTGTGCTGTAAATGTGTACACGTGTAGCTTTTTAACATAAAAGGGCCTCAATTTCTTTTGAAAGCATGGTACAATGTAGGCTATATGTACATTGTACATGTACATGTACATAGAGCGTTATTGATTTGTGCGTGGCCCTCGCACTGCTTTTAAATTTGTATTCTCAGAATATCAGTAACAGTGATTAAACACACAAAAAACACGTAATAAGTTTAATTCAGACAATTTGTCCAGGTTGAAAAAAGGTATGATTTACACGATACATGCATGGTCTACATACCGGTACATACATACATCTTCTACATACATACATGTACATTGTACATTTGTAGAATCCACAGAATTGGACAGAATATTTTATTTCATGTTTTCCTTTTTAACTGCACTGGTAAATGTTCAGTTTGAACATATAGGATTTTTTAGATCCCGACTAAATTCATATTTCAAGTAAACCACAAAGGAAACAAAAACTCGGTTAAATCATTCAGTTGTTTTCAGTAACAAAGAAAATCAACTCAAGCAGGATTTGAACCAGTTCACCCCGGAACGCTGTACAGACATTCTACCAAACTTACCTTGTACTGCTACTCCTCTTGATTTGCTAGTGTTGGTTCTCTGTGTGATAATGATCTTATGGATCTTTAAGCAGTCAGTGATAAAGTATGAGCCATCACCCATGTGCAGTGTGTCTTCACGTTAGTCTTTATTTGTAGGGGCTTCGGGTCTGTTGTTGCGACTCCCACCAGGGGTGTGTGCCACTGTAACGTTTGCCAACGTTGGCAACGTTTGTGCAAGTGGGACTGACTGTTTGCCACCAAAATTTGGCGAACGTTGCCAACAAATGCGAACGGTCTTCCTGAGTCGTTCACTTAATATTCCAAAATGGCCAAACACAGTGAACATAATGATTATCAGCCTGAAGTTTTCTGTTTTCTACATCCAAAGAAAGTTCATTTTAGGGGTGTGCATCGGAACCGGGTACTCAAGTACACGACCGCTGACATCAGGAATTGGTTCTAGATTATGGGATCAGGTGCCCATAACCAATTTTACTACAAAGTACTAAGTAACCTCTCAGACAATAAAAAAAAAAAAAGTTTGTCGGGAATTTCAAAATAAATACCAAGCTACCTGGAAAATCAAAACTCATTTCACATTTACATGTATGTGCATTAATAACACTCGGCAGATGATGCTCACAAAAGTTGCAGTTTTACACCGTAATAAAGCTCGTCAGACAACTTCCGGAATTTGAATTTAGGGATGAGTTTCTTTTACAGGTACCCGGATACCCGTGTTTTACTTCATTAGGGTACCCGTTTCCTTTACTACTCGTAAATGCACGCCACTAGTTCATTTATTGCTGGCAAAACTTCACTTTTAGTCACAATAAATTTGTGAGAATTGTATAAGTTACTGTCCAAACAGTGACACATGTGGGATTGGCATGGCAAAAAGAAACTATGATTCCACATAGGGTTGGCATGTTCACATGGCCTAAGCTAACAGACGTAAACACGTTCGCATGAAGGGAAAGCACCCTTGTCTTTCCTTGTTCTTATTGTGTGGACTTTTATTTGTGTATTTGTTTGCAGGATTATTGACAACATGCCAGTGACCTGGTGCTACACAGTGGAAGGAGACCAGAAGTATTGCTCCCCTGGATTCCCTGTTGGTTGCTATGTCGACAAACAGGGCATCCGTAAAGATGCCTGCGTCATTGATGTGAGTACCCAAGATCAATTTTATAAAGAGTTCTCAAGATGTACAGAAAAATGCCTGACATGGAGTGTATGCTGTAGTGTACAAAATGGGGGATCATTTTTCTTAGTGATGAATTAGTGTTTGGGTTTTATAATTATACAACGTTATACAACTAACGTACTAAATCTGCAGTATCCAGCAGTGGGTTACTCTGTTTGATTTTTGAACAAAGACCATTCATTATATAGAAGAATCCGGGCATGTGCACGGCCCCCTTCAATGGAGAGACCATTGTGCATGCTATTGTGCAAGGCAACTGCCTGTGACGGATTGTTATTTGAACAATAGCTAGTGCAATGCTTTCGCCACTGAAGGGGGCCAACGTGATAGAATTGACTGTGTGCTCAGATTGGTCTATAGACACTCACACTTTGGAATAATTGGATTCTGGTGGGCTAATAATACTTGGTCTTAATTTGCTGGAGGAAATGGCCGTATTTTTCTGGTGGTGAGCCCAAGATGTTTCTATTGATTATTGATTATTAGTGGGTGTAAACTTGATTGTTTTTTTGGGGTCAACCCCCCTTCTCTTCGCAGACAAACTATGACCAGAAGGATACCTACTACCTGTTCAATCACATCAACTTTACTATCATGTACCATCGCATGTCAGAGAACGAAGACCTCGCTCGCATTGTCTCCATCAAAGTTGAGCCCCACAGGTAGGCACCCTCCTCCCAAAATAACGGCATCTTTTATTTGTAAAGCTTTGCAAACTCTCTTTGCAAACTCAAGCTTTGTGTCACCTTGCATTCTGACAACTGCTTATTGTGCCTTCTTCTAAATACAGTATTTGGATTTGTAAAGTATACCCTAAAACGTACATGATAAACACTTGTGTGTGTTTTTTTCCCCAGACTTCCAAAGAGAGGCTACCTATAGATTGCCTAGTCTGTTTTCTTTTATTTTCAAAGGAGAAACTGAATGACAATGCTCTCAGTAAAATCTACTGATCAGATCAGAAGTTGCAGTGTATTTGTAATGAATATCACACTGACATCAGACATATCCCGAGCATTTACCATATTTATCTGAACACAAGCAATATCACTCAGTAAGATTGTGTACCTTATGTGCATTCCAAATTAGTGGAGATTAGACACCTTGCATGTGACAGTCCTAAATGGATTGCACTGTTACATTTTGTCTTAGCAGCTTGTGTCACCCTAAATGTGTATTTTTGTTTTATATTTTTCTTGTAAATAATACTGCCTTAACCCTACCCCCTACACTGATTTACTAGGAACCTTCTTCACTCCTGCAAATTCCAACACCATGTGGTAAACTGTACACAGAAACTGTTGGACTCTGATTATTGGCGGTATGCCTTACCCCGTGTAATGCCCGGTTCATACTACACGCCAAAGCATGTCAACAACAATTGTCGACGCACTTCAAACGTATTGTTAACATCACAACTTTCGCTTTCGCGTGAAGCGTGAACCGGGCTTAAAGCATAATCAGTTTACTAGTGCAGTACTCACTCCAACAGATTCCAACAAATCCTGGTGTTTGAGTTTGACCTTAAGGTTTACTTGTTTTCCTTGGCAGTATCAACCACAAGAAGACTGGTGGTAAATGCCTGACCGGTGTGAGTGAGAATCCAGTCTCTGCTCCCATGGCCATCCCTGCTGAAATCAAGGAACCCATCTCCATCAGCTACACCTATAAAGTGGAATATGAGGTGCGTTTGTTCCCTCCTCTTATTTACATATTGCTTTACATTACTTTGCCTTTTTGAGGTTTTTCGTTGTCCTGGCCAGTGCATACCTGCCAACTGTTCCGATTTAGGCGGAACTGTTCCGATTTTGGAGATAAAAAGTGCCCGAAAATCGGAACGTCCCGATTTTCCGAGTTGCGAGAGAAGAAATAATACAAAAAATTTTTTAAAAATTTTAAAATTTAAAAATGCCCTGGCGCCGTCGCACACTTGTCCGAGAACAATTTTTTATTGTATTGAGTGCGCTATTGTCGCTACCATAATGGTATAAAATCCGCCTCGCTCTTATGTACGACGAAAGGGACGTAAACCAGACTCAAACGTCATCGAACAGGCCATGTCCGAATAGGCTGCGGCTGCAGCCGTTCGCGCGCACAGCAGGCTTGTGCGATCAGCCACAACCTAGCCGCAGCCAATACTGAGACCCGCTACGTCATCCGTCTGGTGTACTGCCTCTCTTGCGTGCTTACTGAATTAAGCGCGGGCCGCGCCAGGCACGGCGCGGTGGACGTATTGATGCCATGTTTGTTTTCCACACACGTTGTTTCTTCATAGTCTTCGTTGGTTTTTCGTTGATATTTTGACCGTGCTGAGTCGCACTTTTTTTGTGAACGTTTTTGTATGAGCATTTCAACCGCAACATGGACCAGGAGGATGATACACTGAAGGAGAAAAAGCAGCGATGGAGTCAAAAATTCCGAGAGGAATATCGTGAAAAATTTTAAAATGTGTATTGTAACAGGCCTATGTACACCGTACAATGATGTACAAACTTTTCCAAATAAAATTGTACTTGTCACTGCTTGTACAATGTACATGTAAAATGTATTACTGTGACTGAATATCTACATGTGATTAAACTGTGAAGCATGTAAGTCAGCAGTCATTTATTCTTAAATTGTAAAAATTTTTGATCAGCAAAAACCGGCTGGAAAATTCAGAAAATTATCCACTAAATAAGATTAGTGTCTGTTGGGTCTGCTTCTGGATATCATGTAACATTTTAGGCACATGTACATGTACATGTACTTTGTATGATTGCCCCTGGACCCAACCCATTAGCGCGCGCGCGCCTGCGCCGCTCACCGTGTGTGATGCGTAGGCACCCTGTTCCTCTTTCTGTCTTTTCAATGTTGGCAGGTATGCCAGTGTCTAAGTCAAGTACTGTACAGTGGGCTCCATTCACTAGTACATGTACCCTGTCAAAACTGACGTGACTAGACACTTGAGTGACATTGTGACCATTTGCAAATATGTTACAGGCTTGTGTATTCTCAAATGACAACTAGTTTGTGTACTCCATGCCATATTTATTATTATTGTTATTAATACTAAGAATTATTTCTGGTAATGACAAATGAATGACACCAAGGATTCCTCAAAAGTGCCCTAGGCACTGTAGCTCACAAGCCTGAAGAAACGCGTAGAGAGAAGACAATGAGAAGAAATTACAGTTTTTAGGGGTGGGAGGAAAACCCCAGAAGAGTATGCTGAGGAGAACCCACAGAATCAGGTAGGGACTGAAAACCCAATCCACATGTTGGCCCAGGCGGGATTCAAACCCGGGTCACAGCGGTGGAAGGCGAGGAAAGAACCGCTACGCCAACCTGACTACCCATATATGCATGTGAATCTGTGCACAGGGCATTTGAACCTCCAAAACTGTAAACGTTTGGAGAGCACAGGATTGGGAGAAACCTTGAGTGACAAATATATATCTGTGACTGAGTGTGTTTACAAAGGCAAATGCTAATAACTTAATTCTATTAAGACTTCAGTGCTAGGTTTTTTTAGGTGGGTGGTAGGGATGGGGGGATGGAGCAGAGGGACAGGTTTGGCTGTGAAGTCATGAATATTCAAAGGCCAGCTTGATGCAAATGCTAACTTTTTTCATTTGGAATCCTTTGGACAGCTCAATACGCAGATACGATGGGCATCCAGATGGGATTACATCTTGGAATCCATGCCACACTCCAGCATCCAGTGGTTCAGGTAAGGAGAGAATAACCCCAACTCTCCCAGATCCTCCCGAAACCCCGAAGGAGATTGTAGAGGATTTTAAGGAATCTTTTACTTGACACAGGGACTGATGACCCCTTGGGGGTTTTAGCATCAGTCTGCCATCAGGTAACTGCATTCTGGATGATTTTGAAGGATTAAACAAGGCTGTGACTTTGCTATTGTTAACATTCTGATTCCTGACTTAGGGCGTGATTCCTGACCACATGGCACATACAGGTGTATGGCTTCAGATTAGCTCCCATAATCAAAGACGCCGATAAACTAAAACACGTTGGGCAACTTGTACCTCACTTGTACAATTCAGATCGCATTAATTTTCAATCGGCTTCTGTTCTCTTGTCCGAACCAACAAAAGAAACTGATGATTTCCTTGCTTTTTAATTGTTAATGGCTTAAATGCATTGATATTTCACTGTTGTGCCTTTACCCCATAGTATCATGAACTCCTTAGTGATTGTGCTGTTCCTCTCTGGTATGGTGGCTATGATCATGCTGCGTACACTGCACAAGGATATCGCTCGTTACAACCAAATGGACACGGTGAGTTCAACAGACTAAGAGACACAAAACTATTAATTGCTATACAAATATTGAGTGGCTCAGTGTGGAATGGGAGGAATATTACCGCAAGGTAAAACCTGGACTTTTCCATTTCACGAGGCGATGCCGAGTGAACTGGAAAAGTCCGGATTTTACCGAGCAATAATATTCCTCCCATTTCACACTTTAAAGCCACTCAATATTTGTTTTATATAACTGACATATAGATCCTTGTCATTTGATAAATTTGAACTTTTATTTCAATACAAAACTAGAGGAAAATGTATTTCTCTCTTCCAAACCTCCCCTTCATGGAAATGTTTGAACCCAACGCTGTAGCTCTGGATCTTTGGAACAATACGCGCTACCCGCAACGCTGAAAGCGCACACCAGCATGCATTTGCACACAAATACTGCGTCATGTAACAAAAAATGATCCTAACTGTTTAATAGTATTTCCCATTCCCCATGGGCGGATAGTACTTTTTGAGCCATGACGTGAGTGGGAGCAATAACGAATGTCATGTGATGTGAGTTCTACCAATCAAATGACAGGGATCTGTATGTGGGTTATATAATGGGTGTTATATAAGGACAGCGCAGGCAGTTTACAATACAGAGAATGCACTGTTGGCAATACTAATCATGCTTTACCAGCAGTGCATCTGTATCAGTCCCAGATCATCTTTAGGTACCAATTTATAAGACAGCTCAACTGTTACCATCTTGTTTGACCATCGTTTTTTCCCCCAATGGTCAATCTCATAGGAGGAGGCACAGGAGGAGTTTGGTTGGAAGTTGGTGCACGGTGACGTCTTCAGAGCACCACGCAAGGGCATGCTGCTGTCTGTGCTGCTGGGATCGGGGGCACAGATCTTCTGCATGATCTTCATCACATTGGGTAGGTTGCATGATAGCAGTGTCTGGAGAATTACTAAGCCCAATCCCCTAGGGCCTTAAATAGCGCACACCACTAGTGGACAATTCTGCTCAGCACAGAATTGGCTAAGCACAGAAAAATAGGTAGTTAGCAAAAAAAAAATAAAAAGTTTCCTGCTTGTGACTGTGTCTCAGTGAATTATTTCCTCGGCACGTTCATTTGCTAAGCAATATTGTTATACCTCCGTCCTGAATACTGTATTTCACTGGCCCAGAACGATCACGTGTAATATGAAGTCATGGCACACTCCCTGTGGGATATCACGTACTTACCGTACGGTACGGTACGTACAGTGTGAAACACTTGTATCATTTGTACCCACATCATCATGTTTTCACACATGAGTGGGAGCAGCGAACTAGCAGACGATCAGCTGTTTTGAGCACGCGAAATGCATGTGAGTTGACGTTCAATTGTCATGACTGTTGTGTTAACTGCTGTTTGTTTTCGTGATTTTTACATCAAAATCCAAAGAATCCAAGACATAGGTATAACAAAACAGTTGTTGACGGCTGTGATGTGGGATATGACGTTTTGAACACCCTCTGGGCACAAAGCACCCTCAGCTTTGTGAGGGTGCTGTGTGGGCAATTCCGTAAATTCAGATGTACATAAATTGAGCTGCTGTTGGAAAAGTGAATGTAATACATCACTAGTATGTAACATCTAAAAATGAGTAGAAAACAATTACAGACCTTTAACGTACCACCACCTTAATGACCTTGTGCATCATGTGGTCAGACATATGCAGAGAATAAACGTCATATCCCACATCACAAACGTCATACCCCACATCACACATGTCACAGCAGTCAACAATGTTTATTGTCCGTCTAGCAGCTGCAACCGTATTGGGCCCCATTCATATTGCACACACATTAACGTTTATTTTTTTCTGGCATTAGAGCCCATCTTTGTGTACCACAGAACTTATCATTTGCATTGTTGCGTTTTTGTTTCTGACACCAATACTGCAAAGTGTGCTCTAGGAAAGTGAAGCAATTACACTTTGCATTCTAAGGTTCATGTATCCTCAATGTTTGGCAGATCACCAGCTGATAATGGCAGCACAGAAATTGTACATTTGATCAAAGTTGTACATTTTGTCTGACGTACAGTTGTATATTTTTAGGAAAGAAATGTTGAAAACTATCTTGTTGATAAACATGGCCACAAACACCACATATTTCATGACTCTTCTAATAAAACAAAATATACATTTTCCATACAGTGTATTTTACAGAGTAGCAAGGAATCTTGCAATCTAGGGCTGTGCCGTTTCGAATAATTTGGTATTTGATTAATCCCACTTGGACGCAACTTCAAATATTGGATTTCAAAATTCAGTGATCAAATTCAACATGCACCAGCCTAAACTGGCAGGTGCATTTGTTGAAAATTGACAATATGAAGAACAGGTGGCGATGGCTAATATTTGACAGATTTTAAAGAAGGCATTTGAGCTAATATTCCTCACGGAAGCTCCCCAGTCATGCGGTGTATTGGCGTTCAACAAAAGTGTGGCATTTGACAAACAATAAAACCATGCAACTTATACATTTTTCATTATCTCCTTTTAAATAAACAAGTGCGAGTGCACAATAAGCTCTGGCCTAGTTCCGGAATGTCTCCCTTCATATTGAAATAGACGCGCAATGTCATCAATCGAGACAAAGGGGCGTTTTCCAAATACTTTCGCCAAGAGTGCATTTACTGACGACAGCATTACATTTTGTCAATTCTTGGTCAATTGGTAGTTATATTTTATGGGAAACTTAGGGGGCTTGTTTTTTTGGTCAATTTTCCGGGGAGAGACCTACCGACCGACCGACTGACCAACCAACCAACCAAGAAGTGACATGTAGAAGCTCCTGCCAGAGCTTAAAAAATAAGCTATAGGGATATCCACTTAATGATCGAATATTCAAATATTCGGTACAAATGGCACAGCCCTAATGCAAACATCTTGTAACCAAGGATTCTGTACTCAAGATGGTTAGTACAATATTTTCTCTGGTAGCATTGTTTATAGGACACTATGTCGATTAATAAGTGCCTAATATGTGGTTGGCATAACCCATTAATTGGGGCTTTGACCCAGCAGACCCTTCCACATAACTTATGGTAAAAGTTGATGCTCCACGTAATTTTGACTAATATTAACCGTCCTGCTGTCTGAACAGTCACAGACAGCAAACAAAAAATCAATCCTATTCCCCTGCCATACCTTTATACACAGGCTTGTCACCAACAGTCAGATCATAGTTCTTGTAAACAATTTGAGTAGTCAAATTCCATCAACAGCCAAAAGCAGGTATCTGGTAGGTACAGCTACATGTAGCTTATCAATCTCCTTCAGTCAAAGCATAGCTGTGTCAAGTTACATAAACAGTCACAGCCAGTCAAATTGCTTATGGAAACAAGAGCTCTTAACCTTGAAAAACAGTCGCTTGATTGATTTTGACTACTGAAATGGCTTTGTTGAATTTGCCAGCCAGAGAGGGAGGGTGATGGCATTTTATGACGATGTGGTCTTTCTTTCTTTGGCACAGTGTTTGCTTGCTTGGGGTTCCTGTCTCCAGCCAACCGTGGTTCCCTCATGACGTGTGTCATTGTCCTCTTTGTTAGCCTGGGCACGCCGGCTGGCTACATCTCAGCCAGAATGTACAAGAGTAAGTATTTAAAACACTCGCTGAGTTGTTGCAAAAACCTTAACTCCTGTATTTCAGTGAGCCCTTAGATTAAAAATAAGTTGTAAAAAAGTCACAGAATTTCCTCCCTGCAGGCCATTTTGGCCACATGTTGGATATGTATCAGGGGTGTGATTTTTCCGGATTTCCGGATTTTAAGTCTAACGTCTGCAGAATTTTATGCGGATTCCGGATTTCCAACGTTTTCTGTTCCGTAATATCGCTCAAAAACTTCGGGTGAAATATAGGCCCTAATTTACGATAATGGATGGACTGGTGACACAAGTCTAATAAGCAGTGCGGTCAAGAACCTGGTAGACATCAATGCAGTGTGCGCGCAGTGGAGTACTTGAGGACCAGACTAAAAATAATTTTCAATGGGTTTGCACCTCGTGTTTGTACATGTATATCGCTTGTGGATGTGTGTGTATTGTGCAGACTTGTATTCGAGTCACGAAACATCGAGTCCAAGTCCGAGTCCGAGTCACATTTCTCGAGTCCAAGTCCGAGTCCCGAGTCCTCCAGGTCGAGTACGAGTCCGAGTCACGAGTCACAAAGGTCGAGTCCAAGTCCGAGTCACGAGTCACCTCTAACATTGTATTAGAAAAACGTACATTTTAGGAAATTCAGAGATTCAGAGTCACCTTTGATATAGTAAAAGGTGGCGATCGAAGTTTGACGTAGTGCCGGTTTTCTCCTCTATTTTCCTCTTGCAGAACGTGCATTCTGCACTTGATCTTCAATTGGCATTTCTCTTGAAGTTAAGATATCCAAAATTGACAATTTTTGGAGTGGATGCCATCATGATCTACGTTGCAACTTGCATGTAACGTTACCGAAACGGGCAGATCAGCAGACTCTTCATATCACGTTATCGCGATGCGACAGCAATACATGTGTGAACGACAGGACGTCTGACAAGAAAAGTCTGGTACAATCTTGCACCAATGTAGCATTACGTGCGGACGGCGGGGTACAAGTTTCGGTACATTGATTTCTTTAATCAATATATCGGTAACCGGCCACGGCCACGCACGCACCGCATCGAGCGCCCTGTACATGTATTGCACAGTAAAGAAAACAATCGACTTACGTAAACTATGTGCGCGTATGCAGTGCGGTAATTTCTGTCGAGTCACAAGTCAGTTCGAGTCCGAGTCCGTAGCCCTGAGTCCGAGTCCGAGTCGTAAGTCAAAGTGACCCGAGTCCGAGTCATTAAAAATGTGACTCGAGTCGGACTCGAGTCCGAGTCCGAGTCACGAGTCATACAAGTCTGGTATTGTGCAGTGACGATCGTGAGCTAGCAATTCGCAAACACATTGGTGTCAATATTGCCGCGATTTTGTCAAGGAATTTAAGAGTATGGTTGGAAGAACTGGTAATAAAGTGTCACTGTGGATGTAAATCAGTTTGAGCTGCAGTAGTACTTTGAAAAATAGCCACCACCAACACAAAATTTCAAAAATGTTTCGGAAGCCTGGGACTGGAGTTTAAAGTAAGATTACTATTACTTAGTAACTTTTTAAGCACCGTTCATATTTTTGTGTGTGAATCGTTTCTTTCTCTCTGCAATCATGCAAAAGTAATAACATCACACACAGAAAAAGACATTATTGAATCAATCACGTATGGATTATATTATTTAATGACCAGACATTTTTTCCTCATTTTTCCCCCATTTGTTTTCTTTACTCATGCTTTACTAAAGTGACAAAATTTGCAAACATTACAGAAATTACAGTACATAAAATGTACATGCCCTATATATGGACATATGTGCATGTATATGTATACATGTACATCTATACAAGTACATGTACAATAATACATGTACATGTACAATAATACATGTACATGTACATGTATACATGTCAACCGAAGTTCGTGGATTTTTCATTTTTGTCCAATCACACCCCTGATGTATAGCATCAGTACAGTATTTGGTTCCTTATTTCAGTTTCCATTGTTTTCCCAGTTTGTATGCAATTTCAGAATTGTAAGGTGTAATGTTGAGGTTTAAGTTCAATATTTGGTTTTGCCCTTCACTGACATATATTGTATAAACACTGTATACTCAGTGTTGTCCTGAGTGATTGTGAGAAAAAAATCACAAGCTACTTGGGTGGGACTCCAAGCCACGACCTCCTGGTATGTAGTGCAAACTCACTAACATCACCCCAAACACAAATTCCAGTTTATGAATAGAGGTTTAAATTATTCACTATTCTGTAGGTAGTTGGGATATCCGTTAGGGGGAGGTTAAATGCTACAAAGCTGTTTGTTGCTTGCAATAACCATGCACATGTGAGACACGTGCTGCTCTAGATAATAAAAAAAATTGTGTAAAACAAAAGGGATTCATCATGATCGAGTCACAGATTTATTTGAAGTTGTCAGGCATAGACTTGATGGACCGTAAAAAAAAAACAGAGAAGGATGCTGGACATTTGAGTGTGATTGTTCTTGCACTGGCAATGTTGTTAGAAGATGTACATGTGAATATTGACACAGATATGTGCACTCTATAATTTTAAATTTTGTCTGTGTTCTTTTTCTCTCTCTCTCTCTCTCACTCTGCTCAGCCTTCGGCGGTGAGAAGTGGAAGTCCAACCTTCTCCTGACCTGTTTCCTGATTCCTAGCATCATCTTTGCCATCTTCTTCATCTTGAACATCATTCTCTGGACCAAGCACAGCTCGGCAGCCATTCCCTTCTCCACGCTAGTAGCCCTGCTGGCCTTGTGGTTTGGGATATCTGTGCCCCTCGTGTTTCTGGGCGCTTACTTTGGCTTCAAGAAGAGGGTGAGCTCCAGTTCATTTACTTTTTAGTAATATCGATCCATTGACAACATAAGAAATGATTAACCTAGTTATTTCCTACATCTCTGGATCTGAACTTCCAAGTATTGCATACTGGCATCAGCATTATAATAAATAAAACCTCAAAGATTCTCATCAAATTGAATTTGTCAATGATCCGTTGTCCCAAGGCAGTCATCACTCCCCAGCTGATTTGCATATTGTAGCCACATGTCGCTGTTTGCGCTCTGTACAGTGTATAGCGCTTGGCTAGTGTTTATGTATGTAGCAGCCAGATACCATCACAGACAGTCAGTAGGCAGTCTGTAGGCAGTCAGCAGACAGTCAGCAGACAGTCCGCAGACATCAGCCGGCAGTCAGCGGGCAGTCAGCAGACATCAGCCGGCAGTCAGCAGACAGTCAGCAGACAGTCCGCAGGCATCAGCCGGCAGTCAGCGGGCAGTCAGCAGACATCAGCCGGCAGTCAGCAGACATCAGCAGACAGTCAGCAGACAGTCAGCAGACATCAGCCGGCAGTCAGCAGACAGTCAGCAGACAGTCAGCAGACAGTCAGCAGACATCAGCCGGCAGTCAGCGGGCAGTCAGCCGGCAGTCTGCATACAGTCAGCGTGCAGTCTGCATACAGTCAGCAGACAGTCAACAGACAGTCTGCAGACAGTCAGCAGACAGTCAACAGACAGTCTGCAGACAGTCAGCAGACAGTCAGCAGGCAGTCAGCAGACAGTCAGCAGACAGTCAACAGACATTCTGCAGTCAGTCAGCAGACAGTCAGCATACAGTCAGCAGACAGTCAACAGACAGTCTGCAGACAGTCAGCAGACAGTCAACAGACAGTCTGCAGACAGTCAGCAGACAGTCAGCAGGCAGTCAGCAGACAGTCAGCAGACAGTCAACAGACAGTCTGCAGACAGTCAACAGACAGTCAGCAGACAGTCAGCAGGCAGTCAGCAGACAGTCTGCAGACAGTCAGCAGACAGTCTGTAGGCAGTCAGCAGACAGTCAGCAGACAGTCAGTAGGCAGTCTGTAGGCAGTCAGCAGACAGTCAGCAGACAGCCTGCAGACATCAACCGGCAGTCAGCAGACAGTCTGCAGTCAGTCAGCAAACAGTCAGCTGACAGTCAGCTGACAGTCAGCAGACAGTCAGCAGACAGTCAGCAGACAGTCAGCAGACAGCCTGCAGACATCAACCGGCAGTCAGCAGACAGTCTGCAGTCAGTCAGCAGACAGTCAGCAGACAGTCAGCTGACAGTCAGCTGACAGTCAGCTGACAGTCAGCTGACAGTCAACAAACAGTCAGCTGACAGTCCATAAACACCATAGTGAATCTTGGCCTTCACCCGATAAACTCATTTGTGTTTCTTCCTGCAGCCAATTGAGTACCCGGTACGCACCAATCAGATTCCTCGTCAGATACCGGAGCAGTCCTTGTACACCCGCCCTCTTCCTGGCATTGTCATGGGCGGGGTCTTGCCATTTGGTTGTATATTCATCCAGCTTTTCTTCATCCTCAACAGCATCTGGTGAGTTGCAATTCCTTCAGATGCCAAACCAAAACAAAAACATTCCATAGTGGTTATCAATAATACAGAGCAAGATAATAGCTTTGTTGGCTTTGATGACATGTGTCTCTAGCAGTTGTAAATATTGATATTGAGCTTTTGCCTTTGCATGACGCATTTTATTACCACTTTATACTTATTGCTGTTTGAAAACTTATAATGAAAAATAATGTGCAAGGTTTGAACGACCGTGATGAGCTTGTTGATAAAGTAGGAAGACTTCCACATCTTTGAGCAGGAGGTCATGGGTTCAGGTCCCACCTGGGCAAGCTTGTGGATTTTTCTTGCAAGCTCTCAGAAAGCAGAGAATCAAGTGACGATAAAATTGTTGGTAAATATTCAAACAGTATTTCGCGTACCACTGTTGTTTTTGTTCTTTACCAATGAAACCTTCAAAAGCACTGTATACGCAGTGCTGCCCTAAAAGCATGCGAGATGGTTGATACAAAAATCTGAGATAGCCGATACAACAATCAGCATCTTGTATGGCAGAACTGTATTATATTTAATTGCCCTACAATATTTTTAATCTGTTACGATTGCTCATCCCTTGCAGGTCCCATCAGTTCTACTACATGTTTGGCTTCTTGTTCTTCGTTGCTATTATTCTGGTCATCACTTGTTCCGAGGCCACTGTTCTGCTGTGCTATTTCCACCTGTGTGCTGAGGTAACTAACAGTCATGTTCAGAACCAGTGAAAACCCTAACCCCCTAGATACGTAGATTGAATCGGAACCCTTCAGGTTCTTTCAAATTCTCCAGGAGATTTTATGAAGGATCAAGAAAATGTCAAGCTCTGTTATTGTTACTTTAAATTGGGCTTGTTGCCCTTAGAAGTTAGAGTTAAAAAAAAACATGCCACTTGGTTCTGCAGATTGTCATATTTTGGAGACTTTACCCTAACCCGCCTCAATCCTCCAAGATCCTCATTGCGGTTTGGAAGGATTTTGGAGGATTGAGGATGAATGGTGTTTGAGAAACAGGAGGATTTTGGAGGTTTGAGGATGAATGGTGTTTAAGCACATGAGGGTTTTAGAGGATTGAGGATGAATGCATTTTGAGGCAGGACTGTCTGATGATTTTGAAGGAATGAGGGGCTGGGTATCCCTGAACATATATGTAAGTGCACAATTTTGGGATTTTGGAGGATGAATGCATTTTGAGGCAGGACTGTCTAAGGATTTAGGCGCTGTTGCACAGTTTTGGAGGATTGAGGATGGTTCCTAGCAAAAAGGGCCTGGGGGTTAAACCTTGTGTGTAGAACTATATGTGCATTGCCCTATAAAAGGTTGCGTTTAATTGGAATCAACTGTTTTTTGTGGCCAAAATTTGGGACTTTGTTATCATTATTGTTTCTGATGAACACTGTACAAGTTAGTGGTCTGTTATGATGTGGTCCATGGGTTTGTATCCTCTCAGGTTCAGAGTTGTCTCCCTCGGGCAACACAGCACCATGGATCACATCACAGCAGACGCATGCATGATGACAGGTTTTGGGTGGGAGAATATCTGAGAGTCCACGTGAACTCAACATAAACAACAGATGCCCACAAACTATGGCCGAAATAAATATAGCTCATGCATATTCATGATCAAGAGCCCAATTCTTACTGGTCCATCCACCATCACGCGTCGGCCGCTAGTGTTGCTGTTCACCAAGCGCACACGCGAGGATTCACACACAGGTTAAATACGCATGGGCAGTAGACTAACTTACAACGCATGCGCTTTACCAAGCAGTTGTGGAACTATTGCACTGGGGAAGTGTACGTGTTCTACATAACCCCCGAGGACCAACACAAAGGGAACAACAGATCCTTTCAGTCCTCGGGAGTTGGGTCTTTTGTTCAAAACGGTCCTCTGTAGTAGGTTCGTGTGCTTAGTCTATAGGAGAGTGTTGAAATACAGGGACAAAGGGAAGCACAAAAGCATTGTCCTCGGTAGCAAAGTAAAACAAGAGTGTCTGAGCACGCATGAGCATCGCCTTACCTACACAAAAAGATGGTGGCACACACACAGAAACTTTTTGCAGAGATAACTGATGTGTACCTTGACAAAATGTTGGTGAGGTAAACTTAAATTTCGGGGGTAAATAGTTGGTTTGCAGTGAAGCAAGGAATTTTGGCTTGTGTGCATGCATCTATCACATGACTGAAGACTCTGTGCTTTACAGCATAGCTGCCAACTAGTACGATTTTTTCGTAATTATTACGAATTGTTTGTTAAATTACGAAAATACGATTTGCCACTAAAACATTACGAATTTCCCATTTTCTACCTAACGAAAAAAAAAAAATGTAAAGTATCGTTTTTGACCAAAAACTTCTGGCGAAATGTCGCGATAATGGATGGACTGGTGGCAAGTCTAATAAGAATGCAGTCAAGCACCTGATAGACATCCATGCAGTGTGCACAGTGGAGTATTTGAGGACCAGACTAAAAATATTTTTCAATGGTGTGCCATTTGTGTGCATCTCGTGGATGTGTGGTTGTGTGTACTGTATGTGAGTTCTTTTCAGTGACGATCGTGAGCACATTTGGTCGCTTATTGCCGGGATGAGGACCCATCAGTGCGAGATTTTAATCACGGAATTTAATAAGAGTATGGTTGGAATAATTGGTAATAGAGTTTGAGTTTGTCACAACGGACAGAAAAGATAAATCAGCATGCGTTTGCAAGGTATGTTGGCGGGATATTTCTATTGCATACGGTGGCCATAGATCATTGTGTGTAAAAACATGATACGAACTCGAAACTCAACATCGATAGCATGCATCTCCAAAAAAATATGCGCAAATGTTATTGATGTTATTATTTATTTGACTTCAACAAACAAATACAGACATCAAAACAAAATTAATTTTAAAAACAAAATTTTTTTTTTAAATTTTTTTAATTTTTTTTTAATTATCTTTTGGCCTACAGTACATTATTATTCACAACAAGAAGAGTATGCACATGTATGTGTACATGTAAACCATGTACCTGTACTCGATGTCGGTAAAGCTTTTGATAAAACGAGAAGTTGAAAATGACCGCGCGGGTTGATTACTAATTGGGATTTTGAAATGTTGGCAGCTATGTTACAGGCTTAGTACTGATTATTAGACTAGCACTGTTGACATGAATGGTCATTGCAAGCACAGAATACCATGGTTGGAAGAGCCTTGGTTCAGACTTAGGCCGTGTCCAAATTACTTGGCTGTGGCTGGATGTTACACAGCGCCTGTCAAGCGCCTGCAGCCACTACCCATAGACCTGTGTGTTACTTCCAGCCAGTGTTGTAGTCGAGTCACCAACGTCGAGTCCGAGTCCCAAGCCTCGAGTCTGAGTCTCAAGTCACAAGCCTGAGTCCAAGTCTTGAGTCACAAACCTTGAGTCCGAGTCACGAGTCACATGTTCTCAGTTGTTCACCAAACTAATCAAATTAGTTTGGTGAACTAAATAAAATTATTTTTCAATCATCCATTCTGTCTTTTAAGTAAATCCCAGTGTATATAGTTTACGTTGTGTGTACAAAATGTGTTTTCTTTTTAATTCCCATCCCTAAAAAAACCCTACTCCATCCCTTCCCTCCATGTTTTATCATCCAAACATTATTCCTCAATGATCCTTTCCCATCCCTACCCCGTGCGCAACCCCTGGATACGATTTTCCGCGGCACTGTGTTTTGTCTATGTAGTAAAAACCAAAAAGAATGCCACGTTCGTCGCACAAATACTTAACGTTCGAGTCATGATTCCAGTCATGAGTCACCAAGCTCGAGTCCAAGTCATCATGGTCGAGTCCGAGTCATTTTCCAATGTGACTCGAGTCGAGTCTGAGTCACGAAAAATGTGACTTGAGTCCGACTCGAGTCCGAGTCCTGGACTCAAGTACTACAACACTGTTTCCAGCCATAGCCAAGTAATGTGGAGGTGGCCTTATATAACATGGGTGTTTTTCCTCTACAGGACTATCACTGGTGGTGGCGCTCTTTCCTGACGAGCGGCTTCACTGCCGTCTACCTCTTCATCTACTGCCTGCATTACTTTGTGTCCAAGTTGACGATCCAGGGCACAGCCAGCACAGTCTTGTACTTTGGCTACACCTCCATCATGGTCCTCCTGTTTTTCTTGTTCACCGGTGAGTAGCAGAATTGGGTAGTCTTTGCAACAAACTCCTTCAGATTGGGGAAACTGTGCCAACTTTGAATCAAAGCCAAGCTGGAATCGAGACTGGAATGGACCCCCGGTACTTTGCAATGTTGGTTCCCAACAGTCGTTTGTAGGGAGTACATTACCAATCTGAAGACAGGCAGATTCCAAATTTGTTCACATATTGGCAGTTCTGGGAAGAAAGCGATTGTTTAACCCTAACCTTCCCAACTCCATCAAAATCCATTTTTCTTGGTTTTTCCAGCATCCACGAACACAGAACTTTGAACAAGTCACTGTAAAAATTGCTATAAAATACTAATCCCCCAAATCCATCCATTTCTGAAAATTTCAGCAAAAGCAAATGTTCTATATTCCCTTTAAGATTGGCTCAATTATAACATCCGATTGAGGTGGTCATGTCATTCCGTCTTTCACATTTTTCCCCCTCTTCCAGGAACTGTGGGCTTCTTTTCCTGTTTCTGGTTTGTCACCAAGATCTACAGCGTTGTTAAAGTGGATTAAATCACAGCTGAGTAGCACAATACGATAGCAGCAGTCACTGCTCGACATTTTGACAACGTCAACGTAGTTCAGTTAGTTTTTGTTCTAGTTGACAAGGAATGCCTTCTCAATTTGAGGTTATTATGAGGCACTATTTGAAGTAGACTTACTTTTTTTGAGGGGAACAGGTATAGTGTCACACAGTTTTCTGCGTTTGTTTTTGTTGAAACAAAAGAATGCAGGCAGGGAACCCGCCATACTGAATTTGTAGAAAGTTTGTTAATAGATTTAATTTTTAATTTTTGTTTTCTCCAAGTTTACACGAAGTTCAGTTTTGTCACAAGGGGTCAGTTTTGATGGGTTTATAGCCAACAGTGTGTATATGAGTATGCCTTGCGTTTGATACAAGTTCGTACATAAAACAAATAAGTTGAATTTATTTGATGGTCTCCATGCATTGTCTGTCATCAACATACACCACTCGGCAGTAATGCACAGCTTGGAAACATTTTAGTTTCAAGTACACTGTGAAATAAATATTCATCACCATTTGTCCGAACTCATCTGGGTTAGTTTTTGGAGATATTTTGACCTTTTTAAATACTTCTGAAGTTTTAAATCATGCATTTAGTTTAGGCGTGTACAATGGATGTATAATTTTTTGTCTTTCTCCTTTATGGGTTGTACAGTTTAGCATTTGATGTTTGATGTAGTTTTGACAATTCCAAATTAAGAGCTGTAAGAGGGAGAAGTGAAACGATTATTGTTTCATAGTTATGTGATGGCTTTACAGTTATTTTACTTGAAGGTGACAGTGAATTTTGCAATCATTTAGATATTTTTCTATTCCACTCGTGGAATGTGAAACATAATTGGTGGGTTATTTACTTTTTTGAGTCTAACTTCATATTTGTGTGTTTCCTGCGGATTGGGCCTGTGGCTTACTATCGTCATAAATTTACAGAATTTGCCTTTTAAAATAGAATTAAACTTTGTGTGTGCAAACCAATATTCTGTGCACGTCCGAGATGCAAAACCATTACCTGAGTAATTGCAGAATATCCCACCACTCGGAAGTACACCCCTAAAATCTCTGGCTACGCGGTTGGAATCACTGGAAAAGAAACAATTGAAGTCCATTGCCAACTACGCAGATACGGAGTGGGGGTCCAATATTTGAGAACGAAGCAACACAAAAGGAATGGGAGTTGCTGAAAAAAATTGTAAGTCCAAACCAACCACCCTGTTGCCGGCTATGCGGATACGGAGTGGGAGTCCCCTTGAATATGCTTGAGAACGAAGCAATACAAAAGGAATGGGAGTTGCTGAAAAAAATCGAAGTCCAAACCAACTACCCTGTTGGTGGCTACGCGGATACGGAGTGGGAGTGCAGTGGAGCATGACGCATAGTACATACAAGTAGCGCTGAGAAGGTTTATTGAGGGCAATCAACCGTGACTCCGTAGCCGGCTACGAGGTGGACAGATTGAGTGGCGGGGTATTCTGCAATTGTGCCCCGTTACCAAAAAAAATCAATTCTTTTATAAAAAAAAAATTGTCAATTCCTAAAAAAAAGTTTTCGCTCAAGGTGGTTTGTTGCTGAAGGCAATTTCCCTTGAAAGGATGTTTGATAAACAAGTTTATTTGTGTGGTTTTCTGTTTGATATACAAAATTAATGAAGGTGAAATGGAATTTCACTTTTGCTGTTAACAGTGGTTGCAACAGAAATGATGTCAGTTGCGACACAAACACTTGTTACTTGCTAAGATAACAGTGACCAATATTTGAATGCCTATGAAATCTTTAAAATGCTTCATTGTTTTCTCATATGTTGCATTCCAGCTTTGTGCGAAATGAATTGCACTTTGCATAAAAGGTTTGGAAAAATGTTCCATTACTGTACATATGTACAATGTATTAATCACATGCTGTACAAATAACCCTGCAGAATAAGTGTGTAATTAGTTTATCAACCCTAACTCCCTAGCATGATTTACTAGGAACCATACCCATCTTGGCAAATTCCAACACCATATGGGAAACTACACACACATATTTCTGACTTTGATTCTGGTGGTGTGCCAACCCAGTGTAAAAGACTGTCAGTTTATGGGTGAGTGTACCCATCCTGACAGATTCCAACAAAACATGCCGTTTATTTATTACATTTATTTTGGGGTTTGATGGGTTGAGTTCTGTTAGGGTTAAGAATAGGACATCTGTAAAACTTCACGAGTAACTATAGGGATAACTATGTTTAAGTTGTTGCAAAGTATGTAACTTTTGGCCAATTTGGCACGAGATGCATTCACAATTTCACACGTGGGCACCGAGTACAATTGATACATGGATCATTTGGCCATGCTGTTTTTCCAGTGGCCATTTTGTCCTAGGAATTTGCTGCAAATTATGTGATGTTTTTTTTAGTTTTGTTTGCCCACGAGGGAACAAATAAGTGAAGAGTTTATTTCCCAAAACGTGATACATCCATTTAAAAAAAAGTGGAAAATTTGCACGGTTATGAACTTTAAAGAATAAAAACAGTACAACAGCTGTTTGTAAACTTCTTTTTTTTTTGCCTTTTTTACCTCCGCCAAGGAGCTTATGTTTTCATCGGATTGGGTTAGTTTGTTGGTTGGTTGGTTGGTTTGTCTGTTAATAAGGAATTGCATGAAATTTTTGTTTAGGGGTGGTGCTTGGTAGAAGTACAAATCGATTAGATTTTGGAAGTGATCTGGGTCTGGATCCAGGATTTTTTTTAAGGATTCTTCACCATTTGCGAGTATTTCTTTTGGGTTTACTGACAATATGGCAGGGAATTGTTAAGCCTTGGCGGAAGTTTTCACTCTCCGAATGCTTTCTAGTTGTATTCTGAATTTGTGTTTATATAACAGCTGTCGAAATTGACTTTGGGCGGCCAGGAGAGAGCAGGATTCTAAGAGGGAACAAAATGGCGTATATCACGTTTCGAGATAAACTCTTCAAAAAATTAATTATTCTATATATATTTTATGTGAAAAAAATGTAATATCTGCTTCTTATACTTTTTTGTCATTTATCACAAATACGTTGTTGGTTTATATATTTAACTTTTGGCTGTAAATGAAATTTCTATCCGACTTTTTTCTGGTGTGTGTTTCCTGGTTTCATTTTAATGTGCATACAATGTAACAATACCATCAAAGGTCTAGTGCAGTTTGTTGTTGTATTAGTGTTATGTGTACATGTACATGAAACAGTTCATTTTATTTTGTTTTTCGGTTGCTTTGGATATTTACGATTACTGTATTATTTGTAATTAGGATGTTGTTTTTCTTGCTTGATGATGTATTTGCAGTTATAAGGATTACTTATTTTTGTAGTAATTTGGGAGTTTTTATGAGTGGTATTAGAAGTCTACTGATCGGGAGAAGTATGCCAAACTGCAATGACAACATGTGAGAGACTAGTCATGCGAGACCAGTCTTAGTTCAAGACGCTTTTGTCATACAGACATCCCAAGAGGGCTATCTGTAAGTCGGTGGTGTTCTAACCTAATCAGGTATTTTCTGGCTACGGATTTGGCTCTTGCGGTAATTGTGTTACATCAAGTTGACTGGCATACCTCAAGGAGCAATAGACTTCTGTTGAAAGTTATATAATGTACCCAGAATGAACCACTTTTTCATTTAATGCTAATCTATCCGGCAGATTTGTACACATGTGCGCATACATGTATTTATCAAGTAATTTTCCTGTGCATCCACATACACTGTACTTGGCATCCTTTTATCATTGCAGGTTCCCATTGATTGTAAACCAAGTCGTGCATGCCAAATGTATCATTGCTTACTTGATATTTTCTGAGCCCAATTTTATGGTGCTGTTGAACAATTAGCGGAAAAGTTTTGCTTACTAGAGCAGTGTGGAGTGCTGTGGCCTCGTGGTTAAGGGCACTGGATTTGTGGCCTGTGGGTAAAGCTGCGGGTTGTGGGTTCGAGTCCTGGCGGGGTCATGGTGCGTGTGCCCTTGGGCAAGGCACTTTGTCACTCGTTGCTTCTCTCCACCCAGGAGTAAATGGGTACCTGTGAGGGCAGAGATGGTTAGTGTGATTGAATAAGCTTGCTTGCGCCTAACAGGCAGCATCGAGCTGTATACTCCCCAGGGAGCTGAAATGGTATTTGGAATGTTTAATTGGCCCAGTGATCAGGGGTAATAATAATACTGTAAGCGCTGATTTAGTTTACTAATAAGAGCGTTCTTAAATGCCGATTATTATTATTATTATTAAAATTGTACTTACTAATCTTAAGCACTACTTCATGGTGTGGTTGTGCTAACGGTTGTGTGCTCATGTAGATTTCTATTGTTGGGTATCACTGATTTAAGCAAACTTTTCCTCTGAAGTAAGCATGCTTTTGCTGCGCTTACTGCTTACGGTCTCCATGAAATAGAAAGAGGCTCTGTAAGCAGAAAATCTTGTGCTTAGCAGCGCCGTGAAATTGGGCCCAGGTTTGTAATTGACCTATCGCAGTAGAATCTCGGTAGAATCACGTCAACACAGCTTGTGAAATTTTGTCCAATTACGTGATACAAATGGACGAGGATTGTGCAAAACCTGAGACAAACACTAATTAGTGTACAAAAACTCCATAGGGTTGTCTAAGGGTCGTGGCTAACTCGCAAACGTCGATAGGTCAATTAACTGAAGAACCACCCTTTTGAAACAATGACCCACAACCCCTAAAACCAGGCAATTACAATTCCACAACAGCTGAGATTTTCCATAACTACCAATGCACAAAATGGTTTCTTTTGATCAGTTTGAAGAACTTAACCACCAAATAGTAATAATAGTTTAATAAATCCCAGTTTTAAAATTAGTGGTAAATGAATGAACATGCAAGCAAAACTAGACTTACATGTAAGATATAATAATTGCTAGAAGATGTTTGCTCTTTTTACCACATGCCTGGTTCCATGTTTCTATAATGCTCCAGAATTTGGTTTAATATGATAACTGATTAATACTAATACAATGTATGTTGGACTTGCTCTATACAGTGCACGTCCACATGTTCAAATCAGTGACCCTATGGACAGGTTGACCTAACCTCAGATAATTGTAAAACAATTCTGGAAATGCTTGGAAGTGCATTTGATGTGCTCTAGCATATAATTGTAAGTGGTTCATTTCAGTGCACAGAATTTCAAATAAAATTGTAGAACTACTAAATACAAGTGTGTAGTGAGATGTATTTTTCTTTGAGTGGCTGATTACCATCAAACTGTGCCACGTTTACATGTAAACAACAACAAACACATACATGCACAGTAACTTGCATTTTGGGGGAGTAACAAACTTCCTTTTTTCATTTCTTTAATTTAGAATTTATAAACATTTCAATTTTGTTTCACACTACATGTATATAATAAGTTTTGTTCTGGTATAAAATGTAAATGACACAAAGAATTTCAAATAATTATAACTTCAATATGTAATCAATAAATAAATCAACAGTCAACTATGTGTTGAAACAACTAATACTCAGATAAGTTCAATACTGGCAATCAAATGAACATTTTTTATCTTTCACAAAGTCGGTATTTCTGCAGTCCAGCTTTTAACAAAGACTTTGTTAACCAATTCGCGCCGGGATTATTTTGACATTAATCGGACCCAGGCGTGGGATTGTTTTTCATGAACCTTGATGCCAGACGGGTTCAGGCGGTCATCTGTGGGTAGCACACCCTGATATTTCTAGCCCCACTAGCTGTGAGCTAGTCGCGGAAATGTATATATCGTCTGGCATCGCTCGTTGTGTGATTATCCGTCATCCGTTCTGAATACCGCAAAATCTTTGCGTGTATACACCTCATCCAATGTGCCCTGGCCTAAAACCGTGTTATGGGGAAGTTTTTTTATTGTTAGGTAAATTAGGACCGAGTAATGGGGACTTTCTGCTGTTCCCACAGCATTTTCCGTCCCCACAAATACCTTGTACAGACGAGTGTACATGTATGTCCCCACAAATACGGAGCAAGACTTCATGAACTGGTAAATAGTGACCAACGCCTAGGCCCGAAACTATAGAATTATTTATTCCAATGACTAATCTGACAATGAAACAACCAAAATATTTTTACATACTGTAATTTTTCTGAAACGTTACGTTTGTTTATGGTGTAAATCAAGGACAAGCACATGCAACATCATCGGTGAATCGAGGACAGGAACCAAATCGAGGACGACCTCGATTAGAAAACGTGTACAAAACCAATGAGAGCTGTTGCAAAAAAAGTACAAACAAAGGAAAAGGGAAGAGGAAAAAACAAAAATCAAACGTGTATGAGCGTGTTCATCTATTCAAACCATGGACAAAAAATTCCAGACAACAAAAAAGAACGATATCGTCCACGATTGGGGTCATGTACAAAACCTATGGGAGTCTTCCTAAAAAGTTATAAGTACAAACAAACGAGGAACTATAGGACGTCCACAATCGACAGTGTGAGCACGGGTGCACATGTTAATCTTTTCAAACCGTGGACAAAAAATACCAGAGAACAAAAGAAAACAATATCATCCACGATTCCCAGCATACCGGTACGTCTGCGATTGGGGTCGTGTACAAAACCTATGGGAGTCTTCCTAAAAAAATTAGAGTACAAACAATTAAGTACTGTGATATTTCAAGTAAAATATTTGCTTAAGGCGCTAGAGGCGAAAAATCAAAGTGCACCACGTTAGGGGCCGCACCATGTTAGGGGACACAGTGGGTGGCACATAATGGATTCCACTGCATGACGGGGCTCATTTTACTAGTATCGGGCAAAATTCTTGCACATGAGAAATGCACACAGTAAATGAAGGGCCAAATAGCATCATATATAAACCAGCCAAATGTTGTCTTGTACATTATCATGTGTACTTTATGTACATGTAGTATGCATGTGAACTGCTACACTTGATGTGCATTCAAATAATGGATATACACGTAGGCTATAAGTTCCTTTCCAATCCAATACATACATGTAGAAAAACAATATTATTTTGATTGCATGTAGAATATTACATCATCATTTCATAGTTTCTTTTAAAGGGAGCCTTATACACCCATCTACACAATCAAAACACTTTCAATAAATAATTCTAGCACTTTGTATACGTAACTGCATAGTACACACTAAAAAATCACAATAACATCATACATGTACCAATGTGTTCCATTTAGCTGAGCCCCTTAGCAAGTACATGTATGTTCCTTTTGTATTTTTCAAACATGTACATAATGTATCATCCAAATTTCATTTCAATTTTATCACATAGGGACTTTTTTGGCAATGTGTTTTGGGAAAACCACTTTTTAGCGCTAATTTGCCACAATGGGCCTTATTCAGGAGTTGGCCATTTTTGTCGAGTTCTCTATTGTATTTCATTAATTGTTAACTGTTGAATGGGATGGTGCCAGACTATTTATGCAGGCACAATGCAGCCTTAATTTACTGTCATTTTTTTTAAAATATGGCTTTAAGCACTACGAAATGTGTAATTACAAATTTTAAATTATTCATTGAAGCAGACTGGAATTTATTATGAATTAACATGCTTTCATTTCTCTTTGCAAGTTCCAAAAATTAAGATTTTACCTAACTTTCAAATATGGCCGACTCGTGAATAAGGCCCATTTAATTTACTTTGTTAAAGCTATAGTCCATCATTTGCAGCTTTCCAAAAAGTAACTGATGTAATTATTGTTAAAAAGTATACTTGGTTGAACAATATAAGGGGACTAAACTCCCTGTGAAATTATTCTTTCTGGCAAGCTGTAATTTTGAAGAAATCAACAAAAGAAGGACTTTCCAACGATGCGTCTGAAGACGCATCATTGGTAATTTCCGTTAGTAGTTTTTTGTTTTTATTCAGCGAAGTGCGCACAAGCATTGACACGACGCACACGCGGTTGCTATCATTCATCAGTTCAGTACTCGACATCGCATAGCTGCAATCGCCTCAGTGAAAACATGTCTCAGACGCTGAATTCAGGCCCAATCCAAAACATGATTCAGCAACTTTTGATTTATAATTGAGATCACAGAATTTTGTTTTTCTCGAAATATAAACTTCATCAGGTTAGTTGTTCAGCACACTTCGTTAGATTTTGAGCACGTTTGTTGCTTCAAAGTTCAAACGAACAAAATGCACAAATTACAAATGATGGACTGGTACCTTTACATGTCTACAATGTATATTGTTCTGTGGCAAGTTATTTGGATAGATTTATGAAGAAATTATGGAGTTTTGTCCAATTAAAAACATCACTTGATACCTGGTTCATATTTGAAACTTAAAACACCTGGATGACTACACCAAGTTTGATTTTTCCGCCTTTCTTGTCAAGGAACGCTTGAGAGTGGATGGTGGTGACGTTTGTTGTCAAGCTCCAATGTACGTTAGCAGTGGGACCGTCTGGTTTATAGACTAGTCCACTCTTTGTGACAGCATTCAAGAATTTGTCATTGGCGTCAAACGCCGAGATGGCTAACCTGAAGGATTTTCCAATGTCTGTGTTGGGTGCTTGCAGCTTGTATGTGACATTGGTCAACATGCCTCGCTCACATGTTACGTCATTGGTGGCGCTAGCACTGCAGGCGGCTGCAGCAGCAGCGTCAGCTTTGGAGTTCTGCAGCAAGAGGAGGTACCACGGGGAACCGCTCTTTGGCCGGTAGCCCTGCGTCATGGCATTGGCCATGACCGTGCTGGTCGGATGGACGTACAGCACGTGGCAGTGCGGCGGGGCTAAGTAGAGCCGTGCATGGTAGCGCTCGGCCAAGAACAGCTCTGACATGTTCGCAGTCCCCACCAGAGCGTGAAACTTGTAACCTTCCAGGATGTGGTCCTTGATCTGCTTTTCGTAGATCTGGCCAAACTCGGACCTCTCGATGGTCAGAATATGCTCTGAAGTCATCTGGGCGAAGCGGATGTATGGCAGCACCCTACGGAGGTTGCCAGTCACCCCGCCTTTCTGAAGGTCATGCACCAGCCAGCGCTCGATGGCCTTGAAGAGTGAGTATTCATCAGTGACAATGAGCTGCCCACTGTCAAGAAGTCGGCACATCTGCTCCACTGACAGCCCCAACCAGGAGTCTAGCTCTAGGATCTTCGGCAAGTTACAGGCGATGACCTCATAGCAGTGGCTGACTAGCTGATCCAGGTTGTAGGTTTCAGCAAAGGACAGCCAGTCCAGAGCCCCGTTCACATTGCCCTGCCCGATCTGCTCCGTCATGTATCGCTCGCACTGGCACCGCAGCCGGTGGATGTTGTACTTGTCGGCAAGAGTGAAGATCGGCATAATGGTCCGCATGTCCACTGTCACCTGACCACAGTAGAGGTACTTCAAGAACTCTCCAAACACGGCCGTACACTCGGGGCTCTCTTCAAGCACAATCTCCTGCTGCTGCGAGTCCACCCACTGGGAACCCGTCAGCATAGTCTGGAAGACATCGCTGGATGATGCCAAGAAGAACTTGTGACAATGGAAGACCCTGCCATCCACACGGATGATCACATCACTCAGATCTGGGTTATTGTAGTACGACTTAACCCCTGCTATAAAATCCTCCACACACCCTAATCTTGTAGACACGTCTTTCTCCATAATTTCCTCTTGTAGTACGGTATTTTCATCAAACTGTTCATCAGAAGATCAAACTTGCTTTAACTCATTGACAGAGTGTTATTTAAATAACATGCAATGCTCTGGTAATATCGAAACTGGCATTTCCAGTTTAATACATACATGTAGATGGCACTTGATTCATACCGCATACATGTAGTTGGCGAGATGTCTAGAATCAGACATTGAGGAATATACCACGCAAGACTACACAGAAAAATTACTTCTGAGCATCCATACATGTACATGTACTGTATGCCCTCAAGGATGAAAACTGAAGACTGGACTGCAAGTTGAGTTTACGATTAGAGACGCAGCAGAGAGTTACTTGACAGTCACTCAATTTGTGCAGCAATTTGGCAGGAACTTGTTGGAGACTGACACAAATACTGCTGTCTGGTTCCCATCAATCCACACATGATTCCTGTAATGAAAGGATAAGACAGAAAGTGTCAGCCTTTGCTGGCAAAATAGCTGCACACCCACGTGCAGGTAATCTGAGCACATTCCAGTACACATTAAGTAAAGTAGAAGTGGATACAATTACTGACTGTCCACAGCCCGAATCATGTGAATGTGATTATTATATACATGTACTTGTCTCAACTTGTGAAAATCACTTTTGGTCCCAAGTACGTATCTTCTCCAAAAGATAATTTTGACAATAACGCAATAGAATTGCCTCCTTCCAACCATTGTATTGAATATAGGGCTGTTCTGATATACCAAATATTAGAAAATATGCTTTTTGCTGGTTTGAATATTCCTGAAATAAAGAACTACGCACACGTATACACACATGACTGTGATGTTATTTTAACCGTAAATGTGAGGCACTTTATTGTCAGATACCACTTTTTTTTTTAGGGTAACTTTTTTGTCAATGACACTGTTCCAATCGTTTTAGAAGTTTTAAGTCCTTGACAGCTGTAACATACTAAATGCAAAACAATCCAGTGGCCCATTGCATCGATGCAGCATACACATTTAAGCTGGCGCACTTTGCATGTTGAACGGTGCAGCACGCTGTTACAGCTAGTAATTGTAAAACTTGATAAGTAAGTTTTGAATATTTGAATATTCGGTCAAATGCAGTTTCAAAAAATCAAATCCTACTTTAATCAGAAATGGACACCCTAATTATTATTATTATTTATTTCTGGTAATGAAACCAATGATTTCCTCAAAAGCAATTACAGTTTTAGAGGTACATGTAAGAGGAAAACCCTCTAGAAGAATATTTTGGGTAAAATCCACGGAATCAGGCAGGGACTGAACAACCTATCCTTATGTGGTCAGGGTAGGAATCGAACCCGGGTCACAGCAAAGTGAAGTGAACAGGAGGAAAGAACTGCTGCACCAACCTGACTCCCCCATGCCAACCTGACTCCCCAGGTGCATGCAGTGGAGACAAACTTATGATAAATGAAAAGATGTTTTTGCAATTTGTTTTAATCATTTAAAAAAAATATTTTTGTCTAAGTCTGGAGACACACAAGGACTGCTACATATAGAAACAATTCTTGCACCACAGGACACAACGTAAGAATGCGTGTGCCAAGTGTTGACTTTTGTGCCATGTGTTAGCACATGACTCACCATACCTGCTTGGAGAGATCACTTTACTAATTGCCTGCGTGCAATCTAATCTGTCTTATCAACAGGAACATTCCAATTTTCATATTTCATACGTGACACTTAAAATGTGACTCTCATGGACGTTGGTGTGGTTTTTGCTCGACCTTAAAAGCATCCAGCGATCAAATTCATTTAGCCAGAGGGGTGCCATGCCATTAACATGATCATGATGAATACAGTACTACGTGTACTTGTTTTCACACAGATAAAGTATAAACTAGCTGCACGTTGCCTGGCTTACATGGCTTAGAGCCAAATATGCATGTTAACATTATGGGCTGTAATATTTCACCCCATTCCTAATACTTCGTCATCATCTATTTTCATATTTTCTCATTAAAAAAAAATAGGGGAAATATCAATGTTTTAGTCAATTTATCATGTTTGTGAAAGTTACACATGTACAGTGGGTGTGGGTATATACAGGTGTCACATTATTGATTTAAGGATTCATACGTTTGTTTCCATTTTATTAATTTTAATGATTACAACATTTTTCAGATTTGTAATCACAAATCTCACTACAGAGTTGCAGGGACCATAATAGATGCAGAAGACATAAACATTGTCAAAGTCCCTTTCGCTCAGTCCAAATTTGCTCAATAACAGAAAATCTTACACCAAACAAGACCCTTACCAGAGTACAATGCATATGAATTAAATTATCTCGATCTTTTCATTGGAATTGATCCTCTTTTGAAAGAATTTTCTAATGCAACCTCCATATTCTTATCATTTAAAAATTATACTGTTTCACATACATGTACATAACTGTACCGGTACATAGTATACATCTTACACTGAGCAAGAAAGTACTTTGAACTTTTTCGGTTCAAAGGTAGAGTATATCATTTGTCATTGTGCTGCGCTTTTTTTTGAAGCAACAAAAGTGCTCAAAATCTAAAGAAGGGTGCAGGGTACCTGATGAAAGTTTAGCTCAGTGAGCACTGTATATTCCAAGAAAACAATATTCTAGGATCCATTCAATTCAAAAGTTGCCAAGTCATGTTTTGAATTGCACCTGAAATCAGCATCCGGAACACGTTCTCATTCAGCCAATTGCAGCTACGCGATGTCACACACTGAACCAAGGAATTATAGCAACCGAGCATACATGTACGTCTGCGTCGTACCAACGCTTGCGCACAAATGCTATTGACGGCTTCGCTGAATTAAAAACAAACTATTAGACGGAAATTTCCCAAAAATGCGACGCATCTTTGGAAATGACCTTTCACAGGGAGTTTAGTGCCATTACTATCTTTAAACCAAGTATGCTTTTCAACAATAATTTTGTCAGTTACTTTTTGGAAAGCTGCAAATGATATACTCTACCTTTAATGTCGCACAATGTCAATGTCTGTTCCAGTACATCAACCCAATTAGCGTTGTGCTATCAATATTGACTTGTTAAAAGATGACAACATCACAATCCTACATAACATCATGTGTGAGGAGATGCCGATATCAATAACTAACATGACATCACTGTGCAGCTCCTCAACCTCCCTGCAATGCATGGAATCTCAGTCAGGCATTCCAGTGTGGCCATTCAGTTTTTAATGATGTTATTTTTGTCTTTTACTGACAATGCATAGCTGCAAATGTATGCATTATTTTAAAAAAGCACTTTTCATTGCTGGGTCAACTATGGGCTCCGTGCACAAGTACCCCCTCAACGGCCAGAAAAGGAGAGTTGGGGATGATCTAGACTGGTTCCCGATCCATCCACTGCGTATTTCAAATGATATCCAAAGTTATTGGGGTCGGAGATTAGTCTGGGAGACCATTGCAAGTTACGTTCGAACGTATTTGCGCGCCATTGACGCCTGACGCTCACGCGCGAAGACGCTGTGGCTTGGCTTTGTGCACTTTCAGGAATAAAAAAGTGATGAATACTTTGCGCGCGAACTACAGTGCGCACTCGCGGTGTCCAGTCCAAGGGGCGCTCAGAAGTGGTAAAAGCGCACCCTCTTTTGTTGGCTCACAGCTCACGGAGCCCATAGGAAGAAAGAGGGACTTTCGAGAGAAAGCACCCATTTTGCTCACAAAAAGGCAATTTACCACAAAAATTTTTGGTACAAAATTTTGGTCCTGAAAAATTGAGCTGCTAGTGCTAATCATCATTCCAATCATGGAAAGAATGTTGCAACCTGACGCCACTTCAATGGTTGTGCATATACAGTCTATGGAGAGTCAAGACAATTTTCAACTGGAATGTTTCTCAGTCCCAGATTAATGTCTAGTTATAATCATTTTTGCAATGATTGACCTAGCTTCAATGAGATGATATATGAAGAAAAAAATACCGTCAGGTTGCAACATTCGTTCCCAAATCACACCTATTTCTTTTCAAAACTTTATTTACACGGATTGCTATGTGTAATTGTGTAGGCCTATCTATTGTTCGAACTTAGCATCCATGGGAAGATTCTGATATCTCCAGATCTTACAGTGAATCAAATACATTTTGTGCAGCGCTAGCCCCATTCTGTGGCCAAGTTACTGGACTCTCTCCATAAAACCTAGCCTTAGAATGGGGCTAGAGTGCGGCGCCAGTCTTTTGGCAGTCTGGCTCAAAATTTGATGCTTCCATTGATTTTTTTTATCTTGAGGGTTATTTTTCGAGTGACGGGGTATTTTGCAATTACTCCGTTTTGGGACAGTCAGCCACAAATAGCAGTGACAAAATAAACCGTGTTTGGTCATCGTTCCCTTTTACCACACCATTCACTGCGCAACTACAGCCACATTAAAAAAAAAATAGCCACCGTCACAGAACCGGTTCAACATGTTCAAGAAACTTCACTGCGTGATTATAAATATATGGTCAAGGGGGGGGGGGAATGAATATTTCAGTGATCCATCCCATCAATATCGGAAAAAAATGTGACATTCGGACACCATTGGTTTTTTATCAGATAAGAACAGTTAAGCCTATCAAGTATCATACTAGTCCAAGTAAAGTTAGTAGGAATTGGTCGGGCCTACTAATCGCCCGACCATGCAGACCATGTTCAAATGTTAAAACATGTAGACTAAAAAAAAGGCGATTCGTAGAGTGATGATACCGGTAGTTACTCGGACTATAGTACACGAACAAAAAAGTGGCGTCTGGATTATACTAGTGGATACTACATTCTTTCCTCAATATCACCCATTCAAACACACTCGTCAACTCACCATCATGACCATGGCTATTGCTAGCCTTGAATTGAACGCCGACGAAAGTGACGTTCGTCATGTTTGTGTTTGTACAGGGGTTTCGACCGTTTCGACTTCCTCCAGTCTCCACCATGAACATGATCATGATGATGAACAGACTTCATTAACTTCCTTCCCTCTCGTCACACTGTCACTGCCGATTAAACGCTCGAGCTCCACATTTAAGAGCATGCAAGAGAAGGTTCATTGCACAAGATACATGTACGTACCAAGTTTGACACGTCAATTATTTGCTTTCCAACACTTGTTTACATAAGTCAAAAGTTCCAACATAATCGCCGGCAAAATACGGCACATTACATCACTCATTAAATAAAAATACCGTACCTGTTTACATTTTGGGTTAACGATTGAGGGCGCTATTCATATCTGCACTGAGAGTAGTATGACCATAGACCATTGATCTCCATATACACAGACTGGATAGGACATCGCGTACGAACGTGCGTACGAACGTGCGTCCGCGCGCGCGTTTTTTGAAAAGGGTAAAGAACACAATTTCGCATTCGAGTTGTGTACACTTTCGAACGGAGGATTAAAAAATGAAGTTGGGTTTTCTTCGGTTTCTTTGTCATTTTTGAAAAAATAAAAGAAACAGAGATCTAAATTGATCAAAATCGATGAGGAGTATAGTCAAGGTGTGCGCAGCATTAGATTGCTGGAGTCGGGAAGTAAGGAGCGTTGAAGAATAGGACAATTATTCGCAAGTAAGTTGTTTTTTAACGAGGCCTATAGTATACAACATGGCACGGAGGAATATGAACATGGGAATGACAAAGCAAATTATAATATCGTTAATGTTGTCGCTCTGAGTTTGAGGGGAAGGAGGCCTGTGTCTAGCGAGATATTCTGTTCAAATTCCATGCGATCTAGGCCTGTCATGCTGGTCGCCATCCATGTGGTTTTTTTTAAGACATATCCTACGTGCATGACTGACCCGGCAATGGCAATGAACAAAAGTTGACTTGTTTAAAATAGTTTATTCGAATAACTTTTATAACTTTTATATGCAAAATCTGATTGAATTATGTCTGCCTTGGCTTTAGCTCTACCGAGTGGAGCGCTGGAACTTCGGCACCCTCCGTACAAGCTTGTACGGAGGGTACCGAAGTTCCAGCGCTCCACTCAGTAGAGCTACCTTGGCTTAACGCCTACCGAAATGTTTCTGTTATTTTTCTTTATAAAGAGAAACCGAGGAGATGGTATATGCTAACTTACTGCACAACTGGCCGATTGACCTTCATATCAAACAAAGAACTTCAGCAAAGCCACAGCAAAAACGCTGCAGGACCGAGCCGGACGAAAATGGAGAACTTCACGGAGGGATGGAATCGACTGTATCATCCACTGAATGGAACATGCGATGTGATAGGCATCTGAGCGTTTGACTTTTAAAATCAATTCTTACGATGTGGAACTGTTAACATTGATTGATTTTGTTTTTGGAAAGAAGCTGTGGAGTTCAACGCAAGTATTTTTATGAGCTCCCAAGATGACTGTCACATTATTGACAGTTTGTATGATGAGGAAAGCAATGAGTATATTTACGGTTTGAAATTATGTTGTGTACGCCGTTATATAAGATTACTAGCTATACTATAGCCATAAACACCGTCATATTCGCTCACAAAAACGATTCCCACTACACTTACAAGTAATTATATTTATTTTCAGAAGTAGAGCTAAACATTTAATTGTAAACAAGACCGTGCATAGCTTGAATTATTCTTTGACAAAATTAGTATAGTACTAATTTTCTCGTGTGAGTGTTCAGTTAAAAAAATGTGATGTCATTTCAGCATAAATTATTACTAATACAATAATTCGTACTTAAGTAAGTTTCCACAGGGAGAAATGGCTTTAAGGGAAATAAATAAGTTATCAGGAGAATCCCTGTACAAGGTCAAGAACATCATAAAGTGTATCGAAACCTTTTAGATTGTAATTGGTTTATGTCCAGGTTTTTAATAAATATATCAACCATTTGAATGAATCTCCATACAATTTCTCGTGTGAGTGTTCGGTTAAAAAAATATATGATGTCATTTCAGCATATTATTAATACAACTATTCATTTCGTTGATGGAGTAATTCAGTGTGCTCTAATGACCAATGTGCCAAAAATGAAATGGCAATTTACTTACAATCATTTTTGGGAGGAGAAGGGATTTAAAAAAAATAAGGGAAAAGGAAATGGGGGGGGGGGGTTCTTGAATTTCGAAAATACATAATAAGAAAGTGTATATCAAGAAAGTGTGGAAAAGCTGTTCATCGTTCAGTTATTTTTTTTAAAGATTGTTTTGGAGGAGCGCTTGAACTCCCTCCTGTAAGAAAAATTTCACTCAACGATCCATTTTCCAAAGTAAACAAAGTGAAAGCACAATGCGCGTTTACCCGTCTGACAGTAAACGCGCCGCCATTGTTCGGCCGCGCATTCGTGCACAAACACGGCGCGATGTCCTATCCAGTCTGTGTATATGGAGATCAATGCCATAGACATACAGAACCTATGAGTATGACCGTGAGGTTGCAGACCAGTAAATAAACTTCCATAGACCCCAATGGTAAATGCTCCCACTTCAGAAATTCGGGGAAAATACTCACAACTCTCCAAGGTGTTCGAGACACACATCAAATTAAAGCTTATTTATTCATCTTTCATTTTCTTTTTCAAAGTAAAACTTCATTTACAGAGGGACACAATGAAAATTTGGACAAAGCAGTTTGTGGTGTCTAATCTTTTCTGTTTATTTTATTTAGTACCTCAATAAAAGCAAAAGCACCTGTTACAATGTTAAGTACTGAACTAGTACTGTTGTCAATTCAATACAAGAAAGAAAAATTATATATAGTGATACTATTTTATATCATTTTTATAAATTTATTACAATAAAACATGAAAATTCAGATTCATCCTGAAATGTATCCCCAACATACAGCCTAAGAGGCAACTTCACAGAGATATTTTGCAATGCTTGTTGTAACACATTGACTTGTTGATTAATTTGGGAGAATTAATTATATTTTGTTAATCATATCTTGGTCTCTTTTTTGCCTTTGCTTCAAAAGTCATGATTCCTGTTTGCATTACTTATTTCTTTTTTACTTTTTGTGTATGACTGCAGTTCTGCGCTATCAGCTTCGGGCAGGAACAATCTGTGATAATATTGCTGAACAATCTGTGTTAATATTGCTAAGTATTGCAGTTCTGCGCTATCAGCTTCGGGCGGGAAATAATAAACAAGCAAGACTTGTTAACTCTATTAGGGCATGCATTGACTGTATAACATTGTATTACATTGTATTACATTGTATTACATTGTATTTATTCACTGACGAATTAATAAAACTTTCTGACAGATTTACTAAGACTATTGAATTGTTATAAATGCTATCTATCTCACTCTCAAAGTCCCAACTTATGTTCTACATTAAAAAATAAATCCACCACCAATCCATAATTACTCTGATAGACGTCATTCAACTCTGGGTGTCTTAAGTGACAAACGTGGTTCCAATTTCCAAATTTTGCTAGATCTCTCTCTTCAAATCTTATGCTACGGTAAAGCTTTTAAAATAAAAGCAGAAGTTTTATCGTCCCTGCATGATAAACTACAACTGCAAATCATCACTGACACCACCAACTAGTAACACCCTGTGTACGTGCTCTACATTACCCCCAAGGACCGACACACAAAGGGAGAACAACAGATCCTTTCAGTCCTCAGGAGTTGGGTCTTTTGTTGGAAACGGTCCTCTGTAGTAGGTTCGTGTGCTTAGTCTATAGGAGAGTGTCATATTACAAGGACAAAGGGAAACACAAAGCATTGTCCTTGAGAGTATAGTAAAACAAGAGTGTGTGCACTGTTATGTATCAGGGGTCAATTTCCTGGAGCTACTGAGCACAGATATAAATTATAATTTGCTTAGCAAAAAATTATTACCAGCCAAAATGTCATAAGTCCACATGGCTATTCACTGGTTCTCAGCTAATTTTTGCCGAGCTCATAAGTCTGCTTGACAGTATTTCCACAAAATTGGGCTCAGTTTCCAAGAGGGTAACGGCTCTTGGCATAAGTGATGATATTTGCAATTCATCAGCACCATCTTGTAAATACAGCGTTTACACTGCAGCCATGTTTGAGGTGTGTGCTTTTGTTCAACAGGGATACGCATGGGCAGACCTCTTGTGCATTCATTGCTAATGGATTAACACAACAAAACACACCTCCAAGATGGCTGCCGAGTGCAATCAATCTATAGGCGTAGCGCTGGTACAGCGTGTGTGGTTGAGGTGCTCATTCAGCCTTCCCTACAGACACGAAAGGTAGAATGCCAAGTTGCTGCAAAGAAATGTCACATTGAATTTGTAAGTATACTTCAATTTTTCTGCACATTTCCAAAAAAAGAAGAAATCCAGAAAAAATTTGACACCATGAAAAAGAAGAGTAAGTGTAGTATGCATATTTTCGTGATGAACCCACGCAATCTTGAACAGCTGCTTAACACACACATTTACTGAGCATAGAAAATGTTTACTTATCAATCGTAGGTTAGCAGCAAAAATGTGAATAGATTTCAGCTGAACTGTACTCATCACACACATTTTCTGAGCTCTATTTTCAACTGAGCAGTTGAAAGAAACTAGACCAAGACAATAATACCTGAGCCAGATATTTCATTCACATGTCTGCGTACATGTTAGGTGGGGCACCATTCACAGTTGTACATTTCTTGCATACCAATGTCAAGCCGTGTATCCAACACTCGTATTGATACTCATTCTTGATTTTTATTATACTACCTCATATATTTAAGTACGCAGGGACTCAAAACTTTGAAATGTTGATGAATAATTCTTACCCATACAGTGGCCTTGCGTTTCAGGAACCTGTTTCGTAAATAGCAGCTGTGAAACAAAAAGTATAGAATTCAAAATTTGAAAAAGTGCTTTTGAGTACCCAAGAATTATTTTGTTTTGTTGTGATGGATTTAAACATGCAACATTCTGAATTCATGTAAATGAAGTAAGCTAACAACCTTTTGAAATACACGTGTTCAGGGAGCACATTCTCGCGTTGATCATTATGCGTGGCTAACCCCCTCCCTACCCTACCCCCCCCCCCCATCCCCCCCCCCCCCCACCCCCATTGTAAGTTGTTATTTTTATTTCTATTTGTATTATTATTTTTTTTCTTTTTTTTTTTCTTTTTTTTTCATGGGGAGGTGTTCAACCCCCAAACCCCACCCCCACCCCCTGTCGCTATGCCACTGAGTCTTTCAACCTCCTAGTTCAAGCTTTTCTTTTTCTACTTTCTTCTAAAGAATTAGCGGCATAAGGGATTCAAGGCTTGGTGGTGAAATGAGTTATCTTGATTCCACATACCTAAACATGATGTGTCCGTGGGTACCTAGCCCAGCCAAGACATGCCACCACCCATGGAGCTGCAAGACGGCACTGGCTGGAGCAGGAATGGACTCTCGAGATTGCCTGGACAATAAGTCAAAAATTGATCACCAAATCAAGATAAAACAGAAAGTTGATTTCACTAAACTCTCGCAACGTACAATCAGCAGTTGAACTAACAAGAGCAACCATGTTATGATCAGTCATATGTTTGCATTGGGTTCAGTGAGCCATTTCACTAAACTCACCCTAAGTTGGACGCATCTAAAGTGTATTCTAAGAAAAAATCAACAACAGTTTCATGAAATTACTCTACAAACAACAGAGAGTCATTGGATAATTAACAATGGTGGTTGGGTTTTCTTTCTAAAGCGTTCTAAATCACAAAATATGGGAGATGGTAATCATGAGTTGACAGCACTGTTATTTAGCTTTTAACTGCAATCTTGAACATACATTGTACGAAACTCCCTTTATGTACCTCTTAGACTAATTACATATGATCTCATGACATTGGTCTTCTTTTAATCATCTAAACCTTAGTCTGAAAGACAATGCTTGTGCAATGAAGACCCAAATAGCTTCTGTGATGAAGTTATCAGCATCATCTACCAACTGATAACTTCACTGTGGGAAGATTACAGGGAAGTTGTTCACATTCTGCAAAAGAAATACCCAAATACAATGGGCATATTTCGGATACACTTCCTGCAACTCACTCCAAATATTTATTGAGATGACTCCAACTTCGAACACAGAATTAATTGCCTAAATTAACCTCAATTAAAACAATGCACTTTTGGGTTTTATTTAGTCTTTGGCAGGTGTAATATTGAGCCAGTACACACGCTCATCATTTCTAACGAACTAAGTTTCAAATGATAAAGCTGAAGCAATGGCAACCAAATCAAAATAAAATACAAGGTTCTAGATTTTGGGAAAAAATTAAGAATTATAAAAAAATGGCATACCTAAGTTGTGCGCAGAAAACATTGTCTATATTCCACAAGAAGAACCCAGTGGCATATATCACCAGCGAATACACAAACAGGAAACCTGAATACTCCTGCTTGCTGCAGACAGAAACAGAGAGAAAGTATGATCAAAATATTACCAAGTGAGCAGTTTATGATGAGTTATTGTATAAGTTTGATTTGTTGTGCGGCATAGGGTAATCTCTTCATTTGCATTGACACCATGCGTTACAGCCATCTATGAGGTGTGTGCTTCTGTTCCACAGGGATATTGTTGATGTACCCTAACGTGGCGCGGCCCCCAACATGGCGAACTTTGATTTTTCGCCTCTAGTGCCTTGTTAGAGCAAAATTGTTACCTCAAATTTCACAAAAAGTGAAATTTCATCAAGCTCTAAACCTACCCGCTTCAAAGTTCTAGGGAAATTCTATTTTGGCGTAATTTTCCGATTTTTTTTCAAAGTGCACAATTAAATGAACCCTTTTAAAATTTGCCCAAAAATAAGAAAAGGAATTTGTTGACAAACTTGTAGTTGTGTATGTGAGTGGAGATAATAATGGTTTATCAGAATTTATCAACTTTAAAGAAATTCGTAGACGTTAATGTGGGATTTTCCAAGATTTGTTCAAGTGCACCACGTTAGGGAACACTCGGCCGAAATTGTGCCCAATTTCCGGACGACACCGTTGATGAATTTCAGACTTAATTTCTTGACACTAAAATTGTTCACAATGGTTCAACAGAAAGAATTATTACGGTAATAGTACCAGTATTAAACTTAATGAATTTGAAGTTTTTCTACGGAGAGGTTTGGCAACACTGCATGAGGAAATTCGGGGGGAAACGTCCAAGTGCGCCACATTAGGGAACACCCCTATATGGGTCTTTCCACACTACAATACAATATTGGAAACATCAATAACTATTCCTTATGTTTGCAAACTGTGACCTTTTATAGTTAGCCCAGACATGGTTAACAAAAAGTGCCACTTAAGGTTGCCAAAGAAAGAGCCACCATATAGATTTGAAAAGCTCAGTTGATAAAGCACCGAGCTACGGCATTCCACAGGTTAGAGGTGTGAATACCGCTTCACAGTCCATTTTTAAGACTGAAGGCTGACCTAGTTTTCTTTCCCTTTGTGGATTATGAGCTGAATGAATTGACTTACTTGACAACAATACAATATACGCCCCGGAACACAAGCGCCAAGACCAGAAGTGCATAGGCTGTCTGTAAAAAAGATCAGGGATTAAAGTAGTCTTTAATCTTTGTCATTATGATGACGATGTAACCATCATTCATATTAAACTAAGTTTTACAAATTCAGGTTCAATGTGTGCTTCTGTGATCAGTCGTGGGGCAATTCCATTGTTATGGACATTACATTCAGAGCCATTACATTCTGACCAATTTGAAACAACAAAATAAACTACTTGTAGTAAAAGCAAATTTTGTATATTTGGCACAGCTCTAGCTTAGGCCTTAACAATAAGCCTTTTCGGAGTTCCAACTGCGTATTCATAACCTGTGACAACGCGCATTATTTGTCTCAAATGGCCTTTGACATCATTGCGCCACTGACTTTACAAAAAGGCTGTTTGTGCATTGTGGGTACTGTCAAAGGGCATTTGAGACAAACAATGTGCGTTGTTACAGGTTACGAATGCGCGCAGTTGGAACTCCGAAAAGGCTTATTAACACAACATGATTAATGTAATGTTAGCTGATGTAATTATGAGATATAAGCACTGTAAATGACCGTTACAGACGTAATGCATAAAGACATAGGTTTTGACTTTCAGTATGCAATGAAAACACGAACACCAAAAGCTACTTCAATGTTATGGAAACATTATGGGTTTATCAAAACCCATAATGTTACATCAAAACTTACATCAAAACTTACATCAAAACTTTATGGATGTAGTATCAACTCTGTAGGATGTTATCAACCTTACCCATGGAACAATTTTTAAAAAACATACTGAATCATGTCATTCTAAGTTCTGTGTGATATTTTTATATAATATGAACCTTTCTCTCTGCCTGATAAAAAAAACCTCAAAATAACACTTTCATTTTGCATGTGAAAACGTGTGGAAATTGTGCATGTCAAAATGTCTACCTCAAATCTATAATTTTTGTCCCAAAACTAGTTTTTGGGGGGACCAAAAAACATTACATTTTACCACATTGTATCTCACTGGAACACTTCTCAAATAAAAGCCTCTTTTTGACCCCTTTCATTTGCAGCCACGCCCACTTTTGCAAAGAATTGCCCCTTGGCAGAAGTTATTTATTTTCCCTTTTATCTGCATTTTATCAAACATCTGGACAGATATTAACCCTAACCGCCCTGAATCCTTCAAAATCCTCTTTGCCAGAGTGGAGGAATTTGAAGGATTGAGGTTGCTTGGCAAAAGTGCGTTACTGATTTCATAGGATGCACTTTGTCAAGGTCTTGGGCCCGACCTTGTGTTGCTTTTTGCTCAGCCATGCATAAATATAAGCCTGGATTATGCTTGAAATCCTCCGTACTGCTCCAGGATGTCAATGGCCAAGCCTCAACATAATGACAGTCACTGCCACAGGATTTTGCAGGATTCAGGCAGTGGTCACCCCTCCATGGACCATATTCAAGAAATAATGGAGGATTGAGGCTATATGCTATTTTTCCATGAGGCCAACTGGAGGATTTTGGAGGATTGAGGCTACCACCTAGCAAAAATGCCTAGGGAGTTAGGGTTAAACAATGAGAAAACAAATCAAACCAGTTACCTGATGGAAGATAGGCTGTTTGGTGAGAATATAAATAGCAGTGACTGACGTTGCATACACAAGGAGTAATAGTGCAAGGGGATAGTTATGACTCTTGGGCTGGGCATTGCTTTCATAGCTGAACAGAAAATACAAAAATTGTTGACAAAAACATTGAAGGACTCTATGCAAATTATACACAATGTCAAAAAACAAACAGAACTGTTGGGAAATAATGTGGATTTTAAATATTAACACCACCAACAGTGCATAAAATCCAAACAATGCACATAAAGCAATCTATATTTGTACACAGACCAATCCCGGTACGCCATCAATTCTATAACGGAGGCCCCCTTCAATGGCGACAGCATTGTCCAAACTATTTTTCAGACAATGAGTCACGGGCCGTTGCTTTCTACAATAGCGTGCACAATGGTTTCTCCATTGAGAGGGGCCTCATGAGTGTACAGTGATGTGCCCAGATTCGTCCACTGTGTACAAAATGTACTCATAAGACACCAAAAAGACAATCAGATTCCCCCCCCCCCCCCCCCCCCCCCGATGTATCTTATCCTTGCCTCTATCTGGCACTCCCCTAAACTCACAATTGTTCATACTTACAAAGCATAAACCAGCACACATGTCCCCCATATCATTGGCAGTTCATCTAAGAGCTATGGAAACACACACGAAAAGAATGTATGACCAAAAAGACACAAGAAAATCTTTCAAATGAGGTCAAGGACTGATACATTGTGTACAAAACATATTAAATATATAGTCCATCATTTGTAATTTGTGCATTTTGTTCATTTGAAGCAACATAAGTGTTCAAAATCTAATGAAGGATACTGAACAACTAACCTGATGAAGTTTCAGCTCAGCTTCAGCTGTATATTCCGAGAAAAACAGCATTCTATGATCTCAATTTCAAATCAAAAGTTGCTGAATGTTTTGAATTGTTTTGAATTGCAGCTACACGCGATGTCGTGCACTGATCCGACGAATTATAGCAACCGCACGCGCCTGTGCGTCGTGCCAATGCTTTGTGCGCGCTGCGCCGAATAACAAAATGAACTACTAATTTAAATTTTTCTACGGTGCGTCTTAAGACGCACCGTTGGAAAGGCCTTCTTTCGTTGATTACTTCAAAATGATAGCTTGCCAGAAAGATCAATTTCACAGGGAGTTTAGTCCACTTACTATCTTTCAACAAAGTATGTTTTTCAACACTAATACGCCAGTTACTTTTTCGGATGGCTGCAAATGATGGACTATAGCTTTAATAAACGTATCATGTTACACTGTCCATCACCTTACATTATTATTCACGCTCGTAGAACACAGAAAATGTAGGGCATCTGTACTGTGGTCCCTTATGCATTATGACACTTAATGTTTTGTACTTCATTATTCTGTGTTCCACTCCACTCGCATAACAAATTTATCTTAACGCACAGTAAAGATGGAATGCACACGCTGTGGTCACTCTTCAGTGGTTATCCTATTACACTTGTATAGAGCAGGGAGAGTGCGCATATCTTAATATAGCATGATACGCTGAGTGCAATATGGACTGTGACTGGATCAACCAATCAGGATTGAGGATCCAACTTTGCTTGAAGAACAAACCAACATATGTTTGAATAATGTCCCCATCATCAACGATTAACCCTAACCGCCCTGAATCCTCCAAAATCCTCTTTGCAAATTGGAGGAATTTGCAGGATTGAGGTTACATGGCAAAAGTGCGTTGCTGATTTCGGAGTATGCACTGTGTCAAGGTCTTGGGCCGGACCTTGTGTTGTTTATGCTCAGCCGTGCATAAATTTAGTCCTTGATTATACTTGACATCCTCCACACTGCTCCAGGATGTCACTGCCTTTGCCTCAACCTATTGACAGTCATAGCCGGAGGATTTTGCAGGTTTCAGGCAGTGGTCACCCCTCCATGGACCATATTCAAGAAATAACGGAGGAATTTGCAGGATTGAGGCTATATGCTATTTTTCCATGAGGCCAATTGGAGGATTTTGCAGGATTGAGGCTACATCCTAGCAAAAAGGCCTAGGGAGTTAGGGTTAATTAATGCTAAACACACTTGTATCGACTGGTTCCTGTCACTTACCTGCATTTCATACAGCAGGGTCATATGGAAGCACCAGGAACCCAGACCAACAGCTGAAAACAATAATAATAATAATAATCGTAGACTTCGTAGTGCTTATATAGCACTATCCATTGTATCAACAATCTCAAAGCGCTTTACAATTATTACCCCGTAATAATTATTACCCATCAGGCCATGAGACCATGCGGCAACCGGTCTTCAACCCTCACGGACACCCATTTATACTCCTGGGTGGAGAGAGGCAATTGTAGTTAAGTGTCTTACCCATGGGCACAAACACCACGTTCCTGGCAGGATTCGCACCATCGTGGAGTCACGCACTGTAACCAAGGGACCATGGCGTTCTACACAGAAACTTACAGATTTTTTTTTCATCTGAAGTAACTTTCACAAATCTGATGCCAAAATTGGATGTGCAGCTTGTGAAGCACTAGTATGCATGTTGGTTGTGACTTATTCCAAACTAATTTTTAGTTTCTCTGAAAGAGAATTTGCTTACCGATATTTCTTACGTTAGGCACCGACTTTTAAACGTTTTGCGCACAGTGTGCAACTAATTACACATTTAATACAAGGAATGATAAAACAAGCTGGCTTTCTTCATCTAATTTCAAATTAGTCTCATTTCTGTATTTGAACACCACAGCAAAAATCCACAATGTCGAACTTAATTCTCTCGACTAGAAGGGAGAGCTCAAGTAACAATGATTCGAGCTAAGAAAAAAAAACACCCCAAAAACCCAAAACAAAACACAACCAACTTACAGAGGAAGGCAAGACAAGCCCAGTAGAATCGTCGCTCCACATTGCAGAATGAGAGGTAGATCATGGACATAATTGGTGGAACAATCATGGCTACATTACTCACTGTGTTCCCTGCAGAGACAGAAACAAATTCTTTTACATGAATTTTAGCATGATTTTGTCACTTGTATTTCAATTAGAAGACAAATGTGGGCTAGAAAGTCTTTACAGTCTACAAATGAACAGCAACTCTAGAGAAGAAAACACAGGAATTTCACTTTCTGTCCTTATTGTGGGTATGTGCCTCATCAGTTGTCAACTGGATGGTTCTAAGATTTTACTTCACTTTAAAAGTGAGAGCAACACAATTCTGTCCTTGACCCAAAAAACCAACATTGCCCAACAAAAACATCAGATTTCACCCTCAAAATGGCCTACAAATTACTAGATACGCCACCTGAGGTACAAATAGACATCGATAATTAAGATGGTTGTACTGAAGTTTACTTACGATCCAGATGAAAAGTGAAATTTCCTGTTCAATTCCGAGAGCTCCCCTTGCGATCATGAACACGTTAAATTTCCGACTCGTGTTAATGTTTGAACGATGCAATGTGTTCTTCATGCCCAGCGTACATTCGATGGTCCCCGTATCCCGAGTGCGATTCCGTTACCGAGCGCGCGTGATGCATCGATTATAATGAGTAACTGGATCACGTTTGTAAACACAAGTACATTTCGAACGATTATAGGGAGTCGGGAACTAGCTTGAACTGGTAAGCCCATAAAATCTGCCCTAGTTCCCAACTCCCTATTATCGTTCGAAATGCACTTGTGTTTACAAACGTGATTCAGTCTACTTATTATCATAATAGATGCATCGCGGCGCTCGGTAACAGAATCGCACTCGGGATAGGGGGACCATCGAATGAACGCTGGGCATGATGACCACATCGCAATTTAAACACGAGTCGGAAATTTAACGTGTTCACGATGGCGAGTGGAGCTCTCGGAATTGAACGGGAAATTTCACTTTTCATCCGGATCGTAAGTAAACTTCAGTACAACCATCTTAATCATCGATGTCTACTTGTGCCTCAGGTAGCGTATCTAGTAATTTGTAGACCATTTTAAGGGGGAAATCTGATGTTTTTGTTCGGCAATGTTGGGTTTTTGGTAGTACGAGTAACTAGGACTCTACGAATCGCCTTTTTTAACATTTGGACATGGTCGGGCGATAGTAGAGTCCTAGGTACATAGCCTAATTCGGGCGATTCACAATGCAGTGCGCCACCAAGAGTTTGCCACGGAGAGTTAATTTTTCCCAGTGCATTGTGGGAGATGGTAGACATATTCGCAGCACGGGACATTTGAAATTGTTCGTTTTTCTCCGGTGGCGCACTGCATTGTGAATCGCCCAAATTGCGTTACTTATAAATTGTTTTGACCATTTTCATTCGTCCCCTAATCAAAATCTTCAGATTTCACCCCCAAAACAGTCTTCAAACTGTCTTATGCGACCCTGAAGGCTTCAGTGGGAATTGGAAATACAAATGGTGGTGGTTAGGTTTACATACCTTTTGGAAGTTCTAAAAGAGAAATTTCACCTTCAATTCAGGAAACATCCTTCACACATGCCTTGTTTGAGGCTGCCATTTTGAATTCAGGAAAAGTAGACTGGTGCATGGCTGGCTACACTGTTTCCTGGCAAGCATCAGACAGACCAATCACAGGGCACTTTGATTTGTCACCTGACCAATCACAGGGCACTTTGATTGGTCACCAATCCAGGTGACCAATCAAAGTGCCCTGTGATTGGTCTGTCTGATGCTTTTCCTGAATTCAAAATGGCAGCCTCAAACAAGGCGTTTGTGACAAGGATGTTTCCTGAATTGAAGGTGAAATTTCTTTTTTCTTCCAAAAGGTATGTAAACCTAACCACCACCACTTGTATTTCCAAATCCTACTGAAGCCTACAGAGTTGCAAAAGGCAGTTTGAAGACTGTTTTGGGGGTGAAATCTGAAGATTTTGATTGGGGGTACGAGTGAAAATGGTAAAATAAAGTTATTAGTAACACAATAAGGCTATGTACCTAGGACTCTACTATCGCCCGACCATGTCCAAATGTTAAAAAAGGTGATTCGTAGAGTCCTAGTTACTCGGACTAGGTTTTTGGGTCAAGGACAAAATTGTGTTGCTCGGCATATACGGATTAGCTTGGACCCTACTACGCCAGACCATGTCCGAATGTTAAAAAGGCAATAAGTTGGGTCCAAGTTACTCGGACTACAAAATGATAGACCTTCAAACTGGTGAAAAAAAATTTCGAAAAAAAAAGTTTGGTTGCAGTTGAATCAATTTGTATTTAATCCAGTGATCAGAACTGTCAATGATCCGGAAATGTCACACTGAATATAGGCCTAGATTAGGCCTAATCATCCAAAATACAATCGTCATGATTTGAAAATATTCCTATTTTCTAGCACTCTCCTAGTCCTAGTAGCCTAACTTGGACCCAACTTATCGCCTTTTTAACATTCACTATGTCCAAATGTTAAAAAGGCAATAAGTTGGGTCCAAGTTACTCGAACTAGCACTCTCCGGTGTCAGGTCAACTCGCCCCCTGGCCGACTCGCCCCTTACCAACTTGCCCCATACGGAAATGTCACACTGAATATAGGCCTAGATTAGGCCTAATCATCCAAAATACAATAGTAATGATTTGAAAATATTCCTATTTTCTAGCACTCTCCTAGTCCGAGTAGCCTAACTTGGACCCAACTTATCGCCTTTTTAACATTCACTATGTCCAAATGTTAAAAAGGCGATAAGTTGGGTCCAAGTTACTCGGACTAGCACTCTCCGGTGTCAGGTCAACTCGCCCCCTGGCCGACTCGCCCCTTACCGACTCGCCCCCAAGCCGACTCGCCCCCTTGCCAACTCGCCTCCTAGCCGACTCGCCCCCTGACCGACTCGCCCCCTGACCGACTCGCCCCTGGAAAATGATGCACCGTACGGGGACATCGTGAAAAAAAAAAAAAATTTTAATTAAAGACAGTAGAGGGGAACACATTGCCCGGTCGCAACGTGAAACTCAATGGGAGCCAAATTATTCGAACGCCATTTTGAAGGATTTCTGGTACAAATCCAAGCATCATTTTTTCGGAGTGCCCGTGGGGCCTGTGCGCCACGCCGCATAGCGGCTGGTCTAGCTATTTTGCAGTCCATTCACGGTGACTGCCGGCGTCAATGACCCGGCGTTCACCGTTTGTCAATGACATTACTTGTATATTTATCTCGACTTTATGTTTATTTTCAGCACAAACCATCTTTCACCTGTCGTTGTTTCGGTTAAGATTTAAAAGTGTTTTAGCCTGAAGGGAATACAGAATATGTTTTTGCTCTAATTTTCAGAAATGATTGATTTGAGGGTTAGAATGAATTTTATAGCAAATATTGTTAAACTGAATTGTTTGACGTTTTGTGTTTGTAGATGCTGGAAAACCAAGAAAACGTTTGTGTACTTTGGTTCCCTTAACTTAAGATGAAACGGAGCAATTTAGACGTCTGTGAATTGTAAGGTCAAGCTGGCATGTATACCAGTTCATATAGGCCCCTATGTGTGCAATTGATTGAAAAACATTAAATATGTTTTTAAGGTTTTTTCCCAACTGTCAGCTGACCAGCGTTGGAAATTTTTCTTGAAAATGACAGCACACCACATGCCATGATTTTACAGGATACTTTGGACTGTCATTAACTAAGAGCCCAGCAATAATGGTAACAATAAAGCATGCGCAATATCACCAATGAGTCCGTAGGCCTAGGCCTACTTCATAAAACCTCAATTCATGCTACATCGGCAGTCAACGTGAACGCTACGCACACAGGCCCCACGGGCCCTATGCCACGGGCACTCCGCGAAAATGATCAAGCGGTGCTATATCGGTAAAGCTAAGCTAAGGTGTTTCCAACCCAAATTCTTCATAAAGGATCAATAGTTTTTTGCATTTGTACCGGAAAACCTTCAAAATGGTGTTTGAATAATTTGGCTCCATTAAGTTTCACCATGGTTTCACGTTGCGACCGAGCAATGTGTTCCTCTCCACTGTCTTTATTTTAATTTCACGATGTCCCCGTACGGTGCATCATTTTCCAGGGGGCGAGTCGGTCAGAGGGCGAGTCGGTCAGGGGGCGAGTCGGCTAGGAGGGGAGCTTGTAAGGGGCGAGTCGGTCAGGGGGCCAGTCGGTCAGGGGGAGAGTTGGTCAGGGGGCGAGTCGGTAAGGGGCGAGTCGGTAAGAGGCGAGTCGGTCAGGGGTACTCCTAGAACTATGAGGCTCCACGTAGTGGAGCTACGTGGAGCCTCATACTAGTTCTAGGAGTAGGCCAGGGGGTAGCCCCATAAATGTGGCCTATTTACTGGACTGCCTCCGTAAACATAGGCCACACATCCACATGTACAAAAAACGTGTCGACTTTGCCAAATTTTGATTTTCACATTTAGGCTTACTTTTTACGTTTTTTTTGCTTTAGAAGCATTCTCACCCTCTATATAGGCTAATCAGAAAGTGCTGCCTTTTTCAGATGTCCATTTTTCGTGAAATTTCCAGATACATTTGCACACGTTTGCGTATCAAAATTTCAACATGAAATTTCACAAAAATTAAACATCTGAAAAAGGCAGCACTTTCTGATTAGCCTATATAGAGGGTAAGAATGCTTCTAAAGCAAAAAAAAATCTACAAAGTAAGCCTAAATGTGCAAATCAAAATTTGGCAAAGTCGACACGTTTTTTGTACATGTGGATGTGTGGCCTATGTTTACGGGGGCAGTCCAGTAAATGGGCCACATTTATGGGGCTAGCCAGGGGGTAGCTGGAGTTACCCAGCCCTGAGTTTTATCATTGGGTTGTCTATTAGGCAACCCAATGATAAAACTCAGGGCTGGGTAACTCCAGCTAGCCAGGGGGCGAGTTGACCAGCAATCCACTCTCCATACAAATGATACATGCCACAGACTTTGTATTCCGTTTTAGCCTAGCTGTAGTTTCCTTTCAAATGTTCAACAAAAAAGTACATCATTTTCCAAAAAGTTAAGAATGTTATTTACAAAATTCGGCAATGTACGGCGTCACAACGTAGTTCTCTTCGCACCAATCCAGGGTTGAAGTTGGCTTTCCCCACACACCATCCAGGTCCGTGAGCGGCGCCATCTTGATATCATCGGGCGCGGCGTGCGCGGGGCCACATGGTAACCGACCGGCATGGTGACCGTTTTAGCCGATTTTCGGCTACAAAACTGTGACAGATTTTGTTGTTGTTAAAAAACAAGATGACAGAAAATTTGAAAGAATGGATTTTTTCGGGGGGCAGATTTCTGGTAGAATTCTGAAAAAAATGGTTATTTGACACAAAAACACAGCAAATTTGAACAAAAGGTACATTTGTTTATAAAACTTTCGATTTTTTCAAACAAACCCGTGCATAATGGGACAGGTTAGCTGGTGATTCACTAGGAACGGGACTTCCTTGTGACGCAACCGCTTTTTGCCTGAAATTAAAAAAATTCATAACATCTTTAAGTCAGTGAAGATTGTTTATAATGTAATTTGAACCTTAATTTAAGGCAATATACTAAAACATCTGCATGTGATTTTAAGTGTTTAAAGTGTATTTCGAGTAATTCTAGGGAATTTGGCAGATTTTTGATCAATCTGACAGATTTTTCAAGTGCATGTAGCAGAATTTGGCCATGACGGTAGGGTCACCCTGCCGACCAAGTAGATACCTTTTTATGGACACAATGGTGTGGGTCGCGGAATTCCAACGTTGTGGCCACCCCCCCCCCCCCCCCCTCCCACCACCACCACCCCCTCATCCATTTACTTTCCTCATATTTTAGTTATTGGCTCTCCCTTTATTTTCACTAAAAAAGTTCTTTTATTTTCATTGATTTTCAGTTCTTTATCATCATCCCTATATAGCTTTACCAAGTAGGCTTATTTCAGCATTTAAACAGGATCGACTCACTTGATAACAAATTATGTTGTCAAAGTATTCAGCACGTGGAGCCAATACAAATCAACAATGACAATGAAAATGATCAGATAAGATATTATTTTATTGCATTTCATATCACATTGACCATTCACAAATTACATTTTTTTGAAAACTGATAATAAAATTTCCGTTCGTAGTGCGGAGCTCAACCTTAAATGTAGTTCAACCACTCAAGAAAATGTATTCATTCTAAAAGATAAAATATATCCCAAAAACCCCAACACGTAAAATACAAACAATATCCACAGCAAATACAGTTCTGGTAATGATTTATCAACCTGCAATTTTATGAGCTATAAATGAACTTGCGACATCCTAAGCCAATGTCTAAATTAACATAAACACCTGTCAAAAAAAACACTACAAATGTAACATACAGCCTACATGTATACTGCATTTTTGAAGCTTTTCTGTGATCAACCTGTGAAGTTTTGGGTATCATATAAGAAAGGTCACCTCAAGGTTTTCCAAGGTGAAAAGGTAACTCCAATATGCATTTGAATGGATTGTCATGGAAGTAACAGCAAATACAAGTGCACGTTCATAGAAAGATTATTCACATTTGAAGATTGAATGAAAAATCCTATAGTTTGCTAGTTTGCATTGACTATACTTCCAAATTCATTTGTCAGTATTTTTCAAAAGAAAGATGAACTTATCCAGGAACTGTAAACAAAAAGAAAGAAAGGTGGGGTTGAATAAAGAATTGACTGGAGCAGGATTTGAACCTGCAACCTACAGACCACAGAACCGGTGCTCTACCAACTTATCAATAGGTATAGGGCTCAAACAGGATGAATTAGTTGGTGGAAATTTAGTACAGTGTTCCAGGGTTGTCAGGTTTGAATCCTGTTCAACTCAATTTCTTTGTTCAAACTTGTTGCAGATGCTGTCTCATGTCAGGTCAACTTTTTCACCTTGGCCTGCATAAAGTTTGATTGGCCAAAAAAACCATATACAGGCATGCATCTGGGAAGCCATACAAAGAGGAAATTCAAATCTTTCCAAGACTTTGTACAGTGTTTTTTTCTATTTTTAATAGCAAACATGGGAAGTTAAAGGGAGAAGAAATCAGCTGATCCGAGGAAAAGTTGCATGCCTGCATAAAACACATGCACCAGAACCTTATTTCTAGAAATAACAGCTTCCAACCAAAATTAAACAAGCAATTCTTTTTAGCACCAGCATTCCAAATTTGTTATTTCAGACAAATGTTTCCCTAAAAATATCCCTTTAGAATTATAGAAATGAAAAAAAAATTACACTATATACTGAGCTTGTATGATATGGCACGTAATTATTTTTTACATGGCTGTTACAATCTATGCAATATGGCAACAGTACAATTTATAGTAATAAAAACTGAACAAACTTTAACCAGGGGTGTGAAATCTCAGCTCTAAAGCTGATATCAGTTTTTTTTTCTGTTTTGGATTTCACTTTTTTTCCCCTCACTTGGATGTGTACAAAAGTAAAGGAGATTTCCAAAGCTCAGCGTTTTTACACCGTTTTCATCTGTTTTCATCTATTTCAGCTGTTTTTATCAGTGGTCACTCACACCCCTGTTTTACATCACTTTGATTTATACAAATATGATAATTTTCCAATAAAAACTTATAATAATCATACCCTACAATTAAAATGCAAGTTCACTTAAAAGAAGCTAAGACATGATTTGAAAATCATTTAAACTATTTGCACACTTTCATGATTTCTGAGCCTAATCATTAATTCAATTTTTTTTTAAATGATATTTCACTCTTAAAATTACAATCAAATAATTCAATTTCATTACCAACGAATACACTTCGTTTTCCACTTCTTTTTTTTTTACTTTTTTGTTGTTTTGGGGGAATATTGTTATGGAGTTTTGTAAATGGATGGCCCTTTGAATAATCGCATTGCTTCTATCAAAGTTTATATTCATATTTGAGCAAGTTGCAAGCAATGACAATATGAACAGTCAGCATTTTCATCTGAGTAATGCTTGCTTAATATAGATGTCCAATGGAAAGTGAAATATTAAGAGAGCAAAATCATGCTCTCTCTACCGTCACGCTGTGCAGGTGCAAAAAAATAAGAAGTGAAAGTATGTCTTCAAACCTATCTGATTCTAAGACTATACTAATGAATACTTAGAACTGTTGAGGTTACACCCTCATCATAAATCAGTCAGCTTATTTACATACCCGGTAATATACTCATAGTCCATACATGTGCTCAAATATAATATAAATTCATAATCGATTTGCAGTGTTGTACATGTAGTTGAGTCCATATCACGAAAGTCCCAGGTCAAGGAACAAGCCGTTGAAAGCAACTTCTAAAAAGGTTATTGTTATTGTTCGTCCCGTTACTTGTAACAATTAAGACTTTTTGTGGACTTGTGATGGCATCTACATCTCTACAAAATGATATCCATCACCAACCGCATGATATTCTCCTAAAATTGCATAAAAACTCATTAACTTGTACAAAATAATAAAAGTATTTTGCTTTAATACAAAGGCACTTATGATAGAAACAAGCCAAATTATTTCTGTTCCTCTATAAAATGCAAGCACATCATTAAAGCCAGAAGAGAAAAAAATTATGAATCTGTTCTTTGTATATAAAATCCAAGCACCCGAACAAACGTTGCCGCATATAACAATGGAGATTTTTGCTTTGCTAATTTGCTGCTAGGTATATTCATCAATTATAAAAAAAATATACATTCTTAATGTAAGGTACAAAACCTATAAAAACATACAAGTGGGCAGCAGATCAAATTATCATAAAAACAAAGTACATACAAAAACATGCATTCTGTCAACAGGAATCTAGCATTTCTGTGAAAAAGTGTATCAATATGAGGATTAATAACAAAATAAATAATCTCTCATTTCACCAGCATGCACATTTCATTATTCCCCTTTTGACAGCTTGGAGTTGCAAAGGAAAAAATCAAGCTCTGAAAATCCACAATCCAAAAATCATGAAAGTCATTCTCACATCACTATAACCATATATTACCACACCTTTTTTTTTACAAGACTGATAATTCCAAGACTAATCATTCCAAGACTAATCATTCCAAGACTAATCATTCCAAGACTAATCATTCCAAGACTAATCATTCCACTGAAGACTAATCATTCCAAGACTAATCATTCAGCCAAAAACTGTGTACCATTATGCATGTCAAATAGTGCACACATTTTTTTGCTGCATTGTTTTGTCATATCAAAATGCTAGTAACAGAGTATTCCCTGAAACTTTGGAATATGTAATTTGGTATTACAAACTGTACTAAATAACCTGAGTAATTAACAGAAGCAGTTTGTGTTTGTCTGGACAAAAATTATACAAACCACGACTTTCATGTGCCATTAAAACCTTACACAGAATACGACTTCGTCTATAAAATACCTTTCTGCTGGCAGCCTCATAATGGTGGATAATTATTTGTATTCCTCTATCTCAAAGTGGGTTGTAAAAATGTAGTAGTGCACATTCACAATTCTGACTCGTATTCTAAAGTTCAGTACATATACATTGTACAGTGAGTGACTGGGTTGTTTAAATTATCATAGTTTAATCAAGGAATAAGGCATAAACCAGTTCAACTAATCTTCATTAATAAGGTAATAAATATGTGCTCGGCCAGTTTTAATCAAGTTAGTTTAAAATCAGCTAGGGGCCTGGGATAATGGCCCGAGCCCTAGCCAGTTTTAAGCGGACTTGTAAGCACGTATTATTCCCTTTCATAATCCTTTTTGTTTAAAAGCCTCAACAGTAAAAAAAATTCACAATTTTCCAACTATTTTGTTCAACAATTTCACCTCCTGTTTTGTTAAACACCCCTCTGGCTATGTCTATGGTGTGTGCCTCGTAAAATGACTTTCAATGACCAAATTCTATGCCTTTTTATCATTCCCTATTTTTTTTTTTGAGCAGAGCTTTTGGGGTTATGCTTGGATGCCTAGGGAACACGCGCTGTAGGCAAACTATTCAACTCATAAACATAAACAGCTACTGGTTTGATCACGGATGAATGCATACATCCGACGGTAGTTTGCATATTCTCAACCAACAAGAATTTGGCACACACAAAAAGGCTTTACCGAAAATATTCCCCTCACTAACATGATGGGTTTTTTGGCCCTACAAAATCACCATTTCTTTCCAAAATGTATAAAAGTACAGTGCACCTAAAAGTTCTTATTTCAGCTGTTGTGTATATGCCTAATTTCACCACCCTCTTCATCATTATTACAAACAGTACGGTTCCACATTTATGGCACATGGACACTTCATATTCATCAGTTGCAACCATACGTTTCCATAGGAGTACACAGTGTTTATACGTCAGTGAAAGGCAAAACCTAAATATTGATTTACATCACCTCGACACTTGTGAATAGTTTAATGGCAGTACCCGCTGCTACACGTACATCAGATTCGAACCAGCCAACCGATTCCCTAAGCTCGGTGGTCGAGTGGTAAGACGTCTGCACTATATAGAAAGCAGGAGGTCTTGGGTTCGAGTCCCACCCAAGTGATATTTGCCAACTTTCTTCCAGGAGGTAACAAACCGAGTATACAGTGTTTACACGTCGGTGAAGGGCAAAACCTAATATTGATTTAGATACGTTTCTTTCTAAGTTCACAACTATACAGCGTCTATGTTATTATACTAGGGAAAATATTATTCGTAGCTATAATCCTGTGCATGCAGTATGAAGCACATGCTTTTTGCAACAAGTACAAAACAGGCCGTGGAAATTCATTCCTTATTACAGGACACCGACTATTTTGTTTTTACCTGAAAACAGCATCTTCTTTCTTAAGTTGGTGTGGACATTTGAAGAGGCAACTAGGGCCAAGACCCGAGTATCCATGAATTTCTAAGACTGGTGACCCTGTGACGATGTTGTAGTGTTGAAGAACACTGTCTTTACTCTATGAGGTAGATTTATTGGATGTGGCCATTTTCTTTGGCGTCCAGCGTAATGAGAGGCAGACATCCCAAAGTCTATAAAAGGACAAAAAAAGACAGTTACTGATAGCAAGTTGTTTTTTTTTGACAGCTCACTACTGCTTTAAATTTCTTCCAACCAAGGAGACCAGCGATTGGATGGAAGTGATTTGAGGCTTTGTATGATAAAAGTTGCAAAAGGCAGTAACTCTTCTCTTTTTTTGTAAATTATCATACACTGTAACGAAAAAGAAAAGAAAATTGAATTGAGGTTTTGTCCTCATCAAAATATATCAACTTAGATTTTACTCAGCATAAAAATGAAGTCAAGAATCTTACCCAGATTTGGGGGTTTCGTTTCAGGAACATCAAACGGGAATGACAGCTGGGGACCAGGAAAAAAGAAAGAAAAACTAACAAAAAGAAATTTTAAGCAAACAAACAGAACAGAAACAATAGTGAAGATAGAACAGCATTAAAAAAAAAACGGTTAATAAAAAGTAGTTAATGAAGTCCCTACCAAAAGGCAAACAGACACTGACTGCCGAGAGCTGAGAGGGTATGCCACCAGGCATGGAACTGTAGAAGCCCATCAAGCGGGCTAGGTAGGAATGCCCGGACGGACCTGTTGGAATTGGAGAAAGGAAACAGTCTATCTCACAGATGCTACTGTGAACTGTGTATAAGTAAAGTAAAAGAACTTTTGTATTACAAGAACATGACACTTTTGGAGAAATTATCGGTACGGATTCAAACATGCATGTTTCTTTAGGTTAGGCCAAAAAAAGTAGTTCTGGTTCTGATTACATGGCATTTGAAAATAGGGCAGGTAAGTAGGGGTTGTTTTTTTTTTGGGGGGGGCAATTTTTTGTGTACGATCATATGGAGGTGTCTGCGTGTAGTCAAGGGTTAAAGGTATAGTAATTGATGGTTTTCAGGGTTTTTTCACTCATTTTCCCCCAAAACAAATTAGGGTGGGGGCTGTCAAAATAGGGTAGGTAGGGTATTAACCGGAAGAAAACTATTATTTTGGGGGGGCTTAGATGTGTACATGCAGCAGTTCTTGACACACAAATTACAATACAAGGTTGAGTTTAATTTGAATTTACTAATCACTGAGAACTGTGCTCAAAGTCAGTGCAATTTGTAATTTTTTATGTTTTCGGGAGAGTATGGCCTACAACCAGGCATGTAGGAACCGGGGGCCGCGGGGGCCACTGCTGAAAACATGATGCCCCCCCCCCCCCCAAATATAAACCACAAACTGCAATTTTCGAGGAATAGAATTGCAGTGTGTAGACTATTCAATCAAACCACAGCGGAAGTGGTAGTTTCATTGCAGGTATTTTGTTTTTTTCCTTACTTTTTTTCGGCATGGCGGCAGGTTGGATTTCTTTAATCTTATGCCACTCGCTTTTTTTTCTGCCAAAATTATTTTATTATGATTTTTCATGAAATCTCACTATAATTTTAACAATAACATAAACATTTTAAACCAACAGGCCAATTTGTCTGGGCTAAAATGTATTTTACGTGGTTCTGGCATTTTTCAAATTGATTCGTTAATCTTCAAGCGGTTTGTTTGATAAACTGAAAATTTCAACTTAAAACAAAACACAAGAAAGCATCCTTGCAACAGTTTATAAACTAAGTCTATACAATTCCTTTTCAAAAATAATATGCACGAAAATAATTATGCAGACTTTAAGTGAAGAACAGAAGAAACTTAAAAGGCTTGTAAAAGCAAGAGTATATTTTAAACCAATGAAAAAAATCCTTGTCATCTTAAAAAATTTTGCTCAAATAACTCAGGGGAAGAGGGGCTAGGAATCACCTCAGATTGCATCACAGAGCATCTAGAATCCAAAATTTCCCGGGGCCCTTCAGCGGGCCCCGAACCCCACGTCGTAAGACATTCGTGATCCGCGCTCGCATTAGTCCTCGGAGCAAATGCCCCAACGCATCGTTGCAACAGTTTACAAAACTAAGTCAATACAATTCCTTTTCAAAAATAAAATGCAAGAAAATATGAAGACGAAAATACACGGTTTTCAACTTTGAAGTACACAGTAACTTAGAATTTGTAAAAGCAAAAGTATATTTTAAAAAATCCTTATAATCTAAAAAACTTTTGCTCAAATAATTCAGGGGAAAGGGGCCATGCGCAGGAATCGCCTCAGATTGCACCATGGAGCATCTAGAATCCAAAATTTTTCGGGGCCCTTAAGCGGGCCCCGGACCCCACGCAGTAAGGGCTTCGCGCTCCGCGCTCGCATTATCTCGGAGCAAAATTGCTCCAAAAGTGTGCCCCCCCCCCCCCCGACTAAAAAAATCCTGGATCCGCCCTGCTATAGGCCTAGATAATTTGTGCGAGTAATTTGTTTTCTTTGAGCCCACCTAAGACAAAATCCTGGATGTGCCGTTGTTTCACAAAATATAATCTGGCCCCCCTGTTAAAATCATCTTCCTACGTGCCTGACAACTACAAGCTTAAGAGGCCTGTTTATGTCCAAATTTTGTAACTTCACAAAGAATATGTTATTGAAGTCATCATCAGATCAACCGCCATGATAAATTTCCCAGTGAATTTGGGTTAATTTTTGTGTGTTTGTTTTCAAGTTTTTTTAAAATTGAAATGTTAATTATAACCATTGGACTTACTGTACCTTAAATCAGCGCAGAATCCTTGGTCCACCAGCCACAGCAAAAATCCAAGCAAATACAGCACAATTGAAAGAACAAGCAGTTTCCCTGAGTATGATTGTTTACTGTAAAGAAATAGGAATTATTCATAAATTAACTTAAACCTGGGTAATATACATTTGCAAACATCAAAAAAAAAATATTATGAAATTACATTATTATGAAAACCCTACTTGACTGTAAGTGAATAATAGTCTCAAGCAACCTGTGAAATCATGGCAGCTGCACGGTGTGCTGTCATTTTCAAGAAAAGTGAGCTGACCATCATAAAATAGACCTTCTAAACCCTAAATCCAACCATTTCTGAAATTTACAACAAAAGCAAATGTTGTATATTACCTAAGCAACAATATATTGCTCTATGGCAATCAAGTCATGCAATCGTAAGTCAAGTCAGGGGAAAAAGTAATTGGAGATGATAATGACAAACCAAAGCCTTTGTCACAGTTTATTTGACAGATTGTCACTTGACTTGACCTGACTAGGGAGTCAGGTTGGTGTAGCAGTACTTTCCTCGCCTTCCACCGCTGCGACCCGGGTTCGAATCCCGCCTGGGTCAATATGTGGATTGGGTTTTCAGTCCCTACCTGATTCCGTGGGTTTTCCCCAGAATATCTTCTGGGCTTTTCCTCCCACCTCTAAAAACTGTAATTTCTTCTCATAGTCTTCTCTCTATGTTGGTTTGATGAGTAGTTGCGATTAATCCTGATTTCAAGATTCAGGAACCATGTTTGAAAGAACATGCCCATAAAAAAAACGAAAAAAAAAACGAAACCCAAATGTTGGGACCATTGTTTTACTGAAGTTCTGCATATAGCACTTTCCAAATCTAGGATATAAAAGCCCAATTCATAACCTTTTTTTAGTACAAAAATCATTCAAATCACTTATGTACTTTTCAAGTTACAGAATTTTAAACACATCCACCGTTTTAAGGTTCTGTCCACGGATCACAAAAAAGTTCAGTGTTCTTTCAGCAAAACGAAAAGAAATCACATAGGGACGTTTGTGAATTGTTTTCGTTTTGCTGAAAGAACACACACCTTTTTGCGATCCGTGGACAGAATTTTGAAACGGTGGTTGTGTTTAAAATTCTGTAACTTGAAAAGTACATGAGTGATTTGAATGACTCTTTGTACTAAAAGAAAGCTTATGAATTGGGCTTTTATATCCTAGATTTTGAAAGTGCTACATGCAGAACTTCAATAAAACAACAGTCCCGACATTTGGGTTTTTTTTACTCACCCTGCATGGTGACATTGTTAATGCATGTGTACCACATGCCATTTTAGTGCCATGGCAATACATAATTAAAGTTGAATTTTGAATTTCGAGGAGTTTCCCTTACTTCTTGCATTTATTTAGTGATTGTCTTGAGGAAAAGTCCATAGAATAAAACCGAGACCATGTGATCTTAAGGATAGGTCAGGTGCAACATACTTTAAGCGGTAGCAGTAACTGCCCCTGAGCGATATGGTGATCACTTGCAATGCAAAGGCAACCTGTAAAACAATCAAGAGATAATATATGCAATCTTAAATGGACAGACCAAAACGCAAATTAAATGGGTTGGAAAAACCAGCAAAATCTTTTTTCCCCCTCTCTTTTCTTTCTTTTATTGGTCAAGCCTGAGTATGTCAAGTACGTTTTCTTGTTACAATTAAATTGTATATTAGAAAGTAATTTCTCCATTTTCTTAAAAACTTGCGGACGAATTGAGAGCTTACTCCAATTCAGTGATTAATGGAATTCAAATAGCTTAGAGTGATTTTGAACCAAACTTAAAAACCAGTACTGTAATATAATTGTTTTTAAAACAAGCTACATTCTCAAGACTTTAGCACTGATTAAAATTCCCCCGGCCCCCGGGCAAGTGATAATTATGATCCATACCTGGTGGAAGATTGGTTGTTGTGTTATGATATAAATACAACTGACTGACACTGCGTACAAGAGTAGAAACACTACTAACGGCAAATTGTGGTAGTTGGGCTTGTAGTCGTCACTATAGCTGTGGATATAAGACCAGGAACACCAGTGGGTAAATATCAGGGTTCGACTTTAGCGGTAGCCTGCTAGCCAAATTTTAAGCAGCAGCGGGCTAGTCAAACTATATCCCTTAAGCCCAGCTAACCCACTAGGCAGCTGGCAAGTCAAAAATTATTGGGCTTCGGCAAAGATGAAAGGACAGGAAGAAATATATCATTAAATTCAGAAAGCAAACCTGTATCAATCTTTGTGTCTAATTTTATTTAATGTTTTGGGTTAAATTAATAGATCTGTTTATTAAAATCTCAACAAGATTGTCTCAGAATACACGTTTTACATGTATGCACATTGTTGTTTATGAGACACTCTATAAAAGAAAAACATGCGGGCTAGTGACAAAGGCCCGCAGGCTATAGTCAGGCGCGGATCCAGAGGGGGGGGGGGGGGTAAACCCCCCCCCCCCCAGCTCTGTCCAAAAAAAAATTATTATTATACATATTCCTAAAAAATAAGTCCCCCCCGTGACACCCCCCCCCCCCAAATTATACTGGTATAATGTCCGCCTGTTCAAAATACGGTACACCATTCTGTAATCTAGTGTTAATAATCGTCGAATTTGAACAGCGCCCCCTATTGAAATATGGTACCAGCCCCCCCCCCCCAAATAAAAAAACCTGTGTACATTTTCAGATTTTTTTGCTGATGAACCCCCCCCCCCCCTGCAAAAATTCCTGGATCCGCCCCTGATAGTTAAGAGTATGTTTCAGTAGCCCGGCTGACTAGTGAACATAAAAGGTAAGGACTGTTCCAACCCTGGTATAAATACACTAAAATCATAGCCATGAACTAAGCAAGGGTTTGCATTCACAAATTTAACCGGTTTCTAACATCAAAGAAGAGGTGGCCAGTCCATGCTGGTCTGAAATTTTTTTTTATTACACACAACTCACAGCTTTGACTTTGCCTTTTAGTAAAACTCTCGTGCCACAACTCATGCAAACGAAAGTGTATCACCGGAAAAGGTTTTTCGTTGCAAACTGTTGTCATTTGTGCCACGTGAAAGTGAAATTCAAACACTTGTTTTTACCTTGAACTTCAGAAGTACATTTCCGTCATGCAAAGATACAATGCATAAGGCTTTGTTTTTGTTGCCTCACAGTCATAGTTTTTGCCAACAAGTTGTTAGACGTTACTGAAGAATAGAAATGGCAATATGTTTTGTGCCCTTTCAGGACACATGCAAAGCAACAGGGGTGAGATTGGGAGGAATATGAAATATCCACGAAATAACCGGCAGAGGGTTTGAGGGTCACTGAAGGCCCCAACCAAAGCAAAGTTGGGTTTAGGATGCACGTTTGTATACTGCTTAAAGGCACACCTTAAAATACCAATTTAATTTGTTCTGTATAAACTTTTATAGGTAAAAACACCTTTACGGGAAACCCCTGAAATCAATTAGCTACAAAGAACTGAAATATTGTCCAAAACTCACAACAAATACACCAGAACACAGCCTCCAAAGATCATAGACAATTCATCCATCAGCTGCACGACAGAAGAAAAAAGGACGCTTGTTTCTAATGTTGGTATTAACAGCGCTACAAAAAAAACATTATTCACACAAGTATGACATTTTATACACGTATAAGTAAGTTTTGGTCAAATATACAGGGTTTTTTTTCTTATTTACATAGGAATGGCCAAAGCATACTTTAATTTTCTTTAAAAGAACAAACTTTTCAGTACTTTCACATTTTATTTTGGTGAGACTTTTCTGGCTTCCTATATTGTAACATTTTACATGATTATTTCCATACATCAGATATCCTTTCCTTACCTGTGTTTCATACAGCAGAGTCATATGGAAGGCCAGTGAACCAACACCAACAGCTGTGATGAAAAGGAAACAGAAGCAATAAAGAAGTCTCCAAACACAGAGCATTCTCTGTACGCTCAGAGCACAGCACACTCCCAAGCCCAATGACTCCTTTGTGTTTTTTGGACAAGTTTCAAGAAAGTAGGGGAGACCAAGTCCCATTGGTCCTAAGTTCCATTGGTCCGAAGTCCCTTTGGTCCGAAGTCCCATTGGTCCGACCCCCCATAGGATTAGGGTTAGGGTTATAGGGTTATAGGGTTAGTGTTAGGGTTAGGGTTAGGGTCAGTCAACCTGAACCGGTGGAACTACACAGTATTATGTTTCATCGGACCAATGGGACTTCGGACCAATGGGACTTCGGACCAATGGGACTTCGGACCAATGGTACTTCGGACTATCGAGACGTAACCATTTTGAGGGGGTGGTGTAGACGTAAAGATTGACTAGACCGGCTTTGAATGGGGGTTGTGACAACATAATAGCGCCAACAGATCATCCATTCTAAAAGGTAGACAGGATTTTTCCTGGCTTACCCTGCTTCTGTAAACCGGAATAGGGGGTGGGGTCGGGTGGCTGGACTGGACACCTTCTTCTTATAGGGGATGCTGTTCAAAGTGGATGAGCATGGGCCACGTATAAGACAATAGACACTTTCGTAAGGGAACAAGGGAAGGGGGAAGTTAAAAACACCTGCCGAGTCCTCCATCAAAAAAGGTTCCCAAATGAAATTAGTGTGGTCCCAACCAGAGCATGCCATATAATTATTATTCCTGTTATAAAATTCCAAACAGCTTTGACTGTTTAGCTGCTCCCTAGCCTAACTGGTAACAATGAACTTTGGTTACCGAAAGATCTGTGCAGTACTATCATGTAGAACTCAGTGCACATGAATACAAAAAATACAATGCAATCTGCTTATGAAAACTGAAACTGAGGGGCAGACATGGCACAAGAGCAGTTTCCTGCCAGCTATGGAACTATTATGTACTGTATGGGAGATATGTATTTCTCTTAACATTTGAACAATATCATGTTTTAACATGTTAACAACATTCTTGTAATTTCAGAAGTGTTGAAGGGGGAGTTATGATATCAGCAAAAAAAGTACATTCTCATGAGAAAACTTGATGCTTCTTTTTATATAATCCTCTCTCCACATTCTACATGTCATACATTCAGAACTGTGACCCTAAACATCTTGCCTTGTTTGAACATGAGCTTCATTCACCACCTGGCAATAACCCGAAGATCCAACAGAACTTTATAACTTATGGTTGACTGATCAACTAAAATGGAATCCAAACATGTACACACAATCACCCGAAAAGCCTTAATACCCTGTTGATGTGAACAAATGTTGAACTATAGTGGAGTGTTTAATCCAACACAAATTTAAGTTTGTTCTTGAAAACAATATCCCCATTAATGTTTGCTGGTTTGCTTAAATTTGATTGTGACATGAAAAAAGTAAGACTGCTGCAAACTGCTTACTGACTGGGTGGACCTGAAATATATAAATCTAAAAATTAATGTGGCCTGACGTTGCGAACTTAGCAAGTTCTTCTTCAGAGGCTAAAACAGAAATGACAGAGGTACAAACATTAACAAGGGGTGCACACAAACATGCAGGGATGAAAGAAGAAACACAAAAGGAGGATTAGGTGGGAAAGGTGTGGAAAGATGCAGGGGAGGGTGGATGAGAGAACAAAGAAACAAAGGGAGATGGCAAACCACAAGGGGTCTGGTATGAACAGGGGAGGGACCAGAAAGGGGAAGGATCAAAGGTCACAGGGAGTGGGAACGGACAAAAGAGTGTGGGAGTGAAGGGGGATTATGCGGGGGGGGGGGGAACAGTATGGAGGTGGAAAGGGATGAAAGATGGGGGAAGATGGGTAAACACAAACAATGAAGACCGGGTGGATTATCTGTAACAGAAGACAATGGAGGAAGAAAAAGATTAATCATTTCCAAGTTGGATGTTGAGACCATGTGGTTGAATAGTTCGAAGACGATTCATCCACACTTTCTCTCTGCTGAGGCGAACTGAGTCCTTGCGATGGCCAAGAGATTCAATGCCCTGCAAAATCATATCAGAAATGGAGTGGTTAGGCAGGTTGAAGTGATGACCAACAGGGGTGTCTAGTTTCTTGGTGTTGACCGTTGACCGGTGGGCATAGAAACGCTTCTTGAGCGTATTCTTAGTCTCACCTACATACTGCACTCCACAGACCCTGCAAGAAATGAGATATATGACATTAGGGGTGTTACAAGTGATGTTACCAATGGTTCTGTGGGTAGTGACAGAAGAGTGGCCAGAAAAGGAGTCAGACTCCTGGATATGAATCTGGCAGACAACACATCTGGAACTGCACTTGAAAGTACCATGCTGGGTGGGAGGGGATGCATCTAAGGATGGGACTTCAGCTCGAACAATCAAGTCCCGTAGATTTCGCGGACGCCTGTAAGCCAATGTGGGGCCGTTGGGGATGGCGCGGGCAAGGCGATCTGAAGTATGGAGGATATGATGATTGTCATTAGTGATTTTGCGAAGGGGAGGGAGATTGGGGTGAAACGTGGTAACCAAGGGAATCATGGGTTTGGCCATGGCATCAGGGGCCTTTCCCGTGAGAGCTAGATTTCTGGGGATAGCTTTAGCTCTGGCAATGGCACGATGAACTTGGCGAGAGCTGTGACCCTGGCCACCAAGTTGTTCCTCAGTATCTGTGTATGGCGGGAGAAATCGGAATCATTAGAACAAATTCTTCTGAGTCTGAGTGCCTGGCTAAACGCTATGCCAGTTTTGCAGTGCCTGGGGTGACAGCTGGAGGAGTGGAGGTACTGGTGAGTGTCTGTGGGTTTGGAATACAGGTCAGTGGTTAGTGAGTTGCCTTGCTTGCGGACGGTGACATCCAGAAAGTGGGTTTGGTGAGCCGAGAACTCCGATGTGAATTTGATGGTTCTGTGGAAGGAATTGATGTGGTTAGTGAAGGTCAAGAGACTGTCCTCATCGTTGGTCCAGATGAAAAAAACATCATCAATATATCTCCACCAGATCCAAGGGCGACATGGGGCCGAGGCAAGAATGCGTTCTTCGAGGTCACCCATGAAGAGGCAAGCCATGGATGGGGCCATGCGAGTGCCCATTGCAGTGCCGTGTACCTGTAGATAGTGTTCACCAAGGAAGGAAAAATTGTTCTTCGTTAGTATAAGTCTCATGAGGGTGCCAACATCACTGATGGGAGGAGTAGTGTGTCCTGCCTTGGCCAGAGCCAAGGAGCAAGCACGAACACCCTCCTCATGTGGGATGTTGGTGTACAGAGATGAGACGTCGAAAGTCCCAATGATGGCCGTGCTGGGAATCTGGTCCTTGATTCCTTCAAGCTTGCGTAGGAAGTCTGGGGTGTCGTGAATGTATGACGAAATCTGTGGGACAAGGGGTTTCTGTCGAGATATACAACAGGTACTTGACGATATGCGATCACGTGACCAGTTGTCCAAGAAAGCTCACAAATTTCTTTCTCCCTGTGATTGTAGGACTGCCAGATTTTACCTTCTACCCAAGATTCACAAGGCTGGCAATCCCGGTAGACCCATCATCTCCGGTAATGGCTCACCCACGGAACGCATCTCCCTGTTCATTGACAGTTTTCTCAACAGAAACCCCTTGTCCCACAGATTTCGTCATACATTCACGACACCCCAGACTTCCTACGCAAGCTTGAAGGAATCAAGGACCAGATTCCCAGCACGGCCATCATTGGGACTTTCGACGTCTCATCTCTGTACACCAACATCCCACATGAGGAGGGTGTTCGTGCTTGCTCCTTGGCTCTGGCCAAGGCAGGACACACTACTCCTCCCATCAGTGATGTTGGCACCCTCATGAGACTTATACTAACGAAGAACAATTTTTCCTTCCTTGGTGAACACTATCTACAGGTACACGGCACTGCAATGGGCACTCGCATGGCCCCATCCATGGCTTGCCTCTTCATGGGTGACCTCGAAGAACGCATTCTTGCCTCGGCCCCATGTCGCCCTTGGATCTGGTGGAGATATATTGATGATGTTTTTTTCATCTGGACCAACGATGAGGACAGTCTCTTGACCTTCACTAACCACATCAATTCCTTCCACAGAACCATCAAATTCACATCGGAGTTCTCGGCTCACCAAACCCACTTTCTGGATGTCACCGTCCGCAAGCAAGGCAACTCACTAACCACTGACCTGTATTCCAAACCCACAGACACCCACCAGTACCTCCACTCCTCCAGCTGTCACCCCAGGCACTGCAAAACTGGCATAGCGTTTAGCCAGGCACTCAGACTCAGAAGAATTTGTTCTAATGATTCCGATTTCTCCCGCCATACACAGATACTGAGGAACAACTTGGTGGCCAGGGGTCACAGCTCTCGCCAAGTTCATCGTGCCATTGCCAGAGCTAAAGCTATCCCCAGAAATCTAGCTCTCACGGGAAAGGCCCCTGATGCCATGGCCAAACCCATGATTCCCTTGGTTACCACGTTTCACCCCAATCTCCCTCCCCTTCGCAAAATCACTAATGACAATCATCATATCCTCCATACTTCAGATCGCCTTGCCCGCGCCATCCCCAACGGCCCCACATTGGCTTACAGGCGTCCGCGAAATCTACGGGACTTGATTGTTCGAGCTGAAGTCCCATCCTTAGATGCATCCCCTCCCACCCAGCATGGTACTTTCAAGTGCAGTTCCAGATGTGTTGTCTGCCAGATTCATATCCAGGAGTCTGACTCCTTTTCTGGCCACTCTTCTGTCACTACCCACAGAACCATTGGTAACATCACTTGTAACACCCCTAATGTCATATATCTCATTTCTTGCAGGGTCTGTGGAGTGCAGTATGTAGGTGAGACTAAGAATACGCTCAAGAAGCGTTTCTATGCCCACCGGTCAACGGTCAACACCAAGAAACTAGACACCCCTGTTGGTCATCACTTCAACCTGCCTAACCACTCCATTTCTGATATGATTTTGCAGGGCATTGAATCTCTTGGCCATCGCAAGGACTCAGTTCGCCTCAGCAGAGAGAAAGTGTGGATGAATCGTCTTCGAACTATTCAACCACATGGTCTCAACATCCAACTTGGAAATGATTAATCTTTTTCTTCCTCCATTGTCTTCTGTTACAGATAATCCACCCGGTCTTCATTGTTTGTGTTTACCCATCTTCCCCCATCTTTCATCCCTTTCCACCTCCATACTGTTCCCCCCCCCCCCCGCATAATCCCCCTTCACTCCCACACTCTTTTGTCCGTTCCCACTCCCTGTGACCTTTGATCCTTCCCCTTTCTGGTCCCTCCCCTGTTCATACCAGACCCCTTGTGGTTTGCCATCTCCCTTTGTTTCTTTGTTCTCTCATCCACCCTCCCCTGCATCTTTCCACACCTTTCCCACCTAATCCTCCTTTTGTGTTTCTTCTTTCATCCCTGCATGTTTGTGTGCACCCCCTTGTTAATGTTTGTACCTCTGTCATTTCTGTTTTAGCCTCTGAAGAAGAACTTGCTAAGTTCGCAACGTCAGGCCACATTAATTTTTAGATTTAAATTTGATTGTCTGCAAAGAGATATCAGAAAAGTCCACAAGTACCCCCATCTGTATGTAATGGCTTTCTGTTTGTCTTGCTTTTAGTGTGTTTGTGTATTTTCAGGCTGTTGCATTTTGTGTATGTTTTAGATTATGAAGCATGTTTTGGAACTTTGCTAAACTGTTTACACAAAGACTGCTGTTAATCACTGTTTATACAAGTACACTAGAACCAACAAGAGCAATGTTTTCTTCCAAACTTTTACAGATTCTGCTTTCCTGCATGAATTAACCGAAGAGAAACCAATGAATGAAACACTTCATGTTGGACCATTCACGATAATCCCTGCATGCCAACCAGCCATGACAATTTGGTGAAGGTTAAAAAATAACTCATAAATCTGAAGATGCATTGTCATCCAGTGGCATATCTAGTTTTCGGGAAAGGGGGTGGGTGTTGTTGATATTATAAGGGGGTGACACTAAGCTGGGAAGGTCTAGGGGAATGCCCAGAAAATTCTATGAAATCTACGATGATTTCTCATGCATTCCAAGACAATTCAAGAATAATGGGAACTTCAGCATTCCATTTATCATTTTTGGCCTAATTACTATTTACATTTTCAGCGGCTGAACAGGGGAGTTGAAAACCACCCCCCGGCCCCCAGATCCGCTATACTGTCAACTGGCAAATGTTCTCAGAATATAATGCATAAGGGCTGTAAATGGACAAAGTATTCTTTGACAGTACCCTATGCCTCCCAGATTCTTTAAAATCACAAGGGTGGCTTTGAAGAATTTTGACTGAGACAGGAACAGTCCAGCATTAGTAAATGCGTAGAATGTGGCCATTGGGTTGCTGCACAAAATCAAGGAGTTAGCCTAAGATTAGTTGTTTTCCCATGTCACATTTTTTTTCTATAATAAATTCCTTTATTTATTGGCATTAATGTCATTCATCGATCAACAAGAAGGTCCCTTGCCTTAGAAAATATACATTTTTTGACATACCTAGAAAGCACCAGCACCCAATGTAGAATCGCGTTTCCACCTTCCGCCGCGACAGGGAGAATAGCATCACAATGGGGATGCCCATAATGACAAAGCAACTCAGTGAGTTCCCTGTGGCAAAACAAAACACAGTGAATGACAACATATACATTCTATTGGTTTACATTGCTAAAAAGCCAGGATTGAATTCTGTTTGTTTTTTTAAATGTTTGTAAAACGAACTGCATGTACATGTACCCCAAATCCTCCAAATTCCAGACCATGGATTCTGGACTGTTCAGCGTACTACACGCCCCTTCATGTCCTGAGTTTTTTCTTGTAATTCATGAATGAAAATTATTGCAAATGCAAAACCAAAGTTGTTGCAAGTCTACATGCACACTTGTGACAACATTGATTTTAAGTTGAGCTCTGAGTAAAACTTGCAATTTATTGTGTATTCGTAAATACCTAAGACAGTTTACCCATTCCTATTGGTCGAGAGCCTGTCACGTGACCGGTTTTAAACAGTTGATAAAGACTGTATGCTGGTCTTGAAAACTTTTCCTGTGTCACATGAAATCCGGTGCTTTTTAGTTACCTTTTTATTAGTTGAACGTTCACAAAAATCCTCACTTACTTTTTTGCGCAATACTACCAGTGAATCAGTATTTAGTAAATTCACATTACACCGGCATAGCTGCATTCTGCGCCACATTGCGCAGTATGCACGATGCAAGCGCCAATCTCATTATTAGGAGTTGTTGTCATGATAGCAAGAGGGGTGTTTCGAAAAACCTGAAGTAAATTTTCTGAACAAAATCGTCGGAAATTTATAATTTCTGCATTGTTTTGACTTTTGGACCGAAAAGTTTTGATTGTTTGACCGAAAAGGTATTTATGAATGGGAATAAATACGTAATTGGCCAGTATTAAACACTATGTTTAAGACCCGTTTGAGTCTGGATGCTGATAATTACCCAAGCCAAACAGAGTGTTGAAAACCGGCCAATCACACATTTATTCCCTAATTAAAAGTGCTACTCAGAAAGGGTTTGAAGTCATTTTTGTTATTAACTTCAATCCTTGCAGTATAAGCATGGCTGATCAGTTTCAATTGAAATTGAGCCAGGGGTCTCCATTGTGCAGTAGGAAAATCACATATGCAATTTGTTTTCATTGTCACAATAATAAACAACGATATGCCACCGTAGTGATAGAACAGTGATAGCGCAGTCACCTTATTAGTGATGTTATGAAAAGCACCCCCAAAAAAATACAAAGAATAGAATTTGTTTACTAGGCGGCTTTGGCTATCTCTCCAGTTTTCAAAATGCTAAATTTGACATTGGAATTCCAGGGGCAGAGGAATTAGGAAAATCGCATGGCATTCCATGGACCACGGAGCAATTTTATTGCTCCACGCAAGGACTGACAGAGGAAGAATTGTCCAGACAATCATACATGTAGATTTTGACTTGTAGACAAGTCAAATTTTGTACTGTGAGCAAAGAAATCTGACACCAAACAAAACAGCTAAAAAACAATAGTGTTAGGCTGGTATTTACTGTCATTTTTTTAAGCAGTTCTCTTATCTCACCTCTGAGCTTGTTGGATTTGACCTACTGCGAACACAGGAAAGTTAATGTACTAATAAGCAAGACTATAGCTCTAGAAACAATAGTACATGTACACGAAATGCCTCAAGTTTGTTTAATATAGGCCTAATTCATTATAAGTTAAACTATTCTCAGTGTTTCATTCATTTATAAAAAAAAATTTAAATGGATGATCAGTCATTGCCAATATTGAAACAAAATTTTCAGACTGACAAACATTCAATTTGTTAAGAACTACAAACATTTCACAACTCGGCAGGAGACTTTTTACAGAACCACCGAAATAATTGCGACTGCATGAAAATAATTTTGGATTCTTTTACTTGAAATTTGTTTGTACAGCTATTTTTAACATCAAACTTAAGCCCTTGATCACTCTGATGCCATCCGAGAATTTAGTATGGTACGCTAAGATAATCACGGTTGGTTAACCATGCGTAGCAAGGCCAGTACTTCGAAAAATCGCACTAAAAAAATAACCTAAAGTGGGATCTCACATAATTCAGCAATATAAGGACTTGCCAGGTAGTTTTCTTCACACCAATCCAGCGTTGAAGTTGGCTTCCCCCACGCACCGACAAACTCTGCCGACGCCGGTGCCATGTCTCACTCGCAAAACACCCCGAAAACAACTGTGTCTCCCGCGCGGCACGAGCTGGTTTATGTACATAGTTGCACTACATAGTTGCTCATCAAGTACAGGTACATGTACATGTACATACAGCACGTGCACATGTTAGTAAACAAAATACTGGCGCCCGATTTTCTCAATTAGACTTGTCCTAGTCCATATTTTTACGACGGACCCAGCAACAGTTTAAACGAACGACAACTACATCATGCATAGTAGTAGTCCCCATGGTAAGAGTGTACTACTATGGTGCAAGTTTACTAAACAAGGCAGGGGCGGGGCAATTTAATTCTGTGACTGTTGGGGCGTGGCTTAGCTTGCGCGATACAGATTGAAGAAAGCCATGAGAATAAAAAAAAATTAGATTGGCGTCCGAACAAACTTTGGAAATGGGAAAGGCATATGCTTTTTCAATTTTGTTTTCAGTAAAAATGCATAGTTTTTATTTTCACCATTATTCAAGTTAGGTTTCAGATTATTACTTTTGTTTTACATTTCAAGTTTCAATCAACAAATCACAGTTTTGACATTGTGTTATACATGTATTCATAGAAACTAACTGGAGACATTAATTTAGACGGTTTTAAAACTGTTAATCGTTTTTGAAGTTGCTTGATGAGGTATTTTTTGTGTGAAATAAAGAAAAAATTTAAATAATGAAATTTTAGGCAGTTGCTTCCAGAGGGTAGTCCGAGTATCACCCGTTATCCACAGAGCCAAATCCTGTATAACGTCTGACATCTCCTGACATGCAAATTTATGCAAGCCGTGCGCCAGCCAATCCGATTTGATTTTACTAAATCGTGACGTCATTTTACTCCTAAATCAGGACTAAATGGTTTGATTGGTCAATTCCAATTCAATGTTTCGTAATATATTACAACAGCCAGGCGCAATATCGCGTAACATGACACAGAGCGCGTGACACATTTTTTGGTAGCCATTGTCTATGACGCGCAACAGGTGAATGACCGAAGACCCGATATAGAAAGCGCTCACTGATTGGTCAAAATCCTGGAGGTCAAGAGGTGGGGTCTTGCCTAATTAATCAGCAAATCTGTTCACGCGTAATAGACCATGGCGAATTGCATAGACTACCAGAGGGTGCCAAGAGGAGACAAAAAACTTGCGTAGAACCAAATATTTAGATTTTCCATTTCAGTTGGTTTATTGCTAAAACAAGGCTCCACAACTAATCTGCACTTATCGGTAAGTGCCTGCGTGATGAACAAGTACTACATGATTAGGTCTGACATTCTTTATTATTCAGCAATTTACAATTTGTTCATTGGACACAAGCATGATTGCCTATAAAACAAACAAAATATCCATAAACATGTTTATTGCAGTCAATGAAGTTAGGACATTAAACGTAATATACAACATTTGCAAACATCGAAAAACAAAACTACCAAATTATTGTGAAATCCCTCACTTGACTGTAAGTGAATAATAGTCTCAAGCATCCTGTGAAATAATATCACCTGGTGTGCTGTCATATGCAAGAAAAGTGGAATTTTTGTATCAATTTCTTGTTGATACAAAAGTCAGGTTTTTTCCAACGATGGTTGACTGAAAAACACTTACCTGGGTACTTTTTACAAATACAACCCCCAATTTACCAAATTTAGGTAGTCAACATTTTGTTTGCAATCGTTAACACATCCATGAACGGGTGCAAGCCAACTAGTCTGGTTCCCTGACCTGACAATTCCCTGATGTCTATAATTTGCTCTGTTTTGTCTGAAGTAGGGTCAGAGAACCATTCAAGTTCAGCATTTTATTTCCAGTTTTATTTTTCCAGCATCTATGAACACAAAACTTCAAATAGGTAAATATAACAATGTTTGCTATAAAATACTAACCACCAAATCCATCCAATTTTGAAAATTACAGCAAAAGCAAAACTACATTCTTATAAGAGTACATTCTTATGAAATATATCTCTGGGAACAATGCATAATTTCATTACCCTGTGAAGGTATCAATATGCATCCTCCAGAACACAGCAATTCAAACAGCAATTCTTTTTACTTTCAAAATCAAAACACAAATATATCTCTCCCTTTTGTAAAAAGAAAGGTAATTTCAGTGTGAAGGTGGGAAAGGTAACTTTCATCAAAATGTACATACTTGAAATGAGGAATGTTTTCATTTCCAGTTTATATCAGTCCAATTTTTAAAATAAATAAAATGTAGGCCTTTTAGGCAATTTCTCTATTCCAGCTGCATAAAGTTAATTTTCTCCTTTAAGTTAAAATTCTGCCAAGTGAATTTTTAGTTGAATATGTTAAGTAGTACTCATGACAACAATTGTGACCATGAAAGCTTTTCGGGTTCCATTTGACCGATTTTGGCTTTTATGATTGCAAACTAAAATCACTGTAATTGCCAATCAAAAAGGCACTTGCATAATTATACAAAATTTGCAAATATTTACAAATATCTTACAGACAATTATAATCAAAATTCATGATTTTCATCAATTACACAAACGAAAATATTTCCTGATTTTTTTTTCACGCAAAATGATTTATGAAAATAGAAATATTACACTTCCAAGCTTATATGATTTTTTTTTAAACTACATGCATTTGTTAAATTAAATGAACTACTATGAATACGTGAACACATTTTATCATATTTATGTTTCTGCATCATGATATATAAATTTATGTGACCTTGTCAAATATGCATGCTATTGTGCATTGAATGCGCAAATGTTAAAGAAATAAATGCTTTAAAAGTTTAAAATGTGACTGAATCCACAGGTAGATCGAGTGCAGAGGGGTTGCAACTACCCCCCCCCCCCCCCACCCCCTAACAGGCAAATAGAAAATGTAACCTTGGAATTGGCAATTGGAGGCAAAGGTGGCCTAGCCCTACCCCCCCCCCCCCCCCCCATCCCCCTGCACACGACATTCTTGATTCTTCAATGGATTGCACTGTTTGAGATGCATCAATAGTTGTCCGATTCACTTGATTTCATTATGGTGACAATAATGTTATAAAAAATTTTACACAGGAAAACTGGTCAGTGGGTCATATTCCTGAAATCTTCCACTCTCTTGGAGTGGGGGTAAGGAGCTCATCAGCCATTTTTTTTTATGGCTTCATCAACGATTCCCAACCACCAACAGGTGACCCACCTGACAGGTGACACTTGGTATGACAGTACTGTGATAGAATCAGTGCTGTGGAGCCCAGCCACCATTTCTTTACATTAGACTGGATGCCCCATTTGTGTTTTATGTAAGGAGAATGCAGCACTACCTGTGCCGCAAAAGGTTAGGCAGATTCACGCAGCTGAAAGTCCACGGAATTAAATGTCAAGAAACACATTTGCCCTCCCAGAAACCTGTACATATCCACTCCTTGGATAGGAAAGACATCAATTGTGACAACTTGTCCTGCCTAAGGACACCACTGTGAATCCCTGCCAAGCTAGGTTCATGCCAACATTTTAAAGAATGTGCCGTGGTAAATCAATGGACTCAGGTGCACCCACATTTTTCACTTTCAATTTAGAACATTTCATTCAGACAATCCCTAAAGTATGGAGACAATTCAAGGTATTTTCTGATGGGGACCATGCAAGGCACGTCAATCTGGTACACTATATCTGTAACTATAAATGTATCATATACATGAACATGTACACACATTTTACATCTACATTGTGAAATTTCAAAACTACTAAATATTTCCAAATTAGTTATAGAAATCCCTCTGCAGTCACAGAAAAATCCTGTGCGAAATCTTGTACGGTCTTTGTGAGCCATGGCATTCAAATATATGTCATTATGCCAGAACATTCATAAATGTATGTGTGCTCACCCCTCAGACAGTAGATCATGCCAAGGAGAGCTCTCCCATTGGCTGTTCATTCCCACTGGACCATTACCACTTTTGGAGTAGGGGCGAAGTTTGTCAATGCTAGCTTAGTTGATGTGTCCATTTTCCTTGCCACCAATAGTGACAAGTGGAAACCAACCAACCTATACATGTATACACACACAGAAAGGCTCTGAAACACCACTTGTAAAAATCTCAAGTGAAAGGGGTAAATTTAGAAGAGGGAAAATGACAAATTCTATTAAGGAATTGAACTGGAGGATTGTATGGTGCTTTAGAAGCTGCACAGCCCCGCCCATCTTGCCAATCCCTTCCCCTAAAGAATAAGGCCAGAAGCATTAACCTTCTTCAAGTGAACACCTTTCCTCAAAATAGTTATTTTAACCACAAAATTATACTCAAACAGATCTAAACCTTCCAGAACTTTTTGTTATTTTGCAAGTCTTAGGCCATGTCAGAAAACAGGCATTGTGTCTATGGCTATTCCATGTAGTTCACCAATGGCAAAAACCACTTACATAGCAACAAAATCCCTGAGTTGGATTGCCTTTTGACCTTAAAAAAATTGGTTGACTTTTGTAGCAAACCTATGCTTGTTTGATTTTTTTGAAAACTATTTTGAAATGCTATAATTATGTGATCTATGAAAATACCTTCGCAGGACACTGATTGAAATGAAGGCCTTTTCTAAATTAAGTCAAGAGCAGGTCATATGCCAAACTTACATATAGTATTCAAATTCAAATTTAAAATAAATCTTACCCATTCAGTGGTGTGATGCTTCAAATACCGCAGGCGTGACTGGTAGCTGCAGAAATGGGAACATTATTCATAAAATCATGTAGATAAATTCATGATTGTGACAACTGGTATTTTCAAAGTTGATTTGGGTTTATACACCAACTCTCCCTCAGACAAATGGTTTGGAATGTTCTTCTAAGTACCAACAAACAAATTTGGGGAAGGTTTAAGGATTTTATATGAAAACAAATACAATCAGGTGAGTGATTTCATTAAAAACGATTCTCATCAAGCGAATCTTTCCATTTTTTTTATAGTAATCTGCGGTATTTTCTACAAGAGAAAATTAAAACTGCCTTGCATTGTGCGATGTGAATCAAGGGTTATCGCTCAATAAAAATCTTTGAATTTTAAAATTAGATGCAAAGAATGATGGCATATTTTGTTGGACAAATCCTTTTTCAATATATTTTTGTTAATATTAATTTAGTACTTTTACACAAGGATTTCAGGTCCTGAAGTTTTCAAAAACAAAAATTGCAATAGTTTTTGCTTTGCTCCCCCTCCGTGAATAATAAGTTCACTTCTTAAATCCAGATTGAAAATTACCAACCAACTGATGTTGCCAACAACAAATATCAGTCACCATGCTTTGAATGTTTTCAATAAGTTTAGTACTCCAAGATACAGACACCATAGACTTATCTCATGGTACGCCATCTTGGAAATCAAAGTGAGGCATTTTAAGCACATAAACATGGCATCGCAAATAGTGTGTTCAAAATGCAATGAGGCATGACATACCTAGAATGGGGATCAATTTCGGGGGAATTTGAGCTATCTATCCATTTGAAAGATTCTGTCAATTTACTGTAACTTTATGAGAGTCACTCATTCATCGCACACACCATTTACGCCGCCATGTTTGTTTGCGTTAAATGCTTTGTTTTGATTTCCAAGATGGTATACCACGAGATAGGTCCATGGTTTCTGTATCTTGGAGTACTAAACCTATTGAAAATTCATTAAAAGCATGGTGAGTGATTTTTGCTGTTTACAACATCGGTTGGTTGGTAATTTTCAAGTTGGATTTAAGACCATTTGAGGTACAAATAAATATAAAAATTACCACAAATGTTGCATTTGTTTTACCTGAACATGAACTGGCAGTGGGCACCCAGCCCAGCTAAGACATGCCACCATGCATGGAGTTGCAGCCCGGCGCCCAGCGGGGCAGGGACCACTGAACGGATATGCCTGCAAACGATGGACAAAAAAAAAAAAAAAAGCTCTGGGGTCATTCTGATCCTTTTAATGGATAACTGCATTCTGAAGGAATAAGTGCTTCCCTTGTCCCCCCCCCCCCCCCCCCCTTCCCAACAATCAGACAGATTCTTGGCTGTCATGTGCCAGGTAACCACAAGTGCGGATCCAGAACACAATTTTTTTTGGGGGGGGCCAAAGAGTGGGTCCCCAAAATTTTGGATTCTAGATGCTCTGTGGTGCGATCTGAGGCAATTTCTGACCACTTTAACCAAATTTTTTTTGAGGAAAAGATGGTGGTGTACGCAAAAAAAACAAAATTGGTTTCGTTTTTTTTGGGGGGGGGGGGCCATGGCCCCCGTTCCCCCCCGATCCGCACTTGGGCACCCATGCAAAAGCCACTCATGCAAAAGACACTTCACATCAGATGCTGCACGTAGTGTGCACGTAGTGTGTCCCACACACAGAGCCCTCATAAGTACATGTACTACTGAAGAAGTGCCATGTACGGACCTTATGCGTTAAGGCGGAGTCAAAGGGCAATGGTTTTGTATTGCATGGATTAGCATGAGTAAACCTTTTATGCATTCATTGTTACTAGATTAAAATAACAAAGAACACCCTCTGAGACCCCTGCAACACATAAGATTTATTGTTCATTCATGGATTCCATACCCAAGGTCATCTCTCCTGCAACACTGACACATTCCTCTTTTTGTCGTGTCGCACTTTACTTTTTTCTGCATGCAATCCCCTAGTAAGCATGCTGCCATGCTTCATTGATCCATACTGGATCCCAAGTACTACCTATAGGTTTTGATTATATGACATCAAAGTACCACGTGACCATCCGGTTTCCTGATGATCGGCCACTATTGCAGTAGCCAAGTGTTTGGTAAGCAGCAAAGTTGTGCATTTTAAACTAGACAGTAGGGCTTATTTTCATGCAAAATAACCGTAAATTCTTTATCAAATGGCATAATGGTCACTATAATGTGTTGTGTATGGTTGTCATAATGGTGTCTGAAGGTTCGATAGTCCAAATTCACAAAATTCCCATAAGAGGGGGTTCGTTAGTCCGAAAATGAAATAGGGTTCGTTAATCCAAACATTTGATGCAATAGTCCGAAGGTTCATTAATCCGAAGGTTCATTAGTTCGAAGGTTCATTAGTCCGAAGGTTCATAAGTTCGAATTTAGAATAAGGTCAATTAGTAAGAATTTCTAATTTTGAGTGTTTCATTTTAATTTAATAGTGGCATTTTCAACCCTCTGAATAATAGGCTCTTGTTTTGGTTTGCTGATGTGCGCAAACATATCTGCCCTGGGAGTATGGTTGTTCCTAAACACACATGGGTTCTAAACAGGAGGTGGAACCAGTCTACCCTGCAAAAACTGAATATCCCAATAATCTGAGATCTGCAAAGCAGTTATTCTATATCTAAACATTGGCCAAATTTCACGTTGATATCGCATTGAAAAGTGAAGTAGTCACCTTTTGTATTGCTAAATAAAAATTGCAATTTAATGACAAAATCTATATTTGGGGGTGAAACTCGAAAAATAGCATGGACAGTACATTTTTAAACCATTTGTTTAAAAAAAAAAAATTCTGCTCAAATATTCTGTTGGTTCCACATACCTGAGGTGCGTACAAAGCCCATTGTCAAGCAGCCACAACACACCCCCACAGAAAAACAGAAGCACGGACAGGAAGAACAGTACTGGGGAGCAATCCATCTTTCTGTCCGGGTGAAAACAAATGCAAAACACAGGGGAAAAAGGAAAAATATTGGATTAACTTTCATGCATGCAATATTTTGAACATGCATCAGGACTGTTGAGTGGGTACTTGCCAGTGTTGTAGTTACAGTCCATCGTAGGTCAACCACAAGTCATCCAATATCAAGTAAAGTCACAAGTTATTTGAATGAACTGTCACTAAATCATTTCTTTGTAGACACTTTTGGTACGCAGAAGAATATTGTTACATATCCGTATACGTACAATGTATTACTACGGCTGATAGGTGTTTACAAGTAGTGGTGTGCATTTATGGGTAGTATGGGAACCGGGTACCCTATTGAAGTAAAACATGGGTACCCGGTACTGGGTACCCAGTACCGGGTACCCATAGAAGAAACCCATCCCCAAAATGCAAATCCTGGAAGTAGGCTGAAGGGCTTTATAGGTTTATGGTGTAAACTGCAACTTTCGCGAGTGTCATCTGTTACACAATAAAATGTACATAAAACAGGCATGCAACTGGGAATTTAGAAACAAACAAGGAAACTCCAAATCACACAAGACTTTGTACAGTATTTTTCAATTTGTAATGACATTCATGAGAAGTAAAAAACGCGGAAATCAGCAGATCCGAGGAAAAGTTGCATGCCTGATAAAAGCAGAATTTGTTTTGATTTTCAATGTTGCCTGGTTTTTATTTTGAAAATTCCCACAAATGGCATTCAAAACCTTTCCTTTTCATTGTCTGAGAAGTAACTAAGTAAGTTGTAAAGTTGGTTACGGGTACCCGATCCCATAATCTGGAACCGGTTCCTGACATCAGCGGTCGGGTACTCGGGTACCCGGTTCCGATGCACAAAGCACATGTGAGGTCGTGTTCAAATATACGTATTGCTGCTGAGGAAAACAAGTCACCATTTTATGTCACAACAATGCTCAAATTTCTCTTTACGCCATGAAAAATTCACTCTTAAGAGATTCCAATTGCAATCTGACATGTCTGGTACATCATAAAATCAAAAATGAGAGATTGATACAATTATTAAATACGAAGAAATTTTGAGCGAAAAATACGGAAATTCATACAAACCGATTCCGTGCCATCGGCTTTCACACCTAGTTCCCACATCACTTTCTTGTATCACAGTTAATGCACAAAGTGGTGGTGTCACACGTAAAATTGTTGGGATACATGATACGGGTGCAAATTCACATCTGATGAAACTCTCTACAGGGTGAGTCAAAAAAGGAAACCCAAAAGGCAGGACAAATATTTGAATGAAGTTTTGCATGTAGCACTATCAAAATCTAGGATATGAAAGCCCAGCCATTAAGCTTTCTTTTAGTACAAGAATCATTCAAATCACTCATGTACTTTTCAAGCTATGGGATTTTAAACACAACCACCGTTTTAAAGTTCCGTCTTCTTATTTCTTCTTTCTGTCTTCTTAAGTTCTTTTCTTATTGTTCATTTTAAAGTTCTGTCCACGGATCCAAAAAAAAGGTAAGTGTGAACGAAATCAATTCACATAGGGATGTGTGTGAACTGTTTTCGTTTTGCTGAAGGAACACACAACTTTATTTTTGGATCCGTGGACAGAACTTTAAAACGGTGGTTGTGTTTAAAATCCCATAACTTGAAAAGTACATGAGTGATTTGAATGATTCTTGTACTAAAAGAAAGTTTATTAACAGGGCTTTCATATCCTAGATTTGAAAGTTCTACATGCAGAACTTTATTAAGAAAAAGGTCCTGCCATTTGGGTCTCCTTTTTTTTGACTCGCTCTGTATTGTTCAGCCCCTGCTACTTGTGAAAAGACCTGTGATGGACTGGACTACAATTAACACTGGTACATGTGCATACTGGTTGAAGGTACTAATAAGAGAACAGATTATCACAACAAATGCAATACAGCAGACTTTTTTTTGGCAGTGGATTAACAAACGAGTCAGGCACAAGTAAATCCCAACTTACAATTGACAAATTGCAGAGTTTAAAACAGGGGTGGGCTCAAGTTGAACATTGTAACAAATTCAGACTTACAAGGTTAAACCTAGATCCAGCCTGAATTTCACTCACCCCTGCTCTTGAAAACTGTGGTGTGAAAGCAAGTAATGGGTTTAGGTTTATTTGTTGCGGGTTGAATTAAATTAACTTGGGAGGGAGGATCTGGAATGAGGTAAAGAAACTTTATAATGAAAGTTCAATTATTTGTCTATAAAATGACTTACAGGTAGAAGAAACAGTATGCGCCTCTTCCAAAAGCTGCCGTTACCAGAAACATGAAGGCTATCTGTATAACAAAAACACAGCACAACTGTATTGCCACATCCTGATAAATACAAAGAACTGCACAAAAGGTCGGGTGTTTTCTGCTAACTGCTGAGCTTTAATTTTCTGCCGTTGTTTGAACATTTTTGCTAATCATAATACACTACTATGAAATTGGCCAATAGGCTAATAGATTTGCAATTGCAATACTTTAAATCTTACAGCCCTGATAAAGCTCATACATGCGTAGCACCTGCCACAACCACCTTGCTGAGAAGTCGCCTTCCCTTAATTGTTCATGCACTGCGGAGACCTGAGGTGCCTCTTGCTGTCTTCCTGAACCCACACAACCAACCATCAGAGCCCTTCCGACAGGGAGGAGGCCTGCGTCGCACCTACCTCTCACAGATCATAGACGACCTTAACGACATGCCTCAAACACAATCAGGCTGTTCGTGGTGCCTAGGATTGGGCTGGATGGCTGAGACGAATCTCAAGCATTGGAAAAACCATTAGTCATAACGTCTGGAGTCGAGTATGACTAGTACTCGTCGGTAGCGTCAACTAGTAGTACAGCCCTTGATAATACATAAAACCACAGACAATTCACATTCCTGTCTCTCTGCTGTACATAGCAATATATGCACAGCTACTGATAACCAGAGATGTGCAGACCAACCTCAATAGGACTGGTCCTGAAGAGTTGACTACAGCAGTCAAACTATCATTGACTAGCGTGTGTTTCATGGCGGCCTCAGCCACGCATTGGCAATGGTACCCAGACTGCACGGTCCTCCATTAGTGATCTAATCTCAGCGGTCCCATCTGCCCCAGTGTCCCCACACAGCGTGTTGATAAGGGTAACAGGGGGACGTCCTCTCCTGCAGCGACCGTGTCTTGGCTCCCAGAGCACCAGCTGACTAACTGCTAGCTCCTTGTGTCTCACACAGTGGCCAGTGAGCCTCATTTGTCTGCTGGCAGCTTGTTAGAATTTTTTTGGAGCCAGCTGTAGAGCACAGCGTTGGTAATGTGCTCTTTCCAGCAGTGTTGTAGTCGAGATCTGAAAGCTTGAGACCGAGACCGAGACCTGAGGACCGAGACCAAGACCAAGACGGAGACCTCAGGGTCCAAATTTGAAACCGAGACCGAGACCGAGACCTGATGGGCGAGACCGAGACCAAGACCTTGTGAGTGCTTGGGCAGTTTTTGCAGTCTGAAGAGTAATAGGCAGGGTGGTTTAGGGCGGTTTAAGGGCTAATAGGGCAAGGGTTAATTACCATTGCAGCAATACAAGAAACTAATCAAACAATTCTGGATATATAATGAGACAAACATTTGGACTGGTTCCCCGTCCCATAGGCTTGACAAATTGCCTGGGGCGTGTTTTCGTGACCGTGACCAGAAACATGTTTCGGCTTTGGTCATTGGTTGAGCATTTTCGTGACTTCGGTTGGCTGGAGTGATGTCACTGTTGCGACCAAAACCGAACCAAGGCCAAAGGTCTGTTACGGAGTGCATCTCAAGATGGTGGACAGGTAAATACACGACATTTAACAAAACAGTGTTGGGAAAAATAAGCCTGTAATGCTTATTTTTAATACGTACATCGTAAGTCTGTACATTTTAAGTGGCCTGTAATAAAATGTCTATACAACATACAAGCCATCCCAGTTAAACCCACCGCCATGTTTGTTTACAACTTTTGGACACTGTTTTTGGTGCATCGTTTTTGTGCGCATGTGTAAACATGTTTCTGGTTATCAATTTGACGTCACAAACATGTTCTGGTCACAGTCGAGAAAACATGCCCCTGGTTTGTCATCCATACCCAGAATGAACTGCAATAAATACAATGTATAGTAAAGTTATTTTGCCAAAGTTCCTACCTGATGGAAGATGGGATTGATGACTAGGATGTAGATAGCAGTAACAGCAGAGGAGTATAGGATCAGGAACAACACCAGGGCATAGCTCTGACTGCTGGGCTTGGAATTATTCTCAAAGCTGGCCAATAAAAAGAGACAAACTCCACTTTATGACAAAATAAAATGGCAAACCTAAACAAAGCACAAATTGGTATAACCCAGTTCTCACCATCCCCACCACCACCATCTTTCAAATTCCGTCAGATATCGGAAGCCTTTGCTGGATTTCACATTGCAAAGCCCATGACCTTCGCATAGCCCATTGTTTCACTTCAAATAAAATGTGCGCCATATCTTATTTCATATAGACTACAGATATAACCTCACTGAATGTTACTTCATATAACTCTGGATTTTACTTCAACAGATCGCTGCAACAGCCATCTTTGTTTGACACGGCTCGTGCCGAAGTTCACCTTTACATAGCTTTATTTCTTCTCGATTCGGAATTTATGAAATTTAAACTGGATAAAACAGTTACAGACGTTTTTTTCACTGCTTTGCTTTTTTTGTTTGTTTTGCTCCTTTTATGAAAGTGACTGGTGTACTTACAATAAATACACAAGGACACATGTACCCCATATCATTGGTAATTCATCCAAAAGCTGAAAAGGAAAAAACGGAATTTGGAATATTTCATAAACAATTATCGCCAATGTCTACTTGTTCATAATGACCCTTAACGTAACCTTTTAAGTCACGGCAGACTGAGAATAATAACCAACTTTTGTCCAAGATGAAAATGTTCCATTATGTCATGACGATTGAGGATATAGGACAATTGAGGATATACAACAGCCGATCACACGTACACGTGTTTATGCCCACTTGCAAAAATTTTCCCAAGTCAAAAGACCAAGTGCACACACTGATGATATTTTCGCTAAAATCTTTAAAACAATTAGTCCAATGCAAAACGCGGCTGTTAAGTGTGCATCCACATTGTACAGAGTGTCCTCAGCACAGGAGCTGAAGGATTGTAACATAATCAAGAATACCAAGACTAGACCTAAGGCCAAAAAAAAAAAGTCTCCGGTTTCTGGTATGCGCGCGCGTCGCCGTAGCCATGTGCGTCGGCAAAATGAAAAAAAAAAATTTTCAATGAAAGATGATGTCTCCAAACCGCCAAACTCGCTGGTTTGACTGGAATCCTGCTGCTGCACAATTTTAACGTGTTTTTAGATTGGGTTATGGTCGAGAATAAGCTTTATGTGGCCTCTCTGGACTCCCATATATTTGCACTAAGTTTAGTCGGACACCATTTTGCAGTCATCAGCCGACATTTGAGGCAAAAAAATCAGGTAAAAAAAAAAAAAAGCCGCGTCGCCGCACCACTTTTTGGACAGCTCCATACCAGAAACCGGAGACTTTTTTTTTTTGGCCTAATGGAATAATTTTTCTTTTTAAATCCATTCAAATTACCCTTACCTGTGATTCATAGAGCAGCGACATGTGAAACAACAAAGAACCCAGACCAACAGCTGCAAATAAAAAAACAGAAGATTTATGGATTTTTTTACTTTTTTATTAGGACGTGGTGGGGAATGCTGCTTAAATATCAACAATTTTTTGGTGTTAAAGAACTTGGGAATTTTTTATTTTTTGGGGGGGGGGGTGTTCACGGGGAGGGGAATTTATACAGGAGACCACACAGAATTTTGTGCAATAATTTTATTAAATAATTATAGCTGCTGTATTTATAAAAGTTTGCTCTGAGAATTGGTGAAGTAATGAGGAAATTCTAGCTCAAGAAAGAAATTCTAAAAATTGCTTAAAAGGCAAAAAAAGTTTTGTTGGTTACCCAACAGACCCTACATTGTATTTTTATTTTTACCACCCGGCCCTAAAAATGTATCAGCAAGGTTGAAAACCAAAAAATCATAAAAACGCATTCATACCATCAATTCTGTCTTACCCATTAGGGTTTTCAACAACTTAAAAACATTTTCTCCCTTTTTTGACTTTAGTTGATTTACAATTGATAAATTCAGTACGAAACCTCCATTTTTCCAGACACGATTAGCATGTTTTCTTTTGCGGTCGTGAAAGCGAAATTTGTGGCATGCATGCAGTTGTGGTGGACCAGTTCCCCAAATTTCTGATTCCTTATCCAGTTCGCGCCGCGATTATTTTGACAAGAACGGAATGAGGCGCGGGACTAATTTTCACTCGACTTCAAGCCAGGTGGGTTGAAGCCATCACCCTCGGGCAGCACACTCATATTTCCGGCCTCACTCCCTGTGTGTTTATCTGTTATCTGTTCTGAATACCGCAAAACCTTTGAGTGTATACACGTCATCCGGCACGAACTGGTTAAAAACATGTCCCTGTCTAAATTAAACAACATTTTTATTTCAAACTCACAGATAAAGGCCAAGCATGCCATGTAGTTACGCCACTCCATGTGGACCCATTTAGGTGCAGTCAGCTTGGTGTACACCAAATCCAGGACTGGAATGAATACAAGCACCAAGCTACTCACCGTGTTCCCTGCAAAGTACGGGGGAAAGGAGACAGTCTGGAATATTACCTCAAAACCAGATGGAAATTCACTAGCATGTTTATTACTCCTGTTAGAACTCATCCAACTAGCTGTGGATTGAAAAATTCATTTGAAGGTACAGTCCATCATTTGCAGCTATCCAAAAAGTAACTGGCGTATTATTGTTGAAAAGCATACTTGGTTTAAAGATAGTAAAGGGACTAAACTCCCTGTGAAATTATTCTTTCTGGCAAGCTGTCATTTTGAAGAAATCAATGAAAGAAGGCCTTTCCAACGATGCGTCTAAAGACGCATCGTTGGAAATTTCCGTTAGTAGTTCGTTTTTTTATTCGGCAAAACGCGCGGAAGCATTGACACGGCGCTCACGCGGTTGCTATAATTCGTAGTTGCTATAATCGCGTAGGTGCAATCGGCTCAGTGAGAACGTGTCTCGGACGCTGAATTCAGGCCTTATTCAAAACGTGACTCAGCAACTTTTGATTTGAAATCGAGATCCTAGAATGTTGTTTTCCTCAAAATATACAGCTGAAGCTGAGCTGAAACATCATCAGGTTAGTTGTTCAGCACCCTTCTTTAGATTTTGAGCACTTTTGTTGCTTCAAACAAACATAACACACAAATTACAAATGATGGACACAACCTTAAATTATTCATTAAGTCAATACCAATAGCATAAGACCTGCATCTCCAAATCAACCAGGCTTTCCTAGGCATACAACCCTCCAACCTCAATTTTCCAAAATCAACTGTGGAATTTTTTTTTAGTGGATTATGCAAAGAAAAGACAGGGAGCACCTATGGTCCAAAAGGACTAGGAGAGTGATACGAGATCAAGCTTGTTGATGAAGCTCTTGAAAGACTGTAGTTTGTAGGATGATGGGAAGCACGATTGTGGTAGAGAGTTCCACAATTTGGATGTGCGGACAATAAAGAATGAAAGTGGAATACAGCGCGAGGCCTAGGAATTCAGACTGTGAATGGGTGAGCATTAGTGGCAGAACCCATATAACGAGTATGTGTGTGTGAGAGTTTCATGTAGGCATGGATATTTCAGTTCCTGTGAACAGTGGCCAAAGTAGTAACGGTAAGAGACTGAAAGGGAAGCACCACAGCGTTAGTGAGCCAGGGCAGGCCTGCCAACTCTCACGCATTGAGCGTCAGACTCACGCATTTCAGGTTATTCTCACGCTCTCACGGGATTTCTCACCCTAAAAAAAAAATCAAAACGATGTTTAAATGATGAAGTGGTCAGAAATTGCCTCAGATCGCATCACAGAACGTCTAGAATCCAAATTTTTTCGGCCCTTCGGCGGGCCCCTAACCCCACGCCGTTAGCGCTTTGCGCTCCCATTAGTTCTGTTCAAGCTCAATTGCCAAATTCTCACTCGCAGCTCTTAAGTAGGGGAGAAGGGCGGATACCAGACTTTGCCATAGGTCTGGGGGTAGTACAGGGCCAATGGGGAGAGGGGCAGGTACCAGACTTTATCCCTCCCCCTTTCCCCCACCCTCTGGCCACGCCCCCACCCCCTTATCCCTCCCAATAATCTCCCTCTCCCAATGATCTCCTTCCCAAATATCTCTCTCAATATCTCAGTCTCGAAATAAGGCCAGGCCCTCTATATTTATATTTTTCATTTTTGATCTTGTGTTAAATACGACTCGTACAAGTCTACTCCAACCCTGACTTGCAAAATATGAAGTGACTCAGGGTGACCATAGAGCTAGGACCCAGCTCTATGAGGTGACACACTTTTGCAGTTGGCGTAAACATCTATTGAAATTCAATGGACCGTGATGAATTGCTTTTGTTAGTTGGGGCAGCCAGGATATGACTCATCGCAACGTCAGAAGCAAACAATGGTTGCTATTTTTAGTTCCTATATAAGCCAGATACCCTCACAGCGGATGGCCAGTCGGATTTATAAGGCGGAGTTCAGTGGTATCTAATCATATCCAGACTCGACAGCACTGTACAACTGTATAGCTTCATTTCCGAATATGAGCAGCTAAACTACCAACAGACCAACTTTCAAAGGTAATTATAATACGCTTATAACGTGTATTTTTTATACATCAGGTGTCCAATATGTCAGGGTGATTTGTGTGTAAAAGGCGAAAACCATAGGCGTCTTTACTTGTCAGCGGCCCCGAACACGTTGTAGTTGCGTCTTTTGCAATTTAGCATGCCAGATGCGAGTAAGGATGATTAGGCCCCAAGTTATTATTACTGTATGTTTGTGTGTAAAAAAATTTACTTATTAAGGCCTATTTCTCTTTTTTTTCAGATGAACTGTCCATCTAGTGTTGTAGATGTTACATACGGGCAAGATTTCGTCACATTGGCAAACAGCATGGTCAACACGGTGGGTGAATGGATCGTGGTCAAAATAGGAGATTTGACTCAGCAGTTAAAGAATGCAAAAACCTTTTGATATATGACAAACCAAAAAGCTATTTAAATGAGCTAATTTGAATGACAACGAAAAAGCCACTCGGAGTGGCTTTTTACTGTATATATTAAGATGCCAGAAAAGCTATTTAAATGAGCTAATTTGAATAACAACGAAAAAGCCACTCGGAGTGGCTTTTTACTGTATATATTAAGATGTCATAAAAGCTATTTAAATGAGTTAATTTGAATGACTAAGAAAAAGCCACTCGGAGTGGCTTTTTACTGTATATATTAAGATGTATGAAAAGCTATTTAAATGAGCTAATTTGAATGACAACAAAAAAGCCACTCGGAGTGGCTTTTTACTGTATATATTAAGATGTCATAAAAGCTATTTAAATGAGCTAATTTGAATAACAACGAAAAAGCCACTCGGAGTGGCTTTTTACTGTATATATTTAGATGTCAGAAAAGCTATTTAAATGAGCTAATTTGAATGACAACGAAAAAGCCACTCGGAGTGGCTTTTTACTGTATATATTTAGATGTCAGAAAAGCTATTTAAATGAGCTAATTTGAATGACAACGAAAAAGCCACTCCGAGTGGCTTTTTACTGTATATATTAGGATGTATGAAAAGCTATTTAAATGAGCTAATTTGAATGACAACGAAAAAGCCACTCGGAGTGGCTTTTTACTGTATATATTAGGATGTATGAAAAGCTATTTAAATGAGCTAATTTGAATGACAACAAAAAAGCCACTCAGAGTGGCTTTTTACTGTATATATTAAGATGTAATAAAAGCTATTTAAATGAGCTAATTTGAATGACAACAAAAAAGCCACTCGGAGTGGCTTTTTACTGTATATATTAAGATGTAATAAAAGCTATTTAAATGAGCTAATTTGAATGACAACAAAAAAGCCACTCGGAGTGGCTTTTTACTGTATAAATTATAATATATGAATATCAAATAAAGAGAACGTATGAATGATAGTTTTATCGAGTCCAAGTTCAATTATAATACAAAATCAATAGAGGGCGCTAATGGATATCAAAATAATATAAACCGAGGGCGGTTATAATAAATGATCGATTTATCGAGTCCAAGTGCAATTATAATAAAAGAAATCAACAGAGGGCGCCATTCATTGGTGGTGAGGTATTATAAACAGAGGGCGGTATTTAATTTTATGATAAGGAGTTCATGTACCGATAAAAAACAGAGGGCGCTATTAACGGGCACTAAGAGATCTGATTTCAATTATATAAAGAACAGAGGGTGATATTTAATTCTTTATTTAAAATTGCAATCATTTTTATTTAAAGTTTATTAAATAGATGGAATACTTTGGGACGTCACAACTTGGGGATAAGTGCGATCATCATATAATCATCGAGAATGGTTTTTTAATTTGTGAAACGTGCGGTGAAATAGTTTCACGTTATTTTGATTTTTCGGCAGAAAATGCGCAAGAAGATCGTATCAATTGGTCAATTTTAAAAAGAAACAAAAGAAAAACTGTGGAAAAACTTATTTTGTCTGTTTGTCCAGAGCAAGACTTAGAAGATGTCCAAGAAACAATCAATAAATATAACGAGCTCGTTAATTACAAAACATTGAGGGGAAACGGATGTGTCAAACGGTCGTTAATAGCCGCGAGTTTCCATCACGTCATTGGATTAGACAAAGAACGAGTTAGAAAATTATTTAAAGTGACTCAAAATCAATTTAATAAAGCACTAAAAAGATACGATGACCACTACAATAAAGGCGGGGCCGAGGGTAACACCCCAAGAGGTGAAATAGAGGTATAACTCGGTGGATCGCTTTCATAATGTTTATTTACCGAGAATTTGAACTTGTAAGTTTTTCGATAAGAGATTTTTTTTCTTTTGCCAGCCGTTCGTCTACCCGTTTTTTAACTTCTTTTTCAAAGTCTGTATCGTTTTTAATTTTTTGAAGCTTTGTGCTGGTCTTTGTTCTAATTTTTTGCTTAAGCTCGTTAAATTTTGCGAGCTCTCTCGTAATCAATATAAACTCTTCGTGTGATATATCTCCGTCGTTGATGGCTTGAGACACGTATTCTTCAATCGTGTTAAGTTTGGAGTCTGCTAATATTTTAATCTGGTCGTGCTTTTTTAGCTTGGCGGATAATCGCCTAGACGCGATTCTAAGCAGAATATCTACACCAAAAGCGCCTATAAACGTTCCTTCTAGCACCAATCCAACGGGGGTTGATATAACACCCAAGAGAGCGGGAATACCGACAGCCCCCGCTATAGCCCCCAATCCTTCTAATCCTATTTCTACGTAATTAATAGTGTCGATCACTCTCTTTATTTTTTTATAAGTGTGCTCTCGGTGGTCTCTCTCTTTTAAGATTAAAGATCGAATCTCTTCAATCTTTTTAAGTCTGTACACTTTTGTTTCTTCGTTACTATTTAATCGGAGTACATCTCCAGAAATATCGGGGTATAGCGCCTTACCATCTACACTCATGTTTTTAATATAAAAAGATTTTAAAATTAAAAGATCTCCAACTCGATAATGATACCCTCACCCTTGTTGTTGAATACCTGTCCTTTTTCACCGCTGATAGAAAATGTCAGTTTGTCGATTATACCGTTTTTAAGATTTTTGAATCCCTCGGCTCTATCAATATCGGGTTTGCGCGTAGCCACGGGTACGATTTTTAAGATGTCAGAAGGACGACCATTAAAAAAGTTTTCACTCGTACTTAATTGCGGGCAGCGAATAAACAAAAATTTAAACGGATTAACGTCGTAAGACCCCGTATACACCACTTTGGGTACCAGTCTTCCTTTGGGTAAATTGAGTAATCGAGATACTTCTCTGTTCAAGCGCAATTTGAGATTTACGTCGGTTATCACCAATGTCACCTTTTTAGATTCTCTAAATATTCGAAAACTTACCCCGGGTATAGAATTTAAAATGAAATCGAACCAATCGACGTCGTACCACCCCGGTGCTATGATGACCGAACCGGTGACTCCGAGTGGTAACGGCGCTAAATGACTCGGAGGAATAAAATCTAAATCATCACCCGTCACGATAAGACTTCCCCTTATAATTACCCCTGCTTCTCTACTATCTCTCAACTCGCTCAACTCGCTCGCACCCATTTCTCCTTCAATAAACTTTGAAGCCAATTCCTCACCTTCAAAGATTTTCCTTTCTCTAACATATAATATTCTTACTAAAGATTGAAGCGTATTAAGTTCTAATTCAGTTTTTGGTATTTCTGAAGACATGGCGGCTAAAATCAACCCTCGCCGTTCAGCTATAATAGCTCTTTTTCTTTTGTTTGATTCTAAAACGGATTCTAGTCTATCGTCTTCGTACGCTTTTATAAGATCGTTTATAGTTTTTTGTAAAACATTTTCATCGTTAATTAAAAAGTGGTATGGTATATCGGGTAACAATCGCTCTATAAAATCTCTATCTGGCGTTCTTATGTGTACATCTGAAAGAAACTCCGCGGGTATGGGGGGAGGTTTATCTGTGGTAAACGCGGGTCTCCCATCTATTTGCGTAAACCAATCAATCTCCGTGGCGCTGGAAATATTAAAATATCCGGGGTTAAACATTAGCCTTTTTACGCGTACAGATTTTTGACCGTTTAAATTATCTACGACGTCTTCTAATTTAAACGTCTGCTCATTTTGAAACAAGTGAAACGAATGCATTTATTTTAAAGTCTTTTTATATTAAAACTGAAACTAAAATAATGAGTGATTTTAAGTCGTTAAAAAAGCAGATACAATCGATAGCCGATCAGGTAACGAAACAAGTAAATCAAAATGTAGCCAAGGCAACCGAGCTAAAGCATCAAGCTGCACCCCAAGCAAAGTTTTTAAACAGCACTAAACCCAGTGAACTGGAAGTTATAGTTAATAATACCAACGGGTTTTTAACCTTGTTCCCCGACTTAACCTCAGACTATAAATTGCCTCGCATCACAACGGATGAGGATGTAGATCGTTGGAAATCACACCCCATGTCGTTTTATCAAAATCAGTTAAATTTTGCGATCTACTGCGCTACTACGGGCTGCGGTGTTGGATTCGATCTTTTAAACGCGAGCAACCGCTACGTTTGGGCCATCTTTAACTTTCATTTATATTTTACGGTTAGAAAGATCCTGTACGACTTTGCCGCTCCTTTACCGGGAGATGACGCATTTAAAGCTCTAGACAACAGTTATAATCTCAGAGCATTTACCGATACCTCTTTGTTGTTTGGCATCGATCAAAATAAATCTTTTAAACAGACGAGAGACACAAACTCTAACGGTTTAGGTATAGCTTATTACTGGGACACGTCTTACGTACCCGTACCCGGAAACGATTATGATACAACCGACCTTAATCTCGAGTATAGTGAGTATCGTAAAGATATGATGAGTGGAACTAAAATGGGGTTTGGTCTGGACGATCCACCCAAGGGTTCGGGGCGTTACAGCGATTATACCGTAGCCTTTATCGAACAAAATGAATCGGTACAAAAGGCTTGGTTAGATTTTATACCCGCCAAGAGTTCGTTTACCCCCGCAGGAATCATAAAGATCAACGAATCGATCAGATCTTACGTGTACGCTTTACTCGGTGCGCAGGCTCAAACAAAAACGAGCGTATTATCACCAGGCACCGGATTAGACGCTCAGAGACAATTTAACGTCATCGTTGAAGATATCATCAATGCAGTAGACGACATGGAAACGAGTATCAATCAATTTCAAGACTCTTTGCAGTATGCCAGAACGCCTTTAAATTTTGTCGTGAAACCGGGGTTGTATTTAATTCCATCGGATATGAACTTGAGGGTTGGAACGCACGACGGCTATAACAACAATCTTCAAATCGCTACCCAGATTATGAAAACTGGTTTGGTGCCAGATTTAAACTCACAACCTCAACCGGACGACTCTTTTGATGACACCGATGACGTCGCGCCACCAACACCCCCAGAGCCTACGACCGATGTTGTATCACCAACACCAACACCAACACCAACACCAACACCAACACCATCACCATCACCAACACCAACACCTACA